TCCTATAGGAATTCCTATAGGATCCTATAGGAAATCTTATAGGATCCTATAGGAAATCTTATAGGAAATCCTATAGGAAATCCTATAGGAAATTTTCGTAAGGGTATATATATATATATATATCTTATTCCATCTTCACTAGTATAATCTGGTGTACTTCAGACATGGTGCTCACAACTGGGAAGGACCTGGTGCTCTGACTGCAATGACAGCTCTCAACCAATTGGAAGATCTGCTGAAGGGCTCAAAAATATTCAGAAACCTTGCAAGCAAGAACCATGTTATATTTGCAGGTTAGAAAATAGTGAGAATACAGTTCTGATAGATATTTTCTTTGTGTTTTTCTGAGGCAGTGTCAGAAATAACAACTCACCCCAAGCAAGCAATTTCCAGGTGAAGCGGTAAGGTATAACTTCCTAATCAAAGGGCATGTATGATAGTTGAGTCTTTTAATCTACCTGGCTGTAGTGTCCAGTGAATAAATGAAAGTGACATTTGTAATGCATTATTTGATATTATAGTTAAGAAATAGATATTTTAAATGGGTCAGAAGAATGCATTCAGAATATATTAAGATTAATGTATTGATTACTTAAATTTAGTGCATTATTGAGTAAAAAATTAAGTAAAGACATCAGTATACAGTACAAAGTATATTAATATGGTTATTTTTTTCATAAGACTCGTTGTCAAAATATAAATGAGGTACATATGTATTTGATATAGAATAAGGGGTTTATTTAATGTAATTTCAATTTTAATTTTAATTTTAAATTTATTTTTTTTAATACAAGTAGTAATAGTATAAGAAATGGAGGAAAAGTGAGTATTAATTTCATTTTGAATTGAAGAACTTACTTCATCCATCTTTAGGTCACTCTATGGGAGGTCACGGAGCCTGGCATTTGTCCACACATTTTCCTGACTATGCCCTCGCTGTGATATCTCTGGCTGGGTGGATTAAGAAGGAAGAGTATGGAGATAGCAACTTGTTCTTTAGGTAAAGAGTCTGCTACATTAGCCACCAGTCCAAACAAAATTATTAGTACATGATTCACCAGCAGACTAGTAAAAAAATAATAATAACAGTGTTTCTTAGCTAGTTATCCTGAACTTAAGGTCATGTGTGACAGCTTTTTCATTTTCTAAATTTCTTATGTGGATATGCATTGTCCCACAATGGGGCATATATGAAAGCTTGTAAGTGAAGAATCTTGCCGATATTGGATCTGAAACTCAGACTAAGTTTGATCAGACTAGCAATTTGTTGTTGGTTGTTATAGATCATTTGCCCTGTTATCTAGATTTACAGATCTCATATTTTGGTTAGTTTAGTTTAATTCAGACTAGTAGAAAGGCCTACCAGACTGTGTGACTAAGCAGGCCAAAATTTGATGTGAAGAGTAGTAAATATTGATTGGCATTTGTTATGTGGTGTGTATGCCATTATCTAAATTCTTCCAGATTTTAAAAGAAATTATTCCATCTGACTACCAAATACTTTGCCTTCCAGTCATACAGTGACTGCGTGAATGAACATGTCAACAACGTAATTGTGGATCTCATGGTTATTTTGATTTAAATAATTTCAATTTTTTCATTAATTTCTCTAAACTTCAGACATGATATTGCCACCAGTCACGTTGACCCAGCAGTGAAGTCTGTGATGGAAGCATGTATAAGTGAGAATGATGCTGACCGACATGCATCAAATCTCAAGGTGAGAAATTATGGCATGTTCTTAAAATGAATGGCAGAGCTTTTTCTCTGGAGATTGCACATCAGTACTTGAAGCACAGTTAATATATGTCAATTGAGGCAAATATATTTCCTTGTTGTTAAAAATGTGAATTGTTTTTAGCCATTGGCAAACATGATACATCAAGAATGAACATAGAATTTAAAAAGATTTTTTTACATGTCTAAATCTTACTGTGCTTTAGAGATATTAGTTACACTGAAATGAACATGGGCTCCAAATTTATTTGAAAAAAAGGGTGTTCCTGTGCTCCTCCGTATAGGCGCCATGGATAAAACTGTGCATCCATATTTTGTGCGGCGTATGTACAGGATTCTCCAGGAGTCTGGAGTGGCAGTAGAATACAAGGAAATACCAGGCAAAGAACACTGGTGGTGGGATACACGGTAAAGAAATGGTTTTGTTTTGATTCATTTATTCATGCTAATTATCTATGTATGTTTTGGCTTAAGAGAATATAAAACTGTTAGAGCTAGTTATTATCTTACAAACTATTAGTTGACTATTTTGTGGTCATATCCACAACTTTATCCTGTGAATACTGATTTAATGAAGAAAGATACTTTGAAACATAAGAAACGTTTCAGTATTTGTCTAATTTAGCTAGTCATTTTTCATGTTGGTAAACAAATACATTTAAATTTACAGGGAGACAAATGATGGTGGGGCTGTGAATGACAAACAGCTCAGGGATTTCACATCAAAGTATGCATCAATACCAATACCTGAAGAGGGCAGCACATGTACTGCTGATAGCTGCAGTACAGTGGGGTCTGGAAATAAGTACACACAAACAGCATCTGGACCAGATTCTTTTACATACACTGTTCTCAACCCTGCTTTTGGGGGTTCAATGAGAGGAATGCAGATTCTGCTTCAAGTCACACCTTTCAGGACAAGTAAAATCCAGGTATTGTTTATGTAATTTTTAAACATATGATATGAACATTTAATTAGTCTCTTTTGCTGAATTGCCATTGGTATTCTTTATCATTTAGAATAACAACTCGTATCAGACAATTATATATTGAGTTATTTGAAATGGTACAACAGCTTCATTCTCATTTACAATATTGTATGAAATTTTATAGGTTGATATAATTAAAGATTCTTCCATAATGATGAAGACAAGCAATGTGAAAGCATTTTCTATTAGAAGATCAGAAAACAGACCTATTCAGTGGCAAAGTTATCAGGAGATTTTGGTAAGTTTTGCTTTTTCTTCTCTTTGAAAAGCAATGTCTGATGTTTCTATAACATTCACACTTCTTTGATTCCACAGCTTTTTATTTAAGACCCTCAGTAGTTTTTAAGGTAACTTGAACTGAATTATGTAATGTTGATCTTCCTAAGCGTAACCTCTCTGCTTTTTAAATAGTTACATAATTATATTTTTCCATAAAAATGGAATAAGCCATAAAAATACTATTACAATTTGAAGCATAAACAGGAATAAAAAGAATGAAAACAGATTAACTGAATGAAGGAGAACAGTAATCAAATCATATTATCTAAAAAATCTCAAATGCTATCAGAAACCAGAAAAATTATGAAAAATTTCAATTTAATGTAAGCCTATTTTACTGCTGTTTTATTGTACATTCAAAATTTTTGGTATAGTGTGAAAGTGCTTTCTTTAGTTTGCATGTCATATAATTATCACTTTTTACGGTATCAGATAGATAATACTGCAGTGAACTTGGCTGGACAGGAATGTTTGGAACAGATATTTATACTTGAAGAAGAACAAGGTAGCTGTAGAGTATAGTTTAAACAATCACTGATGATAATATTTGTTATGTACGTAACAAAACTTGCTTGATGGAACAGGCTTGATGGAATTCTGTATTCTTGTTCCTTTCAGTCAATTTTTTAAAACTGTTTTGCTCAAAAAGTGATGCCTTGCCTGTTGAGTTTAGTGTTAAGTTGGTACAATTGACATGAAAAATTGATTCCAAATGTCTTATCATGAGATGAAAATATTTATATTTTAACTAAATCATAACTTTAGCTGTATGGGGACAGCCTTCTTGCTCTACAGATGCTTTGGGGTCAAAAGTAAGGCTGCCAGATACCCAGGGTCCAGCCAGGAGAGTAGCAGAGAAACCTTTCCTTATTGTTACAGGTATGATGCAAAATTCCATTTGGACACCCAGAGTTTCACAGGTCACTTAATACTCACCTATACATCAGCATGCCTCTATGGCTTCTAGTTACTGGCATAGTAAGGTGTCTTACCATCTAATTGTGTCTGATCTTAGACTTATTGTTGGATTGTATTGATGTCACTTTTATTTTCAGGTACGGTAATGTGCCATGAATTTCGAACAGTAGAAAATAATTAAATTTGGGAAAATATCGTTCTGGCCGAAATTCATGAAATGGAGGTGCTCAGAACTTCTGAAAGTTCGAATTTCATGGAATTCTGTCAATTTTGACCGGAAGTTGTCTGTTCGTCGCTAGGCCTTCTGTTATCTTCTCCCGACGATCTATTTAGAGTTACCATAATGTATGATGTGTGAGTGTCGGTAATTGCGACCAAAGGTATACACGTACTTTCACCCGATCACTGTGTATGGCCCATAGATAGAGCGGTACTGTTGTCTAGGGCCGCAAAACAGCATGTTTATCAGTAGTGTCGTTTTTCAAAAGCGATTCAGGNTTGCCGACTGTTAGATCTTTATAAGCGCGAGAATAGCCCGGTGGCCGATTTTAAGGTGTACGAAATTCACGAAATCAAGATCGCGCAAAATTGCTTACTGGCCGAAATTCATGGTCCAGAAAAAACTCCAGATGGCCGATTTTAAGATCGTTCGAAATTCAAGAGTCGTTCGAAATTCATGGCACTTTACCGTACACGTTTTACCAAATATTTGAATACAGATAATTTCGATGAAAACATAAAAGTTTGGTCTTCACAAATATTTTATTGTGATTGGATGTTTACAGTGACATAAGTTACATTATAGGAGATGCATATGATGTATGTTGTGATACTATTTGGTATGGTATATTTGACAGGCAGCCAGGCAGGCAATGAGATAACACAACAGTTAAGACAGCTGTCAGTATACCTGGCAAATCTGTTCTTCTTGACCTCAGATACTGTGGCCCCTGTGATTAAGGATGGAGATTTAAAAGAAGAACAAGCAGGTAGGTAAAATAATTTTGTGAAATGGAAATATTGAAGGTTTTGTAACACGATCTTTAGTGACATTTAATTATTTGCATTCATTGTCTTTGTAAGAAAGTGATGTATATATATTGTTTAATGCTGTAATTTGTACACAATTTACATATCAAGTGGTTCTTATTCAATTTTCAGAAAATTATAATTTGATCATCATTGGAAATCCAGATGAAAATAAATTTACCAAAGAGGCACTCAGTCATGTTCCAATTAGATTAATAGGTATGACCTGCATTTAAATATTAACGATTACTTAAGTCGCTAGGTAAATATGACATTTTGACTCAACATTTATTGATCAGTTTTCACTGATATATCTTGAGTCAAAATGACCAAATGGTCTTAAGCAAAAAAAATAATATCATACACGCATACATGTTTAAAATTTGTTTTGAATGATCACAACAGACTTATTCTTCCATGCATGCATTATTTATGAAACCCTACATTTTGTTTCAGAAGATGGTCTAAAGCTTGGGAGATGTTCTTTCCCTGTAAACCAGACGGGTGCTGTCTTTCTGTCTCCTCACACAGGCAGTCACTTAGCCTTGGTTATAATGGGATTCTCAACTCAAGGTTTACTGGATGCAATTAGTTTAGCCACACCAACTATACCACCTATGGCAAGATCACCCGTGAGTTTTCTGTTTACATATTATCTAAGAGTTATTATCAAAAAGCTATAAGCAATACACATGTATTTCCATTTGAACTCTCGGATGGCACAGTTCAATTTTATGTTCAGTCTAATGGGATACATTACCACTTTTCGCATGTGCTATTCAAATTCACAAAGATTATTTGTCACCATGTTTTTCAAAAGAGAAAACAACACAAGGCTGAACAACATTAGCTTTGACTACTATTTAAAAAATAAAACCCTTTGAACATTTCTTACTGACAGGGCTACAAAACTTGAAAATGATTTTATTTTTACCACACAATAGAATTGAATGAGATATGCAACTTAAAATGAGAGAACTGTTTTGTTGTGAAATACCACAAATGTGTCTCATCACTTGTTTCATTCCAGTTCTCAAATTTGGTCCCAGATTTTGTGTTAACTGGGAAGGATTATCAAGCCAAAGGACCAGGTGGTTACCTATGCACGGGATTTTGGGGAAACCAGTGGGAGTTCAGGCCAGAGTTAGTGTCCTGCACTTGTTGACTGATGATAAGGACCAGGCCTGTAACCAGCAATTTCAAAAGGGGGATTCTTTTTCTGAAAAAGTGGACATTTTACACTGAAACCTTACCCACATCAAATTTTACACAGAATGGACCTTTTCCTAGCAAAAATGGCGGTTCTTTTTGAACCCCCCCCCCCCCCCAACTGCCCCTGGCTATGGGCCTGAGAAGACTAGCTTTGAGAATGTCTCATTTTATCCAGGTTCTGCATGCAATTTAGCTGGAATTGACACCAATACCAATGCTATATAATAGAACCAGTACAAGTCAGTGGGGTGCATGTGATATAAAGGTGCAGGTCGTACCATGACACGTTCATGACTTACACCATTGGAAATTTACACGTGGCACCCACATCTGCAAGATACACCTTGTCATGTTTTGGACATCTGCCATAGTGTAAAAGTATCAGTATCTGGATATCTGGATCAAAACATTTATTGGACTACAACAACAATACCGGTACAACAAAGGTCAGGTCAACTACGTACATGCATCTATGCAAACAGTTTTCGTGGTTGGTAATCATATGTAGCTTTAATCTTGCTAGAGGCAGTTAAGCATCAGTGTTGGAACATAAGTTGCACCTTTATGTTGCTCTTGATGGTTATGTTAATATGGTTCCTGAAGTAGCTGATGCACCTTCTACTGACAAAACAATGTACAGTTTGCAAAATTCAAGATATTTTCAAGAGATACTTTCAATCTGCATTGCCCCCACCCCACCCCCCAGAGTTTTAAAATAAAGTATTTTTTGTCAAAGAATACGAATAAAAGAAAAAATGTGATGTACTTGACAATTTTCAGCTAATAAGCATTTATCATCCACTATTCTACCGTGTCTCGTTTGAAAAGAATCATATAAAATGCTAAAAATTTTATACATTTATTTAACTATCAACTTCACCTGCATAAATATGCAAACAATCAGATACAATGGTTCTCATTTAAAACTTTAACTTGATAAAACTTAAAATAAGCACTCTTTTTTTTTCATAAAATACATATTCTAATTATGTTAACTCAATAGTGATACATAATTTGTGCAAATAGTATATATATATATATACTGTTTATATATATTGTTGATATGAACTGATATCAAATATCATAATAAAATATAGACTTGAGAGTTATCTCCATACTGATCAATAATACTATTTGTTACCAATTGTAAAAAAAATATTTTTTCCACTACATGTACCGGTATATATCATTATTTTTTTTAAATCTTTGCTGGATCTAGTCAATTAAATAGCTAAATATAAAAATTAAATAAAAATCACCTTCACCTACTTATATTAACAAACACCCATATATTAACAAATATTAACAGAGTAATCAGAAAATGCTTCTGGTTATTCGGTACTATATATTCAAACAAGTGTAATACAATAAAATGTTGTGCTTGTAATTTCTGATGAAGGTGATTGGGAAAATCTGTAAAGCAAGTTGGTTTCATGCTAAAGAGTGCCTTTATGAGGACTTGAAATGTATAAACCTGAGACAAACCCAGTGACTAGACAGTAGATGTGACAGAGATCAAACTAATGCTGAACTGGCAATCATCTGCCAATGACATCATATAAGAAGCCCTGATATGGTATGAGTATACAAGTGATGCATAGTCAATGTAAATATGATTTAGTTGAAGTCTAGGGAATGGCCTAATCTTATTTTTGTAATTTTTGAAAAAGTCTTGTTTGTGCTAACTGACTTTATAAAACAGTACAGACCTTGACATAATATTTCTCAATAATTTCACACAAAATGCACAAAACACACCTGATAACAGCACCAAGGGTGCATTCCCAGAGATTTAGATTGATCCAGAAATTTAGATTTTGATCGACCTAACTCCCTGGGCGTCCACGCTAAATTGCAGTCAGCCGAGCGCACACCATAGTTAAAGCAATAATAACTCTTCCTTTGAGATTCAAAAATCCACATGAAATACATTGTAAACAACGCATGGAAATATATTCTATTGTATTTTACCACTAAAACGGCCGTTATTGTAGGAAAACTAAAATCTGTGCTTGTCAATAGGGCTTTCGATCACTTTTTTCCGGTCGACAAGTGCATTCGTTGCTAATGACGTAATGGTGTCACGCGGATTCTCGCGTTCATTCGAGACCAAAATAACATGGCGGGAAACCCTCAGACGTAAGTTGCGAGTTTTTGTACAGTGCGTCGGATAACGAATAGCCCAGAATGGCACACATTGTGGATATAAATGCATTTTTCACAAAAAGACGAATATATCTCATGAATCTTATATAGTGTTGTTGCTGTCTGCTTTTCCCGCGGTTTTAAGTAGGTCACCAGTGACTTTGCAATGTCAGAGAGAGCTCCGTCAGTTAAAATCTCTTAAGAGATTTTAACAAAAAACCGTACGTTTAGGAAAAAAACCCTGGATTAACTTTGAATGCAGGAATGGGGTCGTTGGCCATTGGTAAGTACGGGAAAATTGCCGTTTTTTTCAGGAAAATCCAATTTTTGGCCAAAACGAAGAGTTATTATGACTTTAATCACCCCTTTACAGCTTTTAGAAGGCAGGACAGAAGCTGACAGTAACCTAGTGAGACTCCCCACAGGGATAGATCGATCTAAAATATATGGGAATGGGGTCCAACATTTAAAATTTTCTAAGTTTCATAGGTGAAAGGAATCATGGAATCCTTGGCATTGAAAGGCGTGCTCCTAGTGAATATTCTAAAGCACCTGTTTTCCAGCCACATAAACCTCTTGTATGTTTCTGTCATCACCTGAATTAAACAAAAAGAGGTGAACAAATCAACACTACAAACACTGTTAAACAGTCTAATCATTAAAGGCAACTTTAAAAATAATTGTTTTCTTCATAAACATTACATAAAATTTATCATTTCACCATAATATCTGATCATGGTATGAATCTTTAATACTTTGCTTAGAGTGAAAAGATGAATATTCTTAGTTTTAATACTAGTTTTAATAGCACTGGGGAATTCCATCCCATCCCCATCATTTTTGTATTCTTGGTCATCCCTGTAATCACACCACAATTAATAATTAATAAATAATAGATAGATAATAATTAACAGACTTGCCTAAAAATAGAAATTTCTGTATGATATCATCAGTTGAGTCCCTCTTGAAAATGTCAACAGGCCCCTCAACAACAGTGGTGTCCACCAATAGAGCATCGAATTCTTTTCCCACCTCAAAGTTGCCAGTCTTGTCTGACAGGCCCAAAACTGCAACAAAATATAATTTTTAATTAAATATATGAGTTAAATATAGAATATACTTTTTTTCTTAAATGTTTGAATATAAAAATCTTTCCTACTCAAAACTAAGAAGTAACAAACATATCGATCGGCTTGTCACAAAATTTCATAAATTACAGTAAGAAATTTGTGCTACTGTCAAGCATTTAAATGTAATCCTAATCAATCTAAACTTTAAATTTTTGCAAACTAAAGGGGATTCAGGATATGAAACATACAGTAAGCATGGACACTTACTCTAAATCTCCCACCACCAACCACATCTCTTCAAATGTTTTTTTTTTTTTTTTTTTTAATGAAAACAGTCAGAACAAAATAATGCAAATAATGTTCTACACATGCCCCCTCCCTACTATTTCAGGCAAAATCCTGAATCTGCCCATAGATACATATAATAGAGTTCAATATCAGTCAGTTTATGCGGGCTGTATTTCTTGTAACAAATGCCTGGATAATAATGGTCAAAACAATTATCTAAACTCAATCAGTGAGGACCTCTAAGAAAGAACTATCCATTTTCTCTAGCTAAATTAAACTTCGTTGAGCATCTGGAGACAACTTGTTATGCTACAGTGGGCCTAGTCTGAACTAGTGGAGTACCTTCACTTCCCCCTAGAGTGGCCAATTTAAAAGCTTCACGGTGACTCAAGCTCTTGTAATCAGTATGCATGTCAAGGCTGATGACATTGGAGACTTGGACGGCTGTGCGTATGGCATCTAGCATGGACGGGTGGTAGCCACCAGAAACATCTGGAAAAAAATTGAGTAGGAACCAAAGTTTGAACTGACAAACATGGAAAATGAAATGCATTTCATCTGAAAAATAGTCTTATTGAGTATCTAAAGGTCGCATTGATCTATTACTATATCTGATCTAACATATTTCTTTTATTTAATTAATTACTTTCTGATTCGAATGATTTTGAATTTCAGGTGACTGTCACGTATCATTTTCTGATTTCAATCACTTCACATGCTATACATCCGATCTAGTATAAAATGTCTGAATGGCATCTAATTAACAATGCAATATTTTAATTCTTACCAACAATCAAACAATTTACAGAAAAAAACAACATTAACTGAAAAACATCATTTCTTACGGAGAAAACAAATTGAACAACAATATCACATAGCATAGTGCCACTGTTATACACTATGTTAGAACAATTGCATTTTTTATAAAAACCAAAAATAAACAAGCTGAACTATTGGGATAGGCCTATAGCATTTCATAAGAGTGCAATCTGATCCTCATGCATGGTTCTGTGTCTAAAATCTAACATAATAAATCTTCTCTATACAGAGTACACTATTGATCTATGCTAATATAGAGAATGGAGTGTTATATGTCCAACTGAAAATAATCTTTTAGAGGGCATTTAGAACAAGTTGATCCATGGACTAACAGATCTGCAGACTAAATATGGCTGACCCACTAAAAAGCGATGCTGCTAATCCCCCCCGATGGTCTCCCCACCTCCACACGCACCATTAAGCAGATTTAGTTGGAGAATCTTTTCTGAATGCACTCCTAAAGTTTGTGGCTTAAAAAACTTTCAGTGCCAGCACTACATCATGAAAACTGCAGTTGAACTTTTTTCTACCTCAGGTAAAGAAGTCAGTTCAAAACTGCACTGCAATAATTTATACTCACTGTCTGCATTTTTTTTTCTGCATGTTCATCAAGACACGAAAAGGCCAAGGCCAGTAGGTGATGCAGTCAGTCAAAACTTTACTGCAATCATTCAGAACTTGACATTTCTAAGCTGCCATCTATGTATAATATATAACTCTATCAACTTCATTGCCCTGCTCAGTATAAGCTAGCAAACTACAGGTTATAAACTTAAAGATGCAGGGAATTTAAATTCACCCTGCTGAAAAAAAAAGGACTACCTGTGCCAAGACCAAGTTTCACCCCCATGTCCAAAACTCTTCTTGCATCCATCATGCCACTACGCAGGCTGAAAAGCAAGTAGCATGCAAACAATTGATAGACTAGAGTAATTAAATGGGACTACATATCAGACATATTAATCATAGCAAAATGTAAAGCTTTACTTTGGCAGTGGCAGATCCAGGGAAGGAGCAGTGACATTTTGATAGACCAAAACATAGTGGATCACATAACGTTACCAAGTTTTCCTCATGACTTTTTTTTGGGGGCAAAGGCACATGTAATTTATGCACCATTATAACAGTGACAGTGTTCAGTAAAGGTCTTACTTAAGCAGAGCTGAAAGTTAAACAGAGCTGTGTACCGTGCTAGTCTGAATGACCTAACAGACATGATTTTTTAAAAAGATTAAATTCTGTTTGAGTGTCAGAGGATATTTCATTCAGAAATTCATAAAATAAATTGTACACAAAGGTTTTAGCAACTTCATTTAGTTATTTACAAAGATAAAAAAAATCTGTCAGTGACACTTTTTAACCATTTTTGTAGAACTCTTTCATTGTTTACACAGACTACTGTGAAAATAAGGCCACATTCACAACCAAAGTTGATCCGTGGACTAACAGATCTGCAGATCAAATATGGCTGACCCACTTGAAAGCTTGACCTATTCAGTCTTTTAGGGGATTATGTGGCAGGTTTCCAAGTGGTTCAGCCATATTTGATCTGCAGATCTGTTTAGATCAACTTGTTCTGAATGTGGCCTAAAACTGCAGCTCAGTGGAATGAAAAATACTCAGTACTGATTGATTTGGACCTGGTGTTATGACTGATAGCTGACGATAGGTTAATTTCTAAAATTACCACTAAGCTTCCCCCTACAAAATAAACAGTTACAAATAGTATAGCATACAATACAATAAAGGAAGATTATGATGAAAGAGCACATTATTCCCATGAAATTTTTAACCTTGTGAATCCCTTACCAAATTCCTGGATCTGTCAATGCTTCTGGGCATTGCTGTATTCGTATCAGGCAAGATCCACCCCACACATACTATATGAAATTATATATTTTATTTGAAAATTGGGTTCTAGATGCCAGTTAAAACCCTTGTATGGATTCCATTATTAGGTCAATCATTATTAATGGGTAGAAAATTAAGCAATCAGTCAAAATTATCCAGCCATTATGACTTTACCTGCACTGATACAGCAATGCTATGACATATACATTGTATACAACAAGTAAATATAATGAACTAGGGAAGAGAGGGCAAAAGGACTCGGGTCTGATATCAATATTAGTAGAAAGGTCTTGTAATTGCCTAAGTGCAGTATTTCATATATCATATATATTTAAGAAGCTTGACACTCATGAACATGCCACATAATGAATGATATATATAGCTAAGCAAACCAATCACACACAAAATTACAGATGTCATATACACAACATTATAGCATTTTATACCACTCACTCATTCATTCATTTAGATACCATTTTATTTTTCTACTTTATTCATTTATTTATTGCTTTCCACTGGTTTACCTTGCCTTACCTGAGGTTTGAGTTTGGGCAATGTGAAATTCCTGTGCCTGTAGATTTAAAAAGTTTAAGCTCTTCATCTGACAGGTAAACTCCATGGGCCATCACCGTCTAAAAAGTCAAATATTCTGTCAGTATCGTAACAATTTTACAGTCTTAAAATATCCTTAATTCAAGATCGACAACATTATCATATGTTTTATTTGTGTTTAGCATATATATATATATCAGTTTCACTTCACAGGTGCTTTGCAGTCAACCATTCAAGGTAGTGTACTTTTAACTCCCTGCCCTAGTTTACACTGAAAGAATGATCCATGCTTTGCAGTGAACCATTGAAGCATGTCCACTTTTTAGTACTTATCATACACTGATCATGTGTTGCAAAGCCTACATTGTACATGTTGGTTCACTTGAGGGAGTAAATATAAGGCAGGTCTTCGGATTTAAAGGGTAGAAGGTAGTGAATAGTGTGTGGAGTAGTAAAAGATTCACTGAGTCACCTGCCCCTATATAAACTGAATGGATAAAATGGATGGATGGATGAATGAAATGAATGAATGAGAATAACTGAATGGCACAATCAAAGCTGATTTTTGACTGCTTTCACAATTTAACTATTGACTTAAGTTCTGGTCAATTTCAAATCAGGATAAACTCAAGGAAGTCTATTATAATGCACTGGCCCAAAAGATAATAAACTTTTTTCTATTGTAATAAAACAGGCATCATCTTTCATCATTCAGGTAGACTTTCATTGATTCATCTTGGGTCAAAGTTTGGATCCAAACATTTAGACCTATTTACTTTTTTTTCTGTCTAACACCTGGCCTTTTCTATAATCAGAGTTCACCATGTCACTTGCCTTGTCAGTCAAGAGGTTACACTGATCATAAACATCTGCATAATGTTTGGACCCTGGAAACAATTCCTTCACCCATTCCACCTCATCTGTGGTCTCTGATATGTGACTCTGGGAGGAAATCAGAAAAAATATTAACACAGTAAATGAAAGTCCATAAAAAAAATTAGTAGCTTCCTTTTAATTTGTCTTATCAGCATTTTCCTTTTTATTTGTCAGTTTATCTATTCATTAATTTACATAATATTAACTTTTTTTCATCATTTTTTTTAAATTTTAATATTTTCATCTTTTTTTTCTTCTTACCCCCTATAGCTATTCATTTTATTATCTTATAAAAATATTTAAGGTGACTGGTCATAATGTAGTCACTACTTCTAGATGGCACTGGAACACACATTAGGAATGAAAGTCGAGAAAAATATATATCAAATGAAAAATATTAAATGTGCAATAATGTATGATATACTGATAACTTCTTGTACCTGTATTGGCAAATCATACTGTTTAGCCAAATGTCCTAGATATTTGCTCAGCTCTAGGGTGCAGTTGGGGGCAAACCGTGGTGTGATCACTGGTTTTATGAGTGGATTCTGAAATACATTATAGAAGTGTGACTACTAAAAATGATAGTTATTTCAACATACAATGGTTATCTTAAAAAGTCCCTGAAACAATTTACATGTCATTTATCTTTTGGAGTCAAAATGGCATGCATACATTACAGGAAATTTATTTTTAAAACTAAAAACAAATAGTATAAAATTTGCAGGCATTTATTACATAATTTTCTCTTATGAAAAATTAAGTTACTCACATTTTTCTTAAGAATCTTGGTTACAAATCTGAAACAAAAAATATAAATATTTATTTATAAAAATCATTCCATCAAATCTTTCTCTTTAACTTTTTGCATGATCAAAAATAAGTTACAATTTAAACAAATAAATTTAATAAATGGTTGCTGAAGATAAATGACAGTGAAAAAAAAAACATTAACGTCATGAAAAAACATAACACACTTTTCTGTTTCCTCTTTGGACTCCTGCGTTGTCTCAACATAGTAATGTGGGGAATAGGCATCCATGTTGACTTTGCCAATGTATGCTCTCTGACCAGCATTTTCTGTAAAATTGACATAAAATATCTTTGCATTTCCTTAAGTCCTACAAAAGAATTCTAACTTTCCTGCTTTTCTTGCTTATTTTCCTGCACTTAATTCAACTTTTACTTTAAGATATATGGATAACTGGGAGTGTCAAGAGAAGTTCAATATTCCATAAATCACCAATTGTTGGTTTTTTTGTAACAATGTGTACAAAATAGACATAATGTAACATATGATAGAATGCAATTTTACTGGACTTTTATTTAAAGACAGCACTGCATCTTTATACTGAAGACTTCGACAATTATGTATTTTACACATACTACAATAATGAATCTTTTAATGGATTCTTAGGATACATAATTTTAGAATTATTTAAAACTAGATCTTGGTCAGCATTTTCTTTTTTGTTTCTACTGTATAAAATGGTACAACAGGGTAGCCTGCTTTTTAATTTTCTTGCTACCACACATATTTAAAGAATTTATGGCTTTAAAAAATACAGTACAATTTTCCCCATTAAAAAGATAACTCTAGTACGTTATCAGGAAAAGTCCCCTGATGAAGATGTAATTTTAAATCTTTCCTTATCACTTTGTAAGTCCAGTAAAAAGAATTTTAATAAAATGATATTTTATCTCAACTGGGTATCTGATGAATCTTTGAAACTTTTAAGTATTTAAAAATAACAGCTATGTACAAAGTTGCCTTACCAACTATATCACATAATTTCAGTGTGGCATCAACATGGATCGTAGCAAAGTAACAGGCTGTGGTAGTTCCATTTTTCAAAACCCTTTTCTAAAAAAAATCAAATAAAATGAAATGAAAACGTAAAGAAGCACTTGTTCAACACTGTTATAAAATCAACACAAAACAATATGTAAGGCTTGTACATGAAATGACAGGCCCGTAGCCATGGGTGTTTGGGAGTGTGGCATGAATCATTCGGAGCGTGAACCATCCATTCTGCTCATGCGCACGAAGTGCAGGCAAATCTGAGAGACTTCCGGCATGTACAGTCCGTCTCTATCAATTCATCAATACATTATTAGACTTAAATAAACATACACTGTTGAGAACATACTGCAACTTCAAACATAATATTTAGAAGTATTCATATCTTTTAGATGTTCACCTATACTGTGATTTCCCTCAGGTGGCCACATCTACACACTAGCCTAGTAAAATCAATGTAGTATGCCAACAGCTGAATAACAACAGCCCATCCACAGTAGGTTCATCCATGCGTCGAACTGTAATTTGACGCTGATTCTCTATCAAAATTATCAATTAACACATGAATTTTACCTAAAAATATCCCCATCATAATAAATATATAATGAGGTAGGAAACGAACTAGCTGAATGTCACAGTACAGGTGATAAAAAAGGATCATTCACGGAACGGCTCGTACACGCGTCTGCTGCATGTACAATCAGTCAGGATGGATGGTTCACGCGAAACAGACAGGGGGGTTGGAAAGAACCACCCTTTTTGACAGGAAAAGGTCCCCTCTGGGTAAAATTTTATCTAAATACACCAAGGTTTCATTGTATAAGGTCCACTTTTTTAGAAAAAGAACCCCCATTTTGAAACTGCTGGCTACGGGCCTGAATGATATGATTCAATATCTTTATATGTAAACATGTATGTATGGGGTGTCAAAATACAGCTGGATATAACCAATTCTATCAGCCATTCTATGGGCTCAATCAAAACCTACAAGGTAAAATAAATAAATAAATAAATAAATAAATAAATAAATAAATAAATAAATAAATAAATAAATAAATAAAAGGTCCAAAAAATGAGGCACTAGACCATTTCATAAAAAAATGTCCACCATAACCTTTATATATAAACTTACTACAGCCTTCTGATACACGTCTTCAGCAAACTTGAGGTCTTCAAAGTTTGCTTCAATGGGATATGTATAATTTTTCAGCCAATCAAGCAGATGTAACTCCATGGCTGTGCCAGTGTAGACATATTGGGAAGCATGGATGTGGGTGTCAATCAAACCAGGCATAAGAAATTTCCTGGAATGAAAAATAGAAAATGATATCACATAATAAAATCTCAATTTTGGGTTCAAATGCCCTCTCATCCTTTCATGATTCACAACCATTTTGATGCTAGAGAAGTTTCATAAGTACTTTGATGCTGTAATTCATATACGTAATAATAGGGTAGGATCAGAAATGACCCGACATGACACATCTCTAATCACACTACTGAATTATATCAGGGGCGGATTGAGGCGGTCTTCTGGGTCTTCCGGAAGACGGTCAAATTTCTAAGTTTACATTGATGAGTACCTAATTTTTTCTGTGGGAAGACGGTCAAAAAATGGAGGATGGATCAACAAAGATAATGTGGAAGACTGTCAGAAAATATCTCTGGGTCCGCCCCTGTATATAGATATCATTTTAAAGTACCATTACATTTCTCACATGAATGTTGGGGCACACAGTATCCAGCCCATAAACAATGACCACTACTGGACAGGCATGTCAATACATACTGTCTGGACACAAATTTAAGGGACATGATATCCCCCTAGATCTATTTTAATATAACCTGGATGGCATTCCTTTGTTACAAGAAATGCCTTTCATCTTCATGTATACCCCCCCCCCCCCCTTGAATCTTCAAAGCAGTCAGTGAGAGTTACAGCAGTCAGTGAGAAGGCAGTGAGAGTGAGAGTGAGATTCAGGGGTGACCAGGTCTGTTCAATAAAGTCCTTACTAGAAAGCAGAATCTCTGTGTGGTTTTCTCTTACTCTTGTGAAGCTTAAAACTTACATTACCAAAGTCATTCCTGTTACATACTACTTTCCATCAGCTGAAAATCTGTTTCTGACATGCACAGCAAAATCCCTGGTGCTTGCTAAAGATTGAAACAAAATGCTCTCTCTCTCTCTCTCTCTCTCTCTCTCTCTCTCTCTCTCTCTCAGTCTTACCCTTTTTTGAGGTACTTAACATCATTTTCCTGAAGCCCCAATTCTGATAAGGCTTCATCGAGATAAGAGGAGTCCTTGACAAGTTGGATCTGTAAGAATACAATGAATAAGATTACTTTTACCCAGCAAGAACAGCAAATTTAAAACAATATTGAATCAACATTATAGTTTAACATTTTGCAAACATAGAGTTCAACTTTGTTGGAAATGGACACCACAAACACTAACTTATGAAGTTGAAAAAATATTATCCATTGATACTAACAAGGCAAGACATTTTTAAGTTGACTGTTAACTGAAAATTTCTGCCAAAAAACTGATTTAAGTCAGCCCTACCATTATACTGACTGAGGTTCAAGCATACTAGTAGTTTAAACTTCCCACCCTGAGAACATTTACATGTTTTAGAGCAACAAATGTAAATTATATTCTAAGTAATTCATTTTAGTTGTATCGTTTTCTAGATGGACAAAATATATACATTCTAGCATATAATCTTAAAGGATATGTCCCTTTAAAACTTAACATTCACCAAAATTTCTCCATGTTATGTTTGAATATGTCTTTATTATCTAATACAGTAGTGAACATTGTTTTCCCTAGACAATAGTCCTCTTTTTCATATATTTAGTATTGAATAATGGCATATGAAATGTTATCTATCATTTAAATTTATAAGAGTAAATAATGGAGGTCAAGTCCTAGATAAAGTATGTTACCCTGTGTGCATTTTAAAATATGTTTCTATTGTACCCTCGAGGTCATATACCCCAATATTTATTAGTGTCACACTGAAACGTTTTCACCATAGTAATGTATAGGACCATGTTAAAACTGCAACATGCAAAATAAGATCAAAGGTATAGGGGGGTTTTTAGGAGAATGTTAGGAGGATGCCAAAGAACTAATTTTACATAAGACTGGGCTATTGTGATGATATGTGATATCTAAATGACTTAGTTAAGAATACATGTGACATAAAGAAGTGGACAGGGCTCCTCAGCCCCCATGCTTCCAGACTGGGACTAATCTGGCAGAAAAAGTGGGACTAACCTACACCTACAATGTATGTAAGGATGTATTCCCAGACATTTAGATCGATCTATCCCTGTGGGGAGTCTCACTAGATTACTTCAGATAATCCGGCTTAAATGTCCGTCCCGCCTACCACAAGCTGTAAGGGGGTAATTAACTTTCGTGCCCGCTCTGCTGTCAGCTATTTAGCGTGAACCCCCAGGGAGTTGGGTCGATCTAGTTTGGATCGATCTAATCTCTGGGAATGGGGTCTAAATGTGCAGTAAGAGAGCTTCTGTGCTTTGCAATAAGTGAATAATGGCAAATGGTAGTAATGGTACATTCCAGACATTCAGCATAAAGGAGGTTGACTGATTATCCAGCATGCCCTTTTTAAGGATCTCTTTTGTTACAAGAGCAAGTTTTTTTTCTTTAATTTATTCAAATGCTTTTCTTGAACTTAAGATACAGTAAAAGGAACACAGGTAGCTAGTGTTTAAAATAGACTACAACAGAAGTTATTCCTTTTAGATCCATTTACCCTGATGACAACACTCAAAACTTCACAGCCCTGAACTTGTTCAGAACAGCAACAACAAAAAGAACCAGGACTTTTTTACTGACAGAGTAACAGAAAAAAAAGGAACAACCTCCCCAGTGAAGTTGTTATGCATCATCACTAAGACATTTAAAAACGAAGTGGATAAATACTGGAACAACATAGTTAATATACTACATGGAACAATTCGGCCTCCATCCCTAAGAATAACATTTTCGCTAAGTAGTCGGAGAAGTCTATTACAATGAATATATTAGTAACTACTCTGATTACCTTAAGTAAACAAGTGTTACGTATTTTACGTGTTTATATTAAGTCTGGCGACATACATATTAGATAACATAAAGCATACAGATTAGCACAAGTGAAAGGTTGGCCCAGGTCAGATCACGTTTTTGCATTACCTTCTCTACCACGTAAACGCGATGGGCTTACCTTTCCATTTTTCACCCCAAGAATGTGATCCTCCAGTATTACCATAGGGTCATCGGCTGTGGAGTGGCATAAAGTTCCATAAAATATCTTCGCGGCCATGACTTCCGCAGTGAATCAATGCAAGATCCTGGTTTATCGCAAGCAAAATGTCACTGTGCCTGACAATCTCAGGGGGCGGGTCCAAAAATAGAACAGGGGTGTTTTCTTCTCATTACATTTCTCCTGGTACTCTAAAACCATTCTGACGTAAGAGCGTAACCTGTCATTCCCTTTTAAGTTTGAGAAGTGTGTAAAAAAATACGCTTGTCAACTGTTGTATTATCTGAGTCCACGTGACGTCACTGTTGTCGCTGTTTGCTTAACCTGAGCACCTGAGAAAAGCCAGGACGGTGAAAAACTTCCGTGTCAAAGGAGAACTTCGGGCGCGATTTATCGCTCAAGAATAGGATCTTTATTCTTCTTCTTCTTATTATTATTATTATTACTATTATTATTCAATAATACTACAAACCGAACGGTGCCAGAAGAAAACCCTATGGCGCGTTATTTATTTTTACTTAAACAAACTTTTTGTAAATGAATAAATAAATGAATAATTAAAAAGTGTGTGTAGCCTGTGTACCGTTACCACTGTTGAAGAAAGAAGTGAAGTTTATACATAAATTGCATTTCTTTAAAATCACAAAGAAAAGTCTGTATTGTAGAACTGGTAATCTGGGCGTATTCCCAGACATTTAGATCGATCTATCCTCGTGGGGAGTCTCACTAGATTACTGTCAGATAATCCGGCTTAAATGTCCGTCCCGCCTACTACAAGCAGTAAGGGGGTAATTAACTTTCGTGCCCGCTCGGATGACAGCTATTTAGCGTGAACCCCCAGGGAGTTAGGTCGATCTAGTTTGGATCGATCTAATCTCTGGGAATGGGGTCTATGCTGGTAATCTATGCTGTGGGGTAGTAACGGCGCACGGGAGGACTAACATTCCTGTCACACCGGCATATTTTGCAACACATGTACAGTCCTAACGGGAGGGTTGTTACCACCCCAAGACAATTTTAATCGAATACTTTTTTTTTTGTCATAACACATTACAGAAACCCTTTTGGTAAATCAATAAACATTACAATATACATCTCTGGAGAGCCTCCATGCTATTCCATATTTTTCTTTGTTTCCAGCCCTGGTTCTGATGATACATCTAAACAAAGCTAACACTGTGCATCACACTCTAATTGATAAAATGCAGAAACAATACTGACATTTTTTTTCAAAAATAAAATGAATAAAAAATAAATTAATCTGAAGCCGGAAGANGGTCATAACACATTACAGAAGCCTTTTTGTAAATCAATAAACATTACAATATACATCTCTGGAGAGCCTCCATGCTATTCCATATTTTTCTTTGTTTCCAGCCCTGGTTCTGATGATACATCTAAACAAAGCTAGCACTGTGCATCACACTCTAATTGATAAAATACAGAAACAATACTGACATTTTTTTCAAAAATAAAATGAATAAAAAATAAATTAATCTGAAGCCGGAAGAGGAGACTAGTTACTATATTATGACAGTTACCCTAGTTGTCGTTCCCTAAACTTGGATTTTTACAGCCTTTGAAACATTTAAAAGTAAAATCTCAAACAATTGTATTGTGTGGCTAAATCTTGTTACTGATGTAAAACTTAATGACTTTAGAACTGGACAAATTGGTCACTGAGTGTATCTTCTATTGGGTCCACAGATTATTTTCACTCAATATTCACATATATATGCATCTGGCTAATTCTGTGCACCTTTCTCTTGTGTCCAACGAGTTTTTTTTTTTTTTTTTTTTTTTATGGATTTGAATTAATGTTATCTGTCAGCTGGCTTTTAATAACGAGAAGACAATATCTTGGAGAGAATAGTAATAGTGACTTTTTTGCCTGATAGACAATCACAAAAATGCCATCATATGCAGGGGCGTAACCAGACCTTTAAAAATTGTACGCACAGATTTTTTAAATACCCAGCATGTACAGCAAAATGTAGACTAACGCAACAGATGAAGGACAGCGTAATCACAGCATATGTACCACACATCGTAGCTTAATTTCCATTTATGATAAAATCATCATTTAAGTCAAAAATGTACTCGCGATTTAATAAAGTTTCAATATTTTTATTTACCCAGAACGGTATATTCATTTAAAAGGAGGCTAACTTCGCATCAGCGGACCCCCCTCCCCTCTTCGAATAATCCTGGATCCTCCTCTGAGTTGAACTTATATGCGGTTTCATCCAGCTTTCATGCGGGTGCATGGCTCCCAAAAACAACCAATTATATGACACAATAGAGCTCTGATACATCTAAGTTTAATTATTTATTTGTGAAAATTGCCCATGCCATCCTGTTAGTTTGGAGGGCTAAGCTGGATCAAGTCCGTGTGAAATTCTTTGAAGCTTTGCAGGAAAAATTATTCCTTTGTTTCTGTAGCTCCTTATTAAACCTGGTGTCCAGATTTTATCTAGTGCCCCCAGGTCTACGGGAGCTGCTCTTTGAAAATAACACACAGGTAGATTTTACCTGAGATAAATATCGTCAGCGATAGTGCGTTCGTTACTCTCATGACAACAGAAGAGTTGAAGGCCACTTAACCCTCCAATTAAGAGGTAAAGGATGTTCCAGTTAGTTGGACGATTAAGATAGGACTTGTAAAGGTAACAGGCATTGTTTATCTCAATTGAATAAAAGTATGCAAGACGGGGGGTCAGAACAATTGTGCGTATACAGAGGATTTGTACATACAGGTGACTTTAATTCGCAGAGGATTTTCGATATAAATTCCGTGAAAAATACACTAAATTTAAATAAAATAATATCATGGTTGGCCGAGAAATTGTACGCACAGTGCATCCGTGCGTATGCCTAGTTACGCCCATGATATTCGTGCAGAATCTGACGAATCTGTTGCCCTATGATGCCAAGTGGCTGTAAGAGTAGGCAGCCTGCTTCAGAAATTATTGTGTTGCGCTAACTTTTTGGTCTCTTTGCAACCCCACAAATTGAAATGTGTGCACTATTTCTTCGGAAATTATATTTTAAATGTAGATATTTCAGGCGCACACATTATGTTAAATATTCATTTATCATCACTATTCAATGTTTATCATTAATCTGCTTCATTTCTTTTAGTAATGGGACTTTCAGTAAATGCAGCCGTCATCGGCCAAATTTCGAACATCATACTTGAGTTTGTTCCATTATTTTATCTGCATGTCATATTATTATTTAAATTAGCTTAGATCAAGGAGACATAAACGTTAGTTTTCAGTTTAGCGTGGTGTGGGGTTTCCGTAGATGCTGCTTCTTAAAATTGAATTGTGAATTAAATCGGTATTTTTTTTTTTTTGCAAGATTCGCGATAAGAGCTTGGGTTCGATATACAGATACTGGGCCCCAAGTTGGAGTTACTGGAGTTAGGGTGCAGCGAGGCGTGGAGTACATTTGTACATGGCGTGCTGTATGTCGTTGTTAACTTTCTTGATGTTCAACCTATGGATCAAAATGACTTGCACTCGCAGTGTAATCTGTGCCTATTGCCTTGAATATGTGGTCCTCTTCTTTATGAGCAGTCTAATGCGCCCAAATCACCTCATCTGTTAAACTGTTCCATTGGTTCTTTTCTTTCCTCAAGTATTCCATTGCTCTGTATTTGTTTGTCGTACTTTAATGTAGACTAATATATAATTTAAAAAGAATTTACAGAATTTACGATACTGAAATGCAGTACCTGAATCCCCTGAAAGAAAATGAACAAAAATGTGTTATAAATATCAGGAAAAAAAATAATGTTTATAATGTTTAATAAAAAATTACGCTAAAAAATATGCACCTGGGGTCGTAAACGATCCCACCCGGTATGAATAGGGTGCGTTAAGATGCGGGGGAATATCGGGGCGGAGCGGGAAGTATCGGTGCGGGGACGTGTCGGTGCGGGTGAGTATATGGATGTTTCTATTTAGTGAGTATTCAGCGAAATCTTATATTTATAATGATGCGCATGTTATTGTCATTACTGTTAAGTAATGTACACACACTGGACAATAGAAGTGTCACCCCTACTGAACCAATACTTTGGAGGAGATAAATGACTGTGGAATGATATGCTCCTGGTATCATTTTATTAACATCAAATTTCACAAAAGAAACGGTTCTGACTAAACAATTCAACTATATTGATATTCTGACATTGCTTATATTCCGTCTCTTAGGCTAATAACTTTGATTACTCTGATTCAGGGGGTGACACTTCTATTGTTCAGTGTGTATATATTCATGTTATCTTCGTATACTAATGTCAAATAATGTACGTTTATAATGTTTTGATCCGTATCTGCTTAGCATGATACCATGATGCAATTAATGTCTATTTTGTCTTTTGTAATTCCTTTATAATTTTGTTGACTGTGTTCTATGAATAGTGTATTCTATCAGCATTGCATGTCATAACGCTATTAGGACCTGTATTTTAAGTTGAACTTTTTGGACCTTTGAGAACACAGAAACAGAGAAAAATGCTTTTGAACCGAAGAGTTCCCGCTTTTCCCCGCTCTTAACATATTTGACCTCCTGACGAGAAAACATGAAGTGTGATATTTTAGGTACATTGTTGTGATTTGTAATAAATACTTTCTACAATGCCCAGTGTGTTTATTGTTCTCGGTTCCTCTATCAATAAAAGAAAAAGAGTCAATGCTGAGGAAGCGGAGGATTATCGTATTCTTTCTAGGGGGATACATATATATATATGCGGGGATGTAAGGAGACGACCCCCAGTTACCGATACTCCCCCCACACCGTTATTCTCCTGACGAACTCACTGGTTAAATGCGACATATAAACCACAATTTTTGCTTATAATTTATAACTGTAAATAACGGGGCCCAAAAATGACATGTTTTCGATTTGTCATTTCAAAAATCGATGTGAGTCTCGAAAAGAAGTAGGCCCCTATTGGTGTGACATAGGCCTATGTAACGATAACGGGGAATAACAGTGTGGGGAGTAAAAAAAAAGTATGCCTACTTTGGACAAATAAAACATCGTTATAGTAGGTTCTGGAACGAGTAAAACTTCGTTTTGTTGTCCTTTTGGAAAAAATATTGATCCAAGTTTTATTTTATTTAGCAGTTATCAGTAAAATATAGGCCTACATCCGAGATGCACCTATTTTGACAACGTAAGTATTTTAGCAGGACACATATCCTATTCCAACGTAAAATAACAGATAGCCTTTGTCTTTGACCTTTTCCGAAATGGAGAGCTATAGACATCTCCGGGTATACCCGATCACGCGTAGTGTGCATGCATGACGGTTTCATGAGCACGCCTCATTATAGTTTTCCACGTGCACATGTACCAGTGAATAGCGTGAATAGTTCCCACCTGTGTTATCGTAGCTAAAACAATTAATGATCAGGGCTGATGGTATGGGCTACTTTTTCTTTTTGCTGCAGTACGTTCAGGCATTTTAAATATGAATATAAAAAAAAAGGAAAAATGAATGAAATTACATATAAAAACGTTTGGAAGAATTACAATATGATCTGTAATAGTCGAGGACATGGGACAAATAAAATGATCGCCCAAGGTGAGGAAGAGTGAGGCAGGATTAAATGTTTAAAAAGACATATTACTTTATTTATATATGATCAAACAAAAGCATTTATACAATCCCTTCAAATCCTTAATTATGAACATCTGGGGATTTTTAGCAACATTTCATGATATCTCTATCCAGTCAATACAAAAAGCAATTACAAAAATATATGATTGACTGAAATTGAATCTCCTGATTTCCACAATTTAAAGATTGACACAATCATGGCATCGATTCACCGTCTCATGATTGCAACAGACACCACTGCTGATTATATGGTTTAGCACATGCACATGTAGCATAAATTCAATTTGACTCTGACACTGGGGCATTTTCGTTGACATGTAAGTTCTGTATTGTTTGATTACTATTATCACTTTCATTATCGCCATCAGCCTGTTTCTTAGGATGGTCCACCTGACACTTTTTCTTAAACTTAAGTGCCTTCTTTTCTTCTGTCTCTTTTTGCTCTTTTTCCAACTGTTTCTGCTTTTCACCCAAATCCTTCAACCTTTGAGCTTCTTCTTCTTCTTGCTGTTGATGTAGTTCTTTACGCCACTGAAAGAGGAACCAAAAAGTTAACACTGATTTAAATATTCATATATATCATATATTTTTTTTGCTGCACTTACAATAATGTTGCTGAGTTACCATAAACATCTGTATATATATCCTTATGGGATGTAAATATACTCCTGTACCTGGTATCCCATTTTCCCCCTTGATTATCATTTCAAAAATCTACTTTTTCAGGGGAATGCCCATTTACGCAACATTTACTACAATGAAACACATGGAGTGTGCCTCGTCCAGTTGCAGATATACCAATAATAGTCCAATAATATTTACTTTTAAATCATAGCATGCTCTAAAGTCTAAAATACTAATCAAATATGCATTTCATTTATGCATATAAAGTGATCTTGACATTACTAGTCAGAGATATTCTACATGTACTGTATATTGTACATGAAAACAACTAACCTGATCCTCAACTATTCTCTTTAAGTCAAAACTTGTGCGAGTATTGAAATCCAGTGGTGGTTCATAAAGAGCTGTAGCAAGCTGCAACTCTTCCCTGAAACAGTAAAATATTTTAAAATATATCAAAGGTAATTTTCCTCTGAAATACCCTATTCTACTACTCTTTAATATACCTACAGTGATTAATCACAAATTTCAACAAACTTTAAGCACTCCATCTATTAAATTTTTTTCATGGCCAACCATTTCATTATAATTTTAAATGATAAAATTCCTCATCTCATTCTTAATCCTCACTGCTATATCAAGTTTAAATAAAAGATGTCACTTGAAGACTTATCTGAGTCTTCCTCTATACATTCACACACTCACTTTAATGTTGTTCGTAGAGGTTCCTTCTTTGCTGGCTTTGGTTTCGGCACAATAACTTGTGGCCTGCGACTGGTTTTGGGTTGTGGAGGAGGGTCAACAGGTGGTGGAAGAGGTGGCAGGTAAATCTTGGACAAACCAACAGCAATTTTGGCACCTATTGTGCTCGGTGTTATTGACATATGCTGTTTAAGCAAGTTTTCTATGTTGGCATCCACCTAAAGTACACCAGAATTATAAATCTAAATGATGAGGTCAATATAATTCCTTAAAGTATATATATCGATTTGTACTAGTCTTGTTTTTCAAAAGAAAAAAAAGATTGACTTGGCAAATGTGACCATGTACCATTTAGAGATATATAAAGTATCATCCTCGTTATTATTATTATAATTATTAATTCAAGAGCAAACATTTTTATATTTTTCTTATATCAGGTTATAATCTTTACCATTAAAAATACAAAACTCTTTTGCCTGATCAAATTTAATGTTGTATGTATTTTCAAAAAATAAGCCACAATTAACTTTTAATTGTTACAACCTTTAAAAGATAAAAAATAATCTTACCTGTCCAACTTTAAGTGCTTCTAGAACTCTTTCATCTTTCTCCAGACATCGGACTCGAAGCAAGGTGTTCCATGCCACTGTTCTTAGACCTTCCCTGTTCTTGTCTTCAGCACAGCAGCGACACAGCTTGACTAGACCTTGAATTGCACCATATCGAATACGCCAACTCCAGTCATTAGGACCTGGAAAATTAGGAAACCTTTTAACAAAGTTCCACATACCACAAGAAGCAAGAGCAGTCATACAGAACAACTTGAAATAACAAAACATTGCATTCAAACTAAACGATGTATCTTACACATTTGGTCATTGCAAAAAAAATCACCAAAATAAATTCTTTTTTGTGCCAGTACTGAAGAACAGAAGTAAGGAAGACTGGAAAGGTAATTGCAAAAACCAAAAAAGGTACTCTTACCTCCATCTGCAGTCTCACCAGGAGCATGAAAATAAGCCATATCCAGTAACCCTGCACTGTCCAGTGGGTGCTGTGTGACTGTCTGACAGGTCATTTCATTGACATCATTGTGATGACCCATCAGTGCCACCTTCTGGATGTTAGATGTCTTACCATGGAGACAGATGTCGGACAGGATGTCAGTGTATGTGATGGCTACCTCCCAATGCCAGCCATTCAAACCAGGTGTGTCTGGATACTGGTAGTAAAAAAAACTCTTTTAAAATGAAGTGTTCTGTAATCTTAGATATGCCGAGCAATCTGATTTCTACACTACACACGTTTCAAACTTGAACTTCTAACATTTTAATCTAAAATTAAAATAAAGGTTATAATTTTCAATAGTAGGAAATTAAAGTTAAAACAACTAATATAGAAAATGTGGCTACCCGATCCTAAAAACATAAAGGAAAGCTCTATATTTTTGCAATTATCATCATCACTACTCACTGGCATATTTGTAAAGGTTTGAACACTACTAGCTTGAGACATTCTATCTTCCTCTGTTCCAAAGGTTGCTCTCTTCCCAGTCATATCAGTATCCATTTGATCCCGGGTCAATTTTGACCTTTGAGACTCTCGTGTAAATTTCCTAGAAGTTTGTGTCCCTTCTTTGGATAACCTTCTAGTATCTTTTTCAAAATCTTTACCATCATCTTCTTGTGGTTGTTGTTCTAGATTCTGCAACTCCTGATCCTGTAGGATTTCCTGTTGTGTGTTTGAACCACTGTGTTCAGAGTGTGTGTGCGTGCCTTCTGCCAGGTAAACTGTCCTGTCTTGAGAATCACTCCAGAAACTCTGGGTGTCCTTGACATTGGTGTGACTTTCCTCTTTGATGTCTTCTGAAGCTACTGCTCCTGAATTAAACAGAGATAGGCTAATGTTAATAAAAAGCAGTAAAATGTAAATTATATTTAAACATTACATAGTAAGTGACTTGAAAATGGTTTTGTGAATAAATCTGATGTAACAGTGCCAAAAAATCTTGTTTATTTCACAGAAGAATTTCCACATCATAAAGCAGTATACACATGTACTTATTGAAAGAGAACTAAAAGATACTTATTTTAAAAAAGCTACGAGTTTGAAGATCTATTGGTGTGGACAAAAAAAATTCCATTTACTTTCAAATCAAAAATGTTCTAAAACAAGAATAAATCTAGGAATAAAAAAATATATATATTGATTACCTGTGTTAATATCTTTTAAAGTTTCATGCATGTCGGGTGTATGAGGTGTTCTACTAGGCACACCCTGGGCCAAGCTTTGGAGAACTTTCAGTGAGCTTAGGTTGGTCTTAGCTGCCTCTGCTAGTATACCTAGTGCACAAGCACCATCCACCCTAAAAGACAAATAAACTGATCAGAGCAAATAAAAGATTTGACTTTACACAAACTTGGCAGTTACTTTCAGAAATCTCTCTTTTTCTTCATTCTAAAAATCATATTTCAAAAGTTTTTCATAAAAAAAAAAAAATTAGAATCAAATATATTTTATCATCAAAGTTTAAAAGTGGTCGAAATGAAAGAAAAAATAACTTTACTGTAAGATTTAAACTACTTTCATTTAAAAATAATGTCAATAATAATAATAATAATAATAATAATAATAATAGTATATCGACATTGATATTAAGCATCCATCACCCTACCAATTTTCTTTGGCAAGTCCTTTTCCACAGTGACTCAGGGCCATGAGTGCCTCTTTAAGTCCCCCACTGACTTGATTTGTGCACCTGTACACATCTAGTGCATGCCACAGAGTGGGACTAAGCTCATGGACACTGGAACTAATAGCCCCACTGTGGGCTGACTGTCCTCTCTTTGTCGCATCATACTTCACTGTTGTCTCAGGAAATAACTGAAACATGAAAGAATATGATAAAATTTCTGTTACCTGAGTACTGCACAAAAAAGGTTTATATTAAACCAAGCAATTTTAAAACTGAAATAATGTTTTAAGGAAAAATTTAAAACAAAAATTAACATTTAACAATCACAGCAATACAGATATTGCAAGCAGGTACTTTTAGATTATTCTTCTGTTTCATAAAATATTCACCAAAGCTGTGCATTAAATTTACATTTGAAACTTGAACTATAATTTATTTCTTCTTATTTAGCATAATTAGTCAGTAACCTCTTCTGAATCTGCAGTTGGTATGTTGTCCCCTTCCTTGATCTCACCAGAATCCAGCAGAACATCAGATACCAGTATCTTGCCTACCTCTATCACATACCGTAAAGACAGAAGGGCGTTTGGATAGGGGTTATAAGCATCCTGGCACTCTGGGAGACCTACATGAGTAATTAAATGTTTTAAGTCTTTTCTATCATTCCTATTTAAGGCCACTAGCTAATGTGCTGTTCTACATACATGCTTGCATGCACATGCACACATGCAAGCTTTAATTTTTTTAGATTTGTTGTGTGTCAATTACCGTTAGTAATTCAAATCATGTATACTAAATAGAATATTTAAGCAGTGTCATCAAATTTGTAGTTAAACTTACCATCTAAGTAGGTGAAAAGCCTGCTTTTATACTGGACGTGACCTTTAAGCTGGCCTGCCATGTGGTGGTAGAACAACCTCATGAAAACCAACTGACCCATCTGAAGAGAAAGAGAGTTAAAATTTTGTGTTAAGATATTGACATAAATTGGACTAGAGAACAAGAACCAGAGATTTTTTATGTGAAAGTGAACCAATACACATGATGTGAATTGATTGTGAATTGTGATTGTAAAGTGTGATTGATAAAGTCATAACAATGTGAAAATACATTTGTAAACCATGTTTCTCTATGAGTACAAAGATTAAATTACAAATAATAAGATGTTAAAAAAGAACAATTTTAAAGAACAAATTTAAAATTAATAAAAAAAGAAACACTTTAACAAACAAAAAGCAGTTTTTCTAAATATCTGTTCTACCTTCAAGAGTTTGATCTCTCCCGTCCGTAAATATGGCTGGTTTACAGAATCTGTGCGCAACCAATATAAACATGTCTCTGCAAGAAAGAACAGGGCTGGAATCTGGCTTTTATTTAAGGGAGCTTGGTCCAGGGAGGTGAGCAGCACATCCAAACACTCTGAAAGCAGGCAAAAGGGTTGTATAGAAAAAAGTCTCTTTTTCATCATACTAAGACCAGTAGAATTTCCCTGTATTGAGCATTACTAGTGAGTATTTATTTAGATAATGCTCCATGCACAAACTCAGCATTGCAAAAATACAGTATAAGAATAGTGTAAAGAGGCATTGACAGTAACTGAAAGATACTTTTGTTTAAACATACATGGGAAGTATTAAAATGACCATAGTTATTGCGCCATTTGCAGAATATCACAACCTACTGGTGTACACTACTAATAAAAAATTTAAAAATAAATTGTTAAAGAGGTTTACTGCTAATTGAAACAATATACAGATTATATATTTTTTCAGATTAATAATTATGTAAAAAACATCACTTAAACCAGTGCAGAGAGAAAGAGTGTATGAGTAAAAAAAATTGTATAATATGTTCGTTTTATTAAGTGATTTACTCAAAATAAGACAAATGACTTTCTGCCACAGGAACAAAGTTTATATGAAATTTCCACAATAAGCAGAGTAGTCCATTGCCCACTGACCTTCCTGTACTTTCCCCTTGCATTGTGCTAGTTGAGATAGCTCAGTCCACGCAATGGGCAGGTCAACATGACTGCCTATACCTCCAGAACGCAGCCCTGCTCTACGCTACACAAAATAAAATGGAAAAACTATGAAATAAACTGATGTATCATGTAAGAAGTCATTACAGGATACTACGGTAAAACATATTCATGATTTTATGAGTTATAAAAAACTTAACAAAATATGGTGAATCCACCAAATATTTTATGTCTGTAAAGAATGGCCAGTACATTCTGTATAACATTCCCTAGCAATGGTCCCAAATAAAAAAAATGAAGCAGATCTTCATTCAAACTTAGACTACCTATACTTAAGTAAAACATTTTTGATTAGCACACCTGTTCTGCAAGCAGATAAATGTCAAATACATACCTTAACTCTTTCTATCATTTTCGATGCAATGCCTTCCAGTTTTTCCTTTTCATCAAATGTCTTTGCATTGTTGTATTGTTGAACAAACTCTTCAGTCACTTCCAATGGATTTCTGAAAAAAGCCCATTAAGTATATTTTTTATTCAAAACACATAACAATTGCATTATCTAAAAAGTGACATATATTTCATTATACTGTGCTTTTCAGTAAGCATTTATTAGTGTTTCTATCTTGACAAGCCTACTTCAAAAAATAAATATATTCATTAATTTCAATTAAATTAATAAACAATTATACTTCTAACAACTGGAATCTTGTCTTATAACATAAAAGAAATAAATTATTAATAATTTAAAAATACACTTTTTTATTCAGAGAAAATGACAATACAATATACTACATTATAATACAAATTTATAAATTATGCAGATGTGGTTTCAAACTTTATTTTACCAGCCTGAGGCCAAAAAAAGCCTTACCTTGATGTCAAAGCTGTTTTTCTTGAAGCAACACTTTGTAGGTATGACTGCTTCAATAATCTCTCCTGTAACTCTAACCTCTGACTGTGAGAAATAATCCCAAATTTGTGAACTATTGGTACCTTGGTAATAGGCATCTTAGTATCTGATTATATCTGATAAATATTAGAAAGTCTGAAGTCTGAAATATGAATTATGAAATTATTAGCAATTCATATATTACAGTGCATTAAATTATACACTGTCTTTACCTAACAAAATGTAGTATTTTTTCCAAGCAGACATGATATTCTTGCAAAGAGATATTTAAGTTGCCAATTAATTTGTGAAAAGGTGCTACATATATATATGTATATATCTTTTTTTTAATTAAAAAAAAGAACCCTGTAAGAATAGTACATCATTAAAAAAATCTTAATATGGCAAGTATGCATAACACAATACTGCAAAGACACCTGAGCACACCAGATAGGTTCAAGATCACATAGTCAACAGATTTCAGAACATCTTTCATTTGGTACACAATTTTTCTTGTTTTTGAGTAGTTAACTGTACCGCTGTAATTTTCATCTACTTCTCAATTCTAAATGTGTAAATGGCAGTCTTCAGTGGATAAATGATGTAACAGTGGCATTATTAGTAGATTTAGCCATCTCAGTAGTAAAACCTGTTGGCTACATTTTGCACAATGTGTGGGTTGTGTATGTGAGAGGTATGGAAAGATTTCAGTCCCTAGCTGACAGGAGTAGTTTTGATCATCAGTTTGGGAACATGTTTTTGAGTCTCCAGCATTATAATATTAAAAAACATATAAAAAAGAATGCTAGAAGCCGATTACTGAGAATATTTATATCTCTTCATTACACACTTCCTTCCATTTAACTCATTATTTTTGTTATATGTGAGCATATGGTCTAGCTGGGTGTTTTATCACCTGACATTAAAATACATAAATTTAATTAATGAATAATTTCAAAGCATATCAAAATCAGGCCCGTGGCCAGCAATTTCAAAAAGGGGGTTCTTTTTACAAAAAAGCAGACCTTTACAATGAAATTTTTGTGCACCTACAGGTAGATCAATTTTTATCCAGAATGGGCGTTTCCTGACAAAAAGGGCCGTTCTTTCTAACCCCCCGAAGCCCTTCTGGCTAAGGGCCTGAAATATTTCAGTCTAATTTCCTTGTGTCCCTTTAACTCAAGGCACTAAATTGTAAATTTCAATTTTGTACATTCTAATTTGATACCTTTAAGTATAATATAATCATCGTTTGACGTACTTGCTAACCAGAGCACGGTAAATTACTTTATCTTTCTTATTCTTCGAGTCAGCAGCAATAATTCAAATGAAACACATCGTTAGATTATCCCTGAAGCCAATTAAAAATATGTGAGTGGGCGACGGTACAAGACAGTGAATTAGTCCCTATAATACACCCAAATGTCACTACCGTCGTTGAAGATCACTGGAAGTTATACCGTAATAACTTGATAAGTCACAAACACAGTTTGTGCTAAAATATAATTTTGCTTACCTTAAAACTTACAACTTGGGAAGACACGTCTGTATCAATTACTTTTTTATTTGAATGTCTTTTATCCACACAAAAAGTGGTTATATTATAGAAACAATCTCTCCTATTGGAAAATAGCTAGTTTTCGTCCACCATAGTGGCATTTTCTCCATGGGAACACCGGAAGTCGATTGCCGGAAGTTATCCTTAAGCAGAGCGCATGCGAAGAAAAGTTGCAGATGATGTGAGCTGCCTTAAAAACAGAAAAAATAAACGGGAATTGTTCACCACCCCAAAGAGAATGAGTTTTAGAAATCAGGTGAGAAATTTTCTTTTTTTCCAGTATAATTATTTTATTAATTGTACACGCCATTTCCCAGGATCGTGTTTATTATTCCACCCTTATCTTGGGCCAAAAATATGGAAAGAACTTTAAGACGAATTAAAGCAAAGCATCAGTTCAAATGAGTTTTAATCACTTGTTGGACTTTGGGAAGGACCTAAATGCAAATGCACCACTATGCACCCTATGCTCCCAATTATAGTGCAAACAATCCGATCAAAATCGGTTTTGTATTTTTTAATGAATTGCATAAAACTGTCATACCCTAACTTTGCATCAGGTAACTTTCTGCAGGTAAAGGTACCTTGCATGTAAGGAAAAAACAGAGGCATACATATATCTAAACCACCGTAGAGACCATAAAATAAGGTACTTTTTTAAAGGCAAAATAAGGTACCTAATTTTATGGTACCTTATTTCAAGGCTTAATACCTTAGAGAGGGGTGGGCACGCTCGGCTGTCACCTTGATTGGATAGTAAACGGTTGTCGTAAAATCGCTAAATGATATTAAAACCCGGTGCATAAACTTGAAAACCACCTAGGACAACCTTAGACTGCCACATTAATCCAATACAGTGCAAAAATAAACTATAACAAGTGGTTAAAGCCTTCAAACCGAATGTCGTAAAGTCCCCATNAAAAAATGAAGCAGATCTTCATTCAAACTTAGACTACCTATACTTAAGTAAAACATTTTTGATTAGCACACCTGTTCTGCAAGCAGATAAATGTCAAATATATACCTTAACTCTTTCTATCATTTTCGATGCAATGCCTTCCAGTTTTTCCTTTTCATCAAATGTCTTTGCATTGTTGTATTGTTGAACAAACTCTTCAGTCACTTCCAATGGATTTCTGAAAAAAGCCCATTAAGTATATTTTTTATTAAAAACACATAACAATTGCATTATCTAAAAAGTGACATATATTTCATTATACTGTGCTTTTCAATAAGCATTTATTAGTGTTTCTATCTTGACAAGCCTACTTCAAAAAATAAATATATTCATTAATTCCAATTAAATTAATAAACAATTATACTTCTAACAACTGGAATCTTGTCTTATAACATAAAAGAAAAAAATTATTAATAATTTAAAAATACACTTTTTTATTCAGAGAAAATGACAATACAATATACTACATTATATTACAAATTTATAAATTATGCGAATGTGGTTTCAAACTTTATTTTACCAGCCTGAGGCCAAAAAAAGCCTTACCTTGATGTCAAAGCTGTTTTTCTTGAAGCAACACTTTGTAGGTATGACTGCTTCAATAATCTCTCCTGTAACTCTAACCTCTGACTGTGAGAAATAATCCCAAATTTGTGAACTATTGGTACCTTGGTAATAGGCATCTTAGTATCTGATTATATCTGATAAATATCAGAAAGTCTGAAGTCTGAAATATGAATTATGAAATTATTAGCAATTCATATATTACAGTGCATTAAATTATACACTGTCTTTACCTAACAAAATGTAGTATTTTTTCCAAGCAGACATGATATTCTTGCAAAGAGATATTTAAGTTGCCAATTAATTTGTGAAAAGGTGCTACATATATATATGTATATCTTTTTTTTTAATTAAAAAAAATCCTGTAAGAATAGTACATCATTCAAAAAATCTTAATATGGCAAGTATGCATTACACAATACTGCACAGACACCTGAGCACACCAGATAGGTTCAAGATCACATAGTCAACAGATTTCAGAACATCTTTCATTTGGTACACAATTTTTCTTGCTTTTGAGTAGTTAACTGTACCGCTGTAATTTTCATCTACTTCTCAATTCTAAATATGTAAATGGCAGTCTTCAGTGGATAAATGATGTAACAGTGGCATTACTAGTAGATTTAGCCATCTCAGTAGTAAAACCTGTTGGCTAGATTTTGCACAATGTGTGGGTTGTGTATGTGAGAGGTATGGAAAGATTTCAGTCCCTAGCTGACAGGAGTAGTTTTGATCATCAGTTTGGGAACATGTTTTTGAGTCTCCAGCATTATAATATTAAAAAACATATAAAAAAGAATGCTAGAAGCCGATTACTGAGAATATTAATATCTCTTCATTACACACTTCCTTCCATTTAACTCATTATTTTTGTTACATGTGAGCATATGGTCTAGCTGGGTGTTTTATCACCTGACATAAAAATACATAAATTTAATTAATGAATAATTTCAAAGCATATCAAAATCAGGCCCGTGGCCAGCAATTTCAAAAAGGGGGTTCTTTTTACAAAAAAGCGGACCTTTACAATGAAATTTTTGTGCACCTAGATCAATTTTTATCCAGAATGGGCGTTTCCTGACAAAAAGGGCCGTTCTGTCTAACCCCCCCGAAGCCCCTCTGGCTACAGGCCTGAAATATTTCAGTCCAATTTCCTTGTGTCCCTTTAACTCAAGGCACCAAATTGTAAATTGCAATTTTGTACATTCTGATTTGATACCTATAAGTATAATATAATCATCGTTTGACGTACTTGCTAACCAGAGCACGGTAAATTACTTTATCTTTCTTATTCTTCGAGTCAGCAGCAATAATTCAAATGAAACACATCGTTAGATTATCCCTGAAGCCAATTAAAAATATGTGAGTGGGCGACGGTACAAGACAGTGAATTAGTCCCTATAATATACCCAAATGTCTCTATCGTCGTTGAAGATCACTGAAAGTTATCGAAAGTTATAATTACTTGATAAGTTACAAACACAGTTTGTGCTAAAATATAATTTTGCTTACCTTAAAATATACAACCTGGGAAGATACGTCTGTATCAATTACTTTTTTATTTGAATGTCTTTTATCCACACAAAAAGTGGTTATATTATAGAAACAATCTCTCCTATCGGAAAATAGCTAGTTTTCTCCCACCATAGTGGCATTTTCTCCATGGGAACACCGGAAGTCGATTGCCGGAAGTTATCCTTAAGCAGGGCGCATGCGCAGAAAAGTTGCAGATGATACGAGTTGCCAGAAGCTATTCTTATAAACAGAAAAAAATAAACGGGAATTGTTTACCGCCCAAAGAGAATGAGTTTTAGAAATCAGGTGAGATATTTTCTTTTTAAGTATTTTATTAATTGTACGCGCCATTTCCCAGGATCGTGTTTTTTATTCCACCCTTATCTTGGGCCAAAAATATGGAATGATCTTTCAGACGAATTAAAGCAAAGCATCAATATTCAAATGAGTTTAAATCACTTGTTGGGCTTTGGGAAGGACCTAAATGCAAATGCACCACTATGCACCTTATGCTCCCTATTATAGTGCAAACAACCCGATCAAAATCGGTTATGTACAGTATTTTTTAATGAATTGCATAAAACTGTCATACCCTAACCTTGCATCAGGTAACTTGCTGCAGGTAAAGGTACCTTGCATGTTAGGAAAAAACAGAGGCAACAATGTACATAAACCACCATAGAGAGCATAAAATAAAGTACTTTTTAGGGCTAAATAAGGTAAATTATTTTATGGTACCTTATTTCAAGGCTTAATACCTCAGAGGGGGTGGGTTCTACAAGAAAATTCAAGAATATTATGCCATCTTGTCAGGATATGTGTCTTTTCTATTATTTATTTATTAACTTATTAATTTATCTATTTTATTGACAGCCTAACTCCTATCTACTCATTTTCAATCAGAATGGATTATCTTGCTTAATTTGAAATACACAGCTTTAGTAAATTACTGTAAGATATGATATGTAGTTATTACAAATATTTATAATAATAATATGTATAATATAAAACAATGAATTGAATGTTCATTTTACAGGTGCTTGCAGCTTTTAAACAGCTGCATAAAACAAGAAAAGTTGTATTTGAAGGAGACACATATGCATTAAAATGTGAGTAAAACTAAACTACATTAGGAAAATTTGGGAAAATGTTATTTCTATAAACATTATAGAATAGACATATTTTAGTATGTTGAGTTGTTGGTTTTTAAAACCTGAAATAAGATGAAATGCTCTGAGATTGTTACCTCACAAATCAAGAAGCAATAATGATCAAAAGCATGTTTAAATACATTTGTTTCAGTAACACAAGACAAGATAAATGAGGAATTCAAGAAAAATAAGAATGAAACAGATTCTGACAAAATAAAAGAAGTAAGTCATTCAGATTTCAAAACTGGATCCTATGCAGAGTAAACTAACACAAAATGAGGTGTTGTAAATCAAGATTTTCTTGCTTGATGCCTTTTTTAAATCTAGCCCAGATACAGGTGCTAGAAAAGGTCTGCTAGGCATGTTTTAATATATATTTGATTGAGCAAAAACGTACCTCAAATCACAGATCATTTGACAACTAATACGCTTTGATCCTAAATCTTGAATTCCTTGTATTTGAATAGCTGATTAAGATAGCAAATGATTCTGAGACCATTCTAAGAAAGAATGTGGTTCAGCTGAAACTAAAGGAAGATACTAAGGATGAAGAAAGCCAGACATGGGGTATGTAAAACAAATCTTGAAAACATATATTTTTTTTAATATATCCCAAGCACTAATATGGTTTTTCAACCAATTTTTCTTAACATATCCCCTGAATTCTCTATGGCCATTAAGTAAATTAATCATTGAGCACATATTAATATCTTTGCTTTTATACTTTCCAGAGATGAAGATAAGAGAGGACACAGAAATGTATGATTTCACAGAACCCTGGGAACCTCCCCCAGTTAACAAAAAACAGAAGAAATGTTCCTGACAGGTCTTAACCACTGTGCCAGAAAAGCTGTTCATTTTGAAAAATGGTTACAGGACACATTCAGTACCGTGTTAAATAGCTCAGATTCAGCAGAATTTTGGCAAGCAAGAAATGAAGTATTGTGGAAAAAAATTGAAATAAATGCATCTTTCCATTTCCCTTCAAAAGTTTAACTGATTCAGCAGAAAGAAAAAAGCATGAAAACACATTTACCCATGGCACTTGAACAATCAGAAATGTTATGCTAGCCAAATATTGTTTTAGCCAATTGGCTGTGGGCTCAAGTTTTTGTAAGTGTACCATTTCCAATGTTAGCATGCTGCTGAAAATAAGATGTTAAAAACATAACGGTGGTAAGTTCCTTGGATTTTGTACCTTTTTCACTGGATATTGAATGGATAATAAACCAACAAAAACAACTTTGATCAAATATTACTTAGTTACATTTTATTACAAAACAGTTTAACACATGTACAACCGTTCCCTGTTGGATTATGAGCAGGTTACAGCCCAGTTCTAGATTATGTCGACGTGTTTTACACTTGTTTATAGACTTAAATTAGTGACCTGACTTAGTAGTTTGAAACTGGACTGTATCATTTCATAAAAGGAACAAGTACTATTACAGCTAGACTTCATCGCCAGTGTTACTACCACTATACAATTCAGCACCATGACATACTGAACATGTATAAAATCTATCTAAAATTAATTTCTGGAATCAAGAACTGCTCTGCTGGCTATGTATGACAAAGGGCAAAATAAGTTTAACTGAACAGTACTGCAACTTTTTGTTTGGCATGGTACGTACCAAATTTAGGCTAGCACCAACTAGTCCATGACACTGTTGTGTCCTATGCTTTAATGTTCAAGCATTAAACAAAATGCGCATCGGAAAAGTGAATGGTGAGTGCATATGGACCACTTAAGCTTCTGACAGCTCAACCAGGTATATCACAAACATCACAGCTTTGTCCTACCTGCAAGAAACTAGATGGCCAAATCCATTGTTGCAATATGAAATCTAACTGTTAGCTGTTGGTATAAAGCAATATTAGCCACAGCAATGAAAAATAAACTGGTACTGTTAAATAATAGCACCTTCAAGACACTGAGTGATGTCAACTGACAGTTCTTTCAAAGAACAAAATCAACATCACTTTTCCTCATCAATCTTTTTTGCTGTCAAACCACCATCATTCCCTTTTACTATGGATGTATAATCCCTTGCAACAATTCCACAGCCTGGTGTTCTATTCTGATATAGTTTCTGAATTCTACCAAGTATCAATCAGTTGTCATTTGCACATGCCTGGGCAAGCAGTCTTGAGTGAAAGGAGGGGTTTTGTTATACAACTTAACCATATTGCCACAGCATTGAAACGTATACACTAATATACAGCACACACACTTTCCAAATGTCCTTTTTTCTCACAGCAATTCCAAAATGTGCAGTTTCCTGNTTGACTTTGCATCTTTAAGAAAACTACATTAATAAACATTATAGAACAGACGTTTAGTCGTTGGTTTTTTAAACTTGAAATAAACTAAAATGTTCCAAGATTGTTACCTCAAAAATCAAGAAGCAATAATGATCAAAAGCATGTTCAAATACATTTGTTTCAGTAACACAAGACAAGATAAATGAGGAATTCAAGAAAAATAAGTATGAAACAGATTCTGACAAAATAAAAGAAGTAAGTCATTCAGATTTCAAAACTGGATTTTATGCAGAGTAAACTAACACAAAATGAGGTGTTGTAAATCAAGATTTTCTTGCTTGATGCCTTTTTAAAATCTAGCCCAGATATAGGTGCTAGAAAAGGTCTGCTAGGCATGTTTTTGACATATGATATTGTATTTGATTGAGCCAAAAGCTATCTGTTAATTTGACTTACCTCAAATCACAGATCATTTGACACCTAATATGATTTGATCCTAAATCTTGAATTCCTTGTCTTTGCATAGCTGATTAAGATAGCAAATGATTCTGAGACCATTCTAAGAAAGAATGTGGTTCAGCTGAAACTAAAGGAAGATACTAAGGATGAAGAAAGACAGACATGGGGTATGTAAAACAAATCTTGAAAGTAATTTTTTTAAATATATCCCAAGCACTAATATGGTTTTTCAACCAATTTTTCTTAACATATCCACTGAATTCTCTATGGCCATTAAGTAAATTAAAGCAATAATAACTCTTCGTTTCGGCCAAAAAATGAATTTTCCTGGAGTAAACAACAATTTTCCCATACTTATCAATGGTTAATGAATCCATTTTTACATTCAAAGTTAGTCCCTGGTTTTTTTCTAAAAAGTTTGGTTTTTTGTTAAAATCTCTGAAGAGATTTTAACAAAGTATAGACATCAATGGAGGTCACGTGGTCTAAAGACAAGTTCAAATATCAGAATAAAAGCTATAGCTGCTGTTTTTGTTGTAAAACAGAATATATTATATTTCTGTGAGTTATTCACAAGGTTTTTATTGTGAAATATAGGTCTCATACAAAGAGTTATTATGCCTTTAATCATTGAGCAGATATTAATATCTTTGCTTTTATACTTTCCAGAGATGAAGATAAGAGAGGACACAGAAATGCATGATTTCACAGAACCCTGGGTACCTCCCCCAGTTAACAAAAAACAGAAGAAATGTTCCTGACAGGTCTTAACCACTGTGCCAGAAAAGCTCTGTTCATTTTGAAAAAAGGTTACAGGACACATTCAGTACCATGTTAAATAGCTCAGATTCAACAGAATTTTGGCAAGCAAGAAATGGAGTATTGTGGAAAAAATCGAAATAACTGCATCTTTCCATTTCCTTTCAAAGTTTTTAAACTGATTCAGCAATCTTTCGGCAGAAAGAAAAAAGCATGAAAATACATTTACCCATGGCACTTGAACAATCAGAAATGTTATGCTAGCCAAATATTGTTTTAGCCAATTGGCTGTGGGCTCAGGTTTTTGCAAGTGTACCATTTCCAATGTTAGCATGCTGCTGAAAAAAGATGTTAAAAACATAACGGTGGTAAGTTCCTTGGATTTTGTGCCTTTTTTACTGGATATTGAATGGATAATAAACCAACAAAAACAACTTTGATCAAATATTACTTAGTTACATTTTATTACAAAACAGTTTAACACATGTACAACCGTTCCCTGTTGGATTATGAGCAGGTTACAGCCCAGTTCTAGATTATGTCGACGTGTTTTACACTTGTTTATAGACTTAAATTAGTGACCTGACTTAGTAGTTTGAAACTGGACTGTATCATTTCATAAAAGGAACAAGTACTATTACAGCTAGACTTCATCGCCAGTGTTACTACCACTATACAATTCAGCACCATGACATACTGAACATGTATAAAATCTATCTAAAATTAATTTCTGGAATCAAGAACTGCTCTGCTGGCTATGTATGACAAAGGGCAAAATAAGTTTAACTGAACAGTACTGCAACTTTTTGTTTGGCATGGTACGTACCAAATTTAGGCTAGCACCAACTAGTCCATGACACTGTTGTGTCCTATGCTTTAATGTTCAAGCATTAAACAAAACGCGCATCGGAAAAGTGAATGGTGAGTGCATATGGACCACTTAAGCTTCTGACAGCTCAACCAGGTATATCACAAACATCACAGCTTTGTCCTACCTGCAAGAACCTAGATGGCCAAATTCATTGTTGCAATATGAAATCTAACTGTTAGCTGTTGGTATAAAGCAATATTAGCCACAGCAATGAAAAATAAACTGGTACTGTTAAATAATAGCACCTTCAAGACACTGAGTGATGTCAACTGACAGTTCTTTCAAAGAACAAAATCAACATCACTTTTCCTCATCAATCTTTTTTGCTGTCAAACCACCATCATTCCCTTTTACTATGGATGTATAATCCCTTGCAACAATTCCACAGCCTGGTGTTCTATTCTGATATAGTTTCTGAATTCTACCAAGTATCAATCAGTTGTCATTTGCACATGCCTGGGCAAGCAGTCTTGAGTGAAAGGAGGGGTTTTGTTATACAACTTAACCGTATTGCCACAGCATTGAAACGTATACACTAATATACAGCACACACACTTTCCAAATGTCCTTTTTTCTCACAGCAATTCCAAAATGTGCAGTTTCTTGGGTATTTCAGGTCAAGATTTGGATTAAGCAGAAATACTACATAGAACAGAGGTTGTTTTGGGGTTACTTAGCTGGAACTTAAAAGGGGAGAGGAGAGGAAAAGATACATACAAAGTTATTCCTTAGTATGGCTTTGGAAATGCAGGTCAAAAAATGGCATCAATGCAAATGACAAAATGCAAATTTTTATCATAGAAGGACAGAATTAAAACAAAAAGGACTCCGGACGTCTCTTCAAAGCACACGTGGTTGCCAGCTCTGTGAACAAAATTTTACATTCTTACACTTAACATTTGTTTCTTTTTGTTCACAGCATCACCACAGAGACTACTAACTGCACTAAAACACAACACCACCCTGCGCTGGACCACTGCACAACTGTGAAAAGAAGTTGGATCAGTGCCTTGTCTGGTGGGTGAAAATATCATATAGCAAATACAGTACTGTAGGCCATCATACACATTGCACCTCTTGATGTATATCAAAAATGAAGCAACTGTAACTACACAATACTTTTTTCTTACTTTTTATATGAACATTACTTTACTAGCAACTCTGAACTTGTACTGCTGAACACAGTATGGTAAAACTGTCATGTGCTTACAGACTAGAGCACAATAAGCAGCAAACTTCCATCACATTGGCCATGATCTATTTACAAGCCATGGCACAATTTGGTCCCAGGCTAGGACAAATCTATATTCAATGAAAAACCAATTTGAATTCATCATCAATATCTCATCCGAAAATAAAAATTTAACATATCATAATTCATTATCAATCAGTGTAAAGACAATAGAAACATGTAGACCACACAAAATAACCAGCCTTCTTACACAGTATTTCATTCCACAGTGAATTGTGAAACTGAGGCACCATATCTGCTAATGGAGCTGTGCCACATACTGAGCGTGCTGTGCTAACACATGTCAGTTTGGTTTTGATTTTACAACTAAATTATCATAACTGTGGCATAGTGAGTAACTAAAAGCTCAATTAAAGTGCGCAGTGAAAGTGAGCCATAATACAGAAATAACATTAGTTCTTTATCACCAGTTTTTCACACCTAAAACAAGGAGTGATTCTGGATTCCAATCCATTCACAATGAAACACTCACAACTTGCTGGATATATTCAGCTACAACTGAATGGATACCAGCTACAGATACCTTCCTTAAGTTATATGTTTACAGAAACAATATTCAAAATCACAAATAATTTTTTTCACATCAGACATAAAAATATTACGCTACATTTACATAGAATATGTAATTTCTCTGTATAAAAAGCTCAATCAGCACAGAATTTTAAATATATAGAAGTATTTATGCAAATAAGTTCTATGAATCCTGATCAAAATTATCAAAATTGTACAGGGAAATGGGGTGTGATACATCCAAAGCAGGCATTCTGCTATTGTTGGTCATTTCAAAAGCATTCAGATCATGCCTGCCTGTAATCTTTTTTTCTCCAGCATATTTACAAAGTATGTCTGTCCACTGCTGCATCATGTGCGATTCTTACAAAGCACTACCCCAGTAATCATTGCACTTGCATCAATAAACTTTATAGTTCCTAGGTGTTGAAGAAAATAATCTATCTCTTCTCTGTAGGTTGTCGCGGATCCAAATTATGGCAGTTCAAACAATTCCAAGCCTGGCTGAAAATTTTTTTTCACCAGTGTGTCTTTTAAAAATTCCCTCTAACTGACAGTAAGTATAGTGACGTGATATGCACCACAAAAATGACAAAACTGGTACAAAACGCTGTCTAGGTAGTATTGTGGTTAAAGATTCCAAGATGTCCATTGACCACAATGATGTGTTTAAATGATGATAATAAGTTATCAACTTCCAAAAATTACAGCTGGAAACATGGGAGTCCTGCAAAACCTTTTTTTCTACCCAACTTTTTTTCTTCTTGTCAAGCCAAGTTCACATCCATGATGTGCCATGAGCTTGGACAAAACTGCTGCTGCCCTCAGGCGGCAGAGCTCCCACCTAATACCACTGCAGTTGTCAAGGGCACTTTCACTAGTCAAGTCAGTCCACGGTGGCTGCATACAAGCCATCCAACCAAACTTAACAGCTGTCACACCAGGTTGTATTCCTTTAAATTGAGCTGTAAGATTGTATCCTTTACTGCTGCAAATACAAACCGAATATTTTCTGTATCTGGAAAAGAGAAAATGACATTGCTGGTTATGCATCAGATAACAATTTTTTTTTTCAAAAGAATGGATGGATGAAACACACCGCCACAAGATCACTCTGAACAAACTCAAGTTTTTCTTCTTGTGTAACAATACAGACTGCAAGGACTAAACAATTGGAAAATATTATGAAAAGCACAAACTATTATGCACCTTAATAGTAATTACTGAACAAAACATGCCAATTATATCTTCAAGGTTTATACTCCAAACAAAACTTCATGAACTTACCTGTAGCACATGTAAAATGTGAATAAATTATCTTATCAGGGTCTGGATTTAAATCCACAAACATTTTTAATATGAATTCCCTTGCTGCCTGAGCATCCCTCTGTGGACCTAAGATAGAAAATAAATATTTCTACACTACAGATGTGTAAAAAGAGAATTTCAAGTAAGAAAATAGCATTGGGGTAATTACTCTCTTTTCAATGGGAAAAAAAATTATCACTTTTTCAGAAACATAATTTTGGAATAATTATAATGTAGTTCTATATAGCATTTGTGGAGTTATAACCATACTTTCATGGGATCATTTAACAATGAAATGGCATCTCTGCTGCAGCAAAAAAGTGAACACAAGCTCTTGTTTTCAGTTTTCCAAAATATTGCAAATAAAATTGTATCACCCATTAGTACTTTTCACTTACCGTCAAATTCTGGAAAATAATCTACAAGATGCGAGTGCATAATTTTATCTTCCAGTAAGTCTTTCTTGTTAAGGAATAGAATGACGGATGAATTTTGAAACCATGGGTATGTGATAATTGTCCTGAATAATGCTTTTGATTCTTCCATTCGATTCTGTAAACAAAGAAAAATTGCAAGTAACCATATACATATTTTTAACATTTTAACTTTTATTATCTCAGACGTCAAAGTTAACCAAAATAGTGCTGGGGATCATCAGAGATAACATAAAACTAGGCTGTCAGCACTTATGACATCATATAACACGAAAAACACAGCGAAAATCAATGTGAGCTGGGATTAACTTTTATGTAATAAAAGTGAAACTATGTGCCAGGAATGTCATGTTAAAAAGTAACACAAATCTGGCATGCAAAACATGGTGAATCTGCCATGTTGTACATTAGACTTCTGTGGATAAATAATCAGCTTTCATTCCTTGCTGCACCACATTGCTATGTACATTATTCTGACACCACTCTCCTCAAAATCCAAGCTAGATTTTACTTCATTTTACCATAATTCATGAGACTGGGCAACCTCAGATGATCCCCATCAATCCCCAATTATTTCTTGGCACCTCAACTTTTACAATATGCCCTACTATCAAGTTATTAACGATATTTAACAACAAATTCAATATGACACATGTTCCATTTATTTCAGTAAAAATTAAAATCTCCAAACTACAGAAATAAACATAAGATATGTATCTAATAACTCAATCACTGCTTGTAAATTTTCTGACAATGGACTGGAAGTGCAGGGCAAATATGCCAGAACCTACCTCATTATCTGACTCCACCAGTACTTGATCATATTCACTTAAGGCGACTAAAAACATGATGGACGTCACATTTTCAAAACAGTGAATCCATTTCCGACGTTCTGACCTCTGGCCCCCAACATCAACCATCCTGAATGAAAACAATTGGAACTCCATTAGCATCACAACTAACTTCATGAGGTAAGATATTTAGATAAAAAGATCAGTACTATGTCAGAATTAATATCAGCCAGCAAGTTTTAGGATATAAAGTCATATTTTTAACTTGGCTTCACTCAGACATTTAGCATTTTATTATTATTGCGATGTTCTTATAATTTTATGTACAACTTCAACCCACAGGGTTGCATTCATAACGAATTATTATTATTATTATTATTAATTTACATGGTTTTCTATTTATTGCATTAACAGTAAAAAGGTTATGGAGTGATGGCTATATGTGTCTGTATATATAAAATATAAAATATAAACATTTACAGGTATGAAAGTTTTAACAATCAACCTTATCTTCTTAAACACTAATAAATTGAACATAAATGGTGATCACTATCAATGGTGAGTAATACAGAAAATCAACCGCCTTAAATTATGAGGAAAAGAAGCTGATAATCAGACACATACTTACCTAAAAATTATACTATCCAAATCAAATGGATATTCTATGATACCAGTTGTTGGTACTCTTACTCTTAAAATATCTTGTAGCGTTGGTAAATAGTCTGGTCCTGATATTCGGACAAGTCTATCAAGGTAACTAAAAAAGTAAAGGAGATATATAATACAGTAACATATTCATCATCCAGGCACCTAGTCAAAGTACAATTTTGTAGTTTCAAAATGTTCAAATGCTTCTGATACTGAGAAAGGCATTAAGGTGGTTTCAAATTCTCATTTCCTTTGTTTTCGTTACATATTTATCATTTTTCTAATAAGAAAATGACAATGTGAAAGTCCTATAAACAGAGAGAAGCATCTTCTTTTTCTGAGGTCTTTTTATTCAAAAGTTCTTGCAAAATGACAATGTGCATATTGCCCAAAAAGCTTAATTAGGACTCCTTATAGTATGATTGACATTTTTATCCTTTTGGTTTCATAGCCCAACCCATGCTTGACTTCCGATAAAACAGCCAGGTCAACTGCTGTTAAAACACGGATAAGGTCTAAGTACTCAAGCACTCAAAGGTTATTAAGCTGTCCTGGTGACAAGGTCATAGACCTACTGGATGCAAAAACATCCAGCATGATGACCTCTACTAAGTCCAAAATGGCAAAAAAATTGCTTGGGGAATCCTAGACAAATTGAACAAACCTAGACAGATGCCACCTGGATCCAAGACCACAGTATATACTTACTATTTGGCTGAATCTGTGAGCTGATATTCTCTTCTTCTATCGTAACATTCCTGTATCCCTGCATCTGCCCATAAACTTTCGATTGCATCCACATATTGTTTGTCAAATGTTGTTACAGTTTCATAATCTACGGATCTAATCATATTTGCATTTTCCTGAAAATACAATGGAAAAAATTTTTTTTTAAATACACATATTTTAGTGCACTGGAATATACAGTTAATTTTACCTGCATAAAAGTTCTGTAATTATTGTAAGTTATCAAGCCATTGAGTAAAATGCTCAGTTCTGATTGGTCAAGAAATTCTGAATATGGAACAATATATATCCTCCCCCCAATGAGCCTCATTTCAGCTATGTACATCACCTTGCTCCCATTCTGCCTAATATATTCGTAAAACATACTGACAGTAACTGAAACAAGGCTCACAGGGGTACCACACATATAATTGAGACTTAGAGAAGTTATAAATCATAATATTTCCCTTTAAAAGCTTTAACTCAAAGACATGATAATTTTGTTATGCAATCACTTACTGGGGGTTGGGCCTGGGGCAAAAAGACATACGGGAAGGAAAAAAAATTCTATACTGGGTACATACCATTCTGTAGCCTTCAGTAAATGACTGTGTAACAACAAGAACATTTTAAGTGAACCTGAATGCTGTACCTCAACCACACACAGTGACATGCACACAATGTACATCCTATCAAAAAGATTCTGCTCTCTACTTATTGATTCAAGATTAATCTATCATGTAAGGAACATGTCAGACCAATAGGTCCTCGAGTGCTTTCTATCCTGATATGAATACCTCCACTATAATACACTATCTAATAACAGCAGGTTTTGGGGTAAACATATTCAATCAGTCAAAATAATAATTTTTACAATGCATATTGGAAACAGTATTCATTTTCCAGCCAGTTGCAATAAAGATGCCTCGATGCCTAGACAAAGAATGCAGTGGTGCAAGAAATTAAGGTGTTTTCTGGAGTTGTAGGCACATTTTGTGAGTAGTGATATAGAAATAAGTTTTGCCATACAGATCAGTTAATTGTCATTTCTCCACTGACACTGTCTGCAGCTAAATGTGTCACATAGCTTATATCTTTAATCACTAGCATGATTTAACTTTTAAAATATACTTCATGAAAAAAAAACTTTTGAAAATATTCAAACTCCCTGCTCTTAAACCAAGCTGTAAAAAATGTGTTTTTGGATCAAAATCTAGTCCAACTTGCAACCTGAGATGAATTGGTCAGATGTGTATGTAAGATCCAATAGGGTAAGTACTGGTAATCTGATTCTAGTTGCATGACCCATTTCAGACTTTTTTCACACTAATAATATAAACCCCACCTTCTCTCTAACAGGCTGCATCCCTTTAAAAGCTGTTAAGATTCTACAGTACAAGACATGTTAGCCCTATCCTACTCATTGTGGTGCTTTAAAAATTGCTTAAGCCAAATAACACTTGTGTGCACTTCACTGAAGTTAATATTATCATTATTATTTCCTCAAACATCCACTAATTATCCCAAAAACAGCTAGGAATGGCTCTTACATACTATATACCATACTATATAAAGTGACACTAAGCTATTGTGAAGAAATCAAACAATGTTGAAGATAACTTTCATAAGTATATAGTGCCATCTACAATCCATTAATTCAAATAACCATTTGTACTATATCTGAGAAAAAAAATCTTCCGGACATTTTTCTACATAATTTGTTCAATTTTGAAATTAATATAAAAAGAACTTTGAGATGGTCCCCATAAGACGCATTTATAACTGATGTTTTATAGTTTGTAGTGTCACTCCATGTTTATCAATATCAAAAGCAAAAAAAAAAAAAAAAGTTTTGTTCTTGAACACATATCTTACCTCATTTGAAGGGTCTTTGTATTGGATTTTCAGTGTGTCCATTGCCCTAATCATGGCATTCATGGCCATGAATATATTTTGATAAACCAACTTAATAAAACTTCTTTTGTCTTCATCTGAATAACCGCTACCATGAATAATCCTCATCTGTTTGATAAATGTGCTTTTGCCACTTTCTCCAGTACCTGGAAGCAGAAAAAAAAAGATGAATCTATGCCTAATCTGCATCTGAGCTAAACCAAGGCATCAATACCAGACCAGGATACTAAAACATTTTAAACAGTAAGTGCACATTAATTCAATGTTGAACAATCACAATCCATATAATATATTTATGCTCATATAAGGAAAAGCAGGAAAATTATTTCTGCCAAAATATAATAGGTATTGTGTGTTAAATAACTTACATAGTTTACTTAAAAATGTGGATTTACAGTTGTGATAAACAAAATGAATATCAAAATCACATATGAAAGTTTGTAGTGCCAAGAAATAACAATGTCTTTTTCCCAGAGTGAGACTGGATCTGTCTGAACTTGGTAGCAATTTAATATAATTTAAACTACTTGTTTTTGGATTAACTTTGTGAAGATGCAAACACTGGCAATAAAACACCTGGGCAGTTTATGTAACCCCTTATTCACCTGCCAATCCAATAATTGTGCTGTCCAGGTAACGAATCACTTAAAGGGATAACAACTGTTGTTATGTGTTTTTGTGGTACAATGGAATTTATTATATTTCTACGAGTTGTTTATATTGTTTTTATTGTGAAATATAAATCTCATACAAACAGTTGTTATCTACTGAAGTGGTGGATAAAATCAACCACCTCCTACCTGTCCTATCACCATATTAGTCAAAATGGTGCTGAACATCCCCACAGTATGAGAGAAGATGCACAGTCAACATTTTAGGCATGTGGAGTACATGTCAACTTTCCATTCTTAGAAGTATCCTACACAGAATTTCACACAAAATCTCATTTTTCTCTAGGAAGCATGCACCTATCTACTACTCACAAATCTCTGCCCTTGGATTCAATCTTTTACACTGCTTCTAATTAAATAACTTAATTCTAAACGAATCATGATTCAGTATGACCAGACATTAAGGCTGAAAATACTGCCATCAGGTAAATTTTTTTGAGAGGTTTTCCCTTTCTTTTAGGTGTGAATTGGGAAAGACAAGTCGCATGATATTTAGACATATAAGATGACTTTGTGGCATTTTGATAAGTGTATGATTATATCTTAAGCAATTTCTACACCCTATTTTAAGTGTCATAAAATGTGCTATACTTTATTGCTCTGATAATGTTACCAAAAATGTAATAATTTCTTTTTCACACTCCTACACCTGTAAATGTCACCTTCACTAAGCCCTGCCTACACAGTAATTCCTACACTACCTTGTGACAAATCACACCTGGGCTGACGCAGTGTTTAGATTCGTTTCAACAAACAAGTGTTCCAGTCTTTCTTTCCAGATATTGCACAAATTTGAAACTTCTGGCAAATGCAATATTTCTATAATTCCCTAGCTAAACAGACAAGAACTGATTGGCAGGATCAGATACATGACATTAGGAATAACTGCAATCAAAACTGCTCCATAAAGACTAAAACAAATTTCTTCAATGTCTTGTGACAGCCTCTGCAGTTCCTGAAAGTCAGGTGATGTTCACCACAAAACTAACTTGGACTTAGAATAGTCCGACTTCCCTGAACTTCCAGATTGCTTATGGAGTGACTCAAAATGATAGGGAACAACATGGTTACCAATGCCATGATGGAGCAATGACATCCAATGGCCTACTTAAGGTCAAAGTTATTTCTGTACTATGAACACAAACACAGCATGCCATAATTAACAGCTAAATGAAACCTACAGCTAATAAAAACTAATAATTTTTGTACTTTTACACTCAACACACTACACTCAACAAAGTGAAAGTCAAAACAAAATTTTTTATACATATAATTTGAATGGCTTAAATAGAAGCCAGAACACAGTTGTTCAGCTGATGTCATCCCCCCCCCCCTCCAAACCCACCAACTGCCTTGTTCATATCCCTTTACTGCCAAAAATTGAGCTACTATCCCCTCATCTGTATGATCTCATCATGGCAAGCTCACCATGGCAGCATTAGTAACTTTAGTCAACATACTGCTATATATCTTCCATAATACAATGTCAACAACGCAGGTATGAGTATGAATAAACCTGCTGACTACATTACCTAAGTTCACAAAGTGTCTGCCAGAACATCACAAATGTTTACAATGCATGGAGATGAATAAGGTGTTCACTGAGCAAGGGGCTTTTTTTTTTTTACACAAATATTCAGTGTGCACGTGTGCATGCTCCAGAGAGCAGTGGCTCGTGAAATTATAGACAAGGAGCACACAGCAGACCACTGGTATGTAGGCTGGTATGTTGGATATGTACCTTTGTACTAAAGTTATCCAACCTGGCAACAATCAACTATGGAGGTGTGCTGGATGCCTCTTACTTCTTCACATCATTCCAGAGGCACCTTTAAGAATTTTTTTGTCTTTTTCTTTCTCTTCACTAAACCCTTCCATTTCAATGATAAACGAAATGGCCATTATTAATCATATCAATGCATAAGGCAATTTGAAAAAATGGGTAAGAACACTGGCTAAAATTACTACATCATGCATGGAACACTTGTGAAAATGACTAACCCCCCTATGTATCAGCTGTAATGCACAATATTGCAAAAAAAAAAAAAAAAAAAAAAGCAATGTGCTTACCTTTATGCTTCAGAAAAAAATTAACATACTCTATGCAGTGAAATGATATATTTTTGTCTGACTGATAAGGTACTATATATTTTCTACCAACCATTTGCACATCAGTTTTATGATGATGACACAAACATGATTTTCATGTAAAGGAAAAGGAGTCTGTACAGTTAACCTGGTTTCAAAGGAGGAGTACTATTGTTATTTTTTTTTCTTTTTCTTTTTTTTTTTTTGGGGGGGGGGGGTTCTGTCACATCTGTCCATTAATGTATAAATTACTTTATCATCTTCATTACAATTCAAGTTAAGATGATGAATTTTTAATTTCTGAACTAGAATAAAATATATTTACAAACATAAATATGCAGCAAACTTTGCCGAGGTTTTTCAAAATTCCTTATGTTTGTATACTTACTCGGAATATTTACTGCATATCTGCCCAGTTTACACATTTCAAAGCAAAGGCTGTGCAAATACTTTTTTACATTGTTACGTATGATTGGATCTGCATCTCAAAACTTATTGTGAAAACCCACTTTTTCTGCAGCTGTTTTTCCAGTCAAAGTGACTTCAACTAACTATGTATATGTCCCATCTTAGCAGGGCTGTGATTACAATGTGAACCATCCAAGATAGCCCGAAGTCTTGCAGTGTAAAATCAATTAAGATTTTGAGGAGAGTGGGGTCAGAAATAATGGCAGACCAGCAAGTGAAGTGCAGCAGATAATTTAAGTTGATAGAATTTATTCCATATCCAATTTCTTGTTGTTTTTGCTTAAGTTCTGTAGAATTACATTTTTTGCACAACAGTACATATTTACCAAGTTTTTTGGATTACTCATACATTGCTTGCTTAGATGACATTCTCTGTACATAAAGTTTCACCCTTATTATTAAAATGATATTCCCACCTCTCAAATTCTTGCATGTTTTCTAATTTCAAATGACATCACATAGGCTGACAGCCTCATTTCTGGCTATCTCTGATAATTTCCATTTGCTCCTTATAGTGGGCACAACTCAATTTACCTCTACTTGCAAAGAAAGTGGGTGTGACAATCGCAGGGTTGTAACTGCTGGCTATGCTAAGCTAAATGTCATCAGACAGTCCAAGATGATGGGACCAAAGTAAGTTTACCCATCTTGCCAAAAACACAACTTCTAAGACATCATGTTGAACATTTCAACGTACATCCACTTCTCAGAGCCTTTCATTTCTCATGTCAGGCAGTGATTTTGACATCATATTTTCGTTTTTCTGTTTTAATAGACTGATAAAGGATAAGAAATTCTAAGATTTGTTTATTTCATCAGATTTAAATGATAATATTAAAACTGAATCCTTTCAAAAATTTGACAAAGATTTAAAACATATCTATAAATCTGGAGAACACCAAAAAAAAACTTAAGTATGTTTAAGGCATTTGGCCTTACAGTTCTTTTCCATCAGTTCATGACGGAGCAAGCTTATATCCTGTTCTTAAAGATATAAATATTTTCTCAAACACTCATCCAAATCTGTGAGACCAAACCCCCCCCCCAAAAAAAAAATGTAATGTAAAATATTATGTAAGGATTAAAAAAAAAAAAAAAAAAAGAACAGTCACTGTTTTATGTCTCAATGTTTCTGATAGTTCACGCCTCTTTTATGATTTTTTTTTTTCATTTTAAAAACTTTGATTTTTTTATAAGCAAAGGCTGATTAAGCACAAAATAGGGAAAAGTGTCTTGCAGCAACCCCTTCTGTAAGCATACTGGGGCCACTTGCAACAAATCCTACATGCAGAGCAAGTCTCTTTATTATTTCTTTTTTTAACTCTGGCATCAAAAACAAATCATCCAGACACAAGTGCAACTTTTTTTGGAAATAAATCACCACAATGAACCCAACATTCAGTGTGTTCATTTCAAGAGGTTAGAATATAGTCTGGAGTACAACGGGATAGCATAAAATGAAAATAAACTGTGTGAAAAGTATAGGCAAAGCAAGTATAAACAAAATAAAATATTATACGAAAAGATTATGGTAATTCAGTTTTATGCCATGGTATTACACCACTCAACAGTCCTCTTTCAAACAATATATAGCATAGGTAATATCTTTATATATATTTTTTTTTGAAAACTTAACATAACTAACAAGTTTTCCATGCCACATTGATGATCTATGCAGACATTAACATACACATACATTTGTCAGAATAACAAAGATGAAGTCCAAACATTTAAACAGGTAATACATACAGTGCAACTAATACTGGAGTAGGGGCCCTGTCATTCGAGGTATCTTTTCAGTGTTCTTCAATACAATTCTACTACTATTACTACTACTACTACTACTACTACTACTACTGCTATAACCACTACCACTGCTATAACCACTACTATAGCTACTGATTAAAATTAATGGACATCCATTGAAGGGAATATAATATCAATTATATAAAAACACACCAGGCATTTAAAAAGAACATGATAACTGTAAAACAAACAGGCATGAAAAATAAATTATATGAAACACCAAACTAAATGACCTAAAATTCATACAAAGCTGATGCATAAATTTTGATAGATTGACAATCCAATGACATGATGCTATAACCATGAAGTCACAAAACAAACATATACAATGGTTAACAACCTGACTAAAAATCACTTGGTTGTGCATTTCAAAATGAAATAAAGAAATGTCCCATCTTAGCATGGTGTCAACTGCTCAGGTTATCCTTGTGAAATGAACAGAAAGAATCTATAGAAGGTTTGCTGCAAGATCCCATTACAGGAATGACAATTATAATTCAGTTTGGCACATGCTTCAGTTTGGCACATGCCTATTGCCATGTGCTCTGCCTACCACACAAAGTACCATATTCCCTGGATATACTACACTTGGCAATAACATGTCACTGACTATTGGACCTTTAAGGCTTTATTAGCAGGAATGAGAGATTTCAATTGGAAAAATACACCATATTATTTCGATTTTTAACTCTACATAACATTCTTACAAAGCACCAATCTTCTGTCTTTATGATGCAAAGGTAACAGGTGTGTCTGTAGACCAATTTAAATTAAATTTGTAGAACATTTTCAGTAGATACCCACTTCATATTTCGAGACTCAGGACTGTCTGGCCGCAAATAATCACGGAAAGTGGGCCTACACATTACAAAGCAACTCAAAATTCACACCACTGTCAAGAGCATTATATTGGGCTCTGACGGCACAAAGTATTCAAGGTTATGGCAAACACTTGAAATATGAGCATATTATGCTATAAACGACTGATCTTTCACCATATTCATAAAATCATCATAAAATCATGGGGGCCGCCATCTTGAAGTGGACAACCGAATGAATGTCAGACTATTCAAACGGTCAAAATGAGATAACTGGGGTTTGTGTGGGCAAGGATCTCTCACCTAAAAGTAGGAGCTTTAATTCCCTCCGTGCGTCTCGTTTGTCTTTCCGTAACTGCTTTTCAATTTCTTGATTTATTCGTTTTTGCTCTTTCGCCTCTTCACTCAAGCAGCACGCCATGACGAGATTTGCAAAGGCAGCCTCCCAGTATCCACTTCTTAGCCGGTTCTGTCGACCTCTGTCCCCTAGTATGTCCCGTCCTGGACCCCTAAAGGCTCAGAGGGTGTCAAAGAAACGCTCACACTCGTTGGCCCTTCAGACCTGTCACCCAAAACAATATCGAGACATGAAAATGATCGTTGCAAGATACTCTGGGTGTGGTGAAGAGCAGCACTTAGTGTACTCCCTCTGACCTCAGCCTTGCGGAGGGGATGCTCGTTTCAGCAGCTTGGTCACCGGAACCCTTTGATCTATGTAAAAATGCAAAACATTTTGGATTGGCACTGATGCATTTGAGTTTACTGTCAAAAAGACCATCAACGAAAGGACAACTTGGTAATTGACATACCTTAGGGAGTGCTCTCAGTTAATGGAAGAGCATAGTTAGGATCCCACGTACTATTATGGGATGCGTGTTTCCATGATTCTGAGGCTGCATATGTAATGAGCCGGGTATATCTTACCAAAACAGTAGTGCATAAATGTATAATTTTGATGGCAATTTTACTTAAGAAAATGTACCTCTAGATGATCGTTTTTAGTTACAACGACGAAAAAAATTACAATAATCAGCTATGTTGAATGTAGAACAATATTGTGTTAGTTGAGATTTAGCTTCTTTACTTCAAGGTTTTCGATGATTGCATTCTCAGTCTTGGGTCTAATTCAGTATGCTATAGCTGAGCTATGTACAGTAATTAAATCTATATTACTTCATAAGATCATATTTTGTGAATGGATAATTAACCATATAATGAATTGTTTTCATTTTTTTCTTTCCTGCCATCACTGACATGATATGGTAAACCACTGCAAAATTATAATAAATAAAACGACGTAAATCCCTTTGTTTTGGTCAAACAGAGTAGATCTAAAGGTCAATAAATCAACAGTTCAAAAGAGGAATTCCTAAAAGAACAAATTTTTTCCATAGAAAGTGGTTTTAAACCGCAATCTACTGTTGCATGCTAGTTACAGATTAAGCCAATGAAGTACGTACGAGTACTGGTGGACCTACTCAAAATTCCTATGTTTATAATATAATTGAAAAAATTCTCAGAAATTAGGCTAGGTCCATGGTGGATTTAAGTAAATTCTGCTAAAAAGTAAAAATTGTCATTTTATTACAGCATAGGCCTATTAGCAGTATACAAACTCTTATCCACTCGTACATTGTATTAGGACCTGTATGTGGCAATGTTTTTTTTTTTAATATAAAGAAAGATTAATGTTGTTTTCTGATAAAAACGCGAAAAGTCTGAAATACATTTTGCTAGGGTGCCACCTACATGTAGGGTATGTAACATTTAAAAAAATGCATATACAGGTCTGTTTATTTTTGCTGTAAATAGTCTAAATATCTTTATAATAATTATAATAAGTTAACCCTATTTAAAATCTGTTACAAAGAGTGAAATTTTATACCCTAAAGTAGGCTGTACTGTTTATTTCCAATGCTGAAAAAGTGTAAGAAATGCAGGGGTGGATCCAGGATTATTTGAAGGGGGGTCCACAGATGCGAAGCTGAAATCCTTTAAAATTGTCCTCATTTTTCCTTATTATCCAAATATTGTATATTTTCTAAATAAAAATTATGGAAATGTTGGAAAATGATTACACAGATTGCTAATCTCTACCCTTTACCAGAACTATTGAAGAGAGAGAGTGTATTGTATTTTCTTTTGTTGGCTGTACAAAACCTACACAGAGAAAGTAAAAGTTTCAAAAAATATTTTATTCACATAATGTACAACATTTATACAGAATATGCACATTTATCACAGTTTGGCTTTTTTATTTTAATTTAATTCTCAAATTTTCTCAATATGGGCTAAAAAGCATATCATTGTCTGATTTTATCTTATGCATTCAACATGTACAGGACCTTGAATTCTGTGGTCTATATTCTTATAAGTCCAAAGTTCAAATGTTTCTTTGCATCTGCTAGCACATGACAAAAATGTCCTTTGCAAGTCTTCATTTTCCTTCAGTCACCCTAAAAAGAGTAAAATAAAATGAAAAAAAGCAATTCATCAATTGTGGACTGTAACTGGTAATAAATTCTGTTCTGAGTAAATGTAATCATATCATTGAAGACAGTACAAAGCAGGGTCAGACTCTTCTGTGAGATACTTACACAAAGTAGTTTAAAACTAGTGTATCTTAGCTATTGAAAAGAGCATTTGGCTTACACAAGCACTATTGTCCTATGGTGATGCAAAGTAAATGATTTTACACAGGATACCATCAGAATGGAAATTAGCTTAGGTATTTTTATTAATTATGCTACACTTTTTTTGCCTGAATGATGATAAAAAATCTGTATTACCTGCTACCTGTGATTCATTTTCTGGACTAGAGGGGGGAGGTTTGTAAAAAGGATCCTTGGTTAGCATCATTTGGTTTATCTTCTCCAAAATATCATTGTCCATAGACACTTTATTTTTCTGAAATCAAAATGCAAAACTATATATTTATTTACTTATTAAAATATAAATAAATCTGTATCAATAACTTTTGAAAAAAATCAGAAATGTTATTTAATAATAAACATTTTTTCGTTGTCCTCTGCGTGACAATGAAATAGTCATTGAAACATCATCACTAACTAAAAAAGAAGAGGAATTGCCCAAATATTTTTCAAAAAGTTTAAGTCCAAAAATGTCAAGAATTTTACATATAACCTAAATATAATATTTCTCATATAAACATAAAACTTACATTTAAGCAAATCCTCATTAAACCTGTGCCTGACCCTGAGGACAGCTTGGAAAATGTAGTTTGATATTGTATGGCTTTGAGCAACTCTTTCATTCCTTCTGAACCTATCAAATTTTCTAAAAACAAAAATATTCAGGTTACAGTTATAGCAAAATCATTTCAATTTGAAGGCCAGTAAACCAACAACCAATGCATAATGGTGCCATTCCCATATCAAAAATTAAAATAAAGGACAAATTACAATATGTTATAAGTTGATTACAACCCTTTTCTACATGTTTTCATATTAGTCCATTTTACATATACTTTTTGTCTTACTTTTTAAATTTAGGCTGATTAAAACTCTGTTTCCAGGTACCCAAAGCTCATGATTGATGTTTTCTACCTGCTCCAACAGTGGATTTGCAAGCTCTGGTGTTTCAGGCTACAAAAATATATATTTATGACTTGTAAAGATTTATAACAGACGCAAAACCAAAAATTATAACTCCAAGTACACTTTAGATCAAATAAAAAATGTCTCCATCAAACCCTTTTAAACAAAATTAAGCTGAGCACCATGCTTTGTAATAACACAAAATGCACATTCCATGATTACATAGGCTGGCATCAGGTGGTCCATAAGAAAAAAGCACTTTCAGTCAAAATGCTTTTCAGTTTATAAGACAACCACAGATCACCAAAAGGAAAGGAATTTTTGAGTCTTGAGTTCCTTTTTGCATTAATGTTGGAAAAAAAATCATAAAAAAGGTTTTATTAACTTGTACTTGTTTGATTCAAAAATTTTCTTTCGATTTTTACTTTTAGTTGAGGCTGAAGGTACTTTTGGGCACAAATAAAGACCAAAAGTGGCTTTGGTCTAAAATGTGACAAATTTTTGACAGTTAAACAAAGGGAATGTAGCAAAAGTGAACTCTACTTATACACTAGTTAATACATCTATTTGACTGAAAACTCAAGCTATATCTAGACAGGTGTAAAACAACATGTGTCTGAACACTCTGTAAAATGTGTATTTCCCCAGTGCCTACCTCTGCTTCCTGCTGGACTGCTCCTTTTTTATCTTTTCCTCCTTTCTTGTCCTTGCCCTTTGCTGCAGTTTTACCTGCTGTTTCGGCTACTACTGATGCTGTAATAAGAAAACCATTATCAGAACATGTATAATGTAAAATATGGTTCTTGTCGAGTATCTCATGTTTGCTCAACTTGTAAAATGCCTCATCTATAAAAGCAAAGCATAGGCAACCTTTCCTAAAACTATGCTATTATGCAGCACCCACTTAAAACAACTCTTTAACAAATATATCTCTCATTTAAGACAGGATATTAAAAAATGTATGTCAACTTAAAAAGACTGTGTTTATGACAATAACGCAGGGCAAAAAAAGTGGTTTCATAAAAACTATTGCCACAGTGCTACAAAGAAAAAAATTACAAACACTTAAAACTAAAAGAGTAGAAAAAATCCAATATAAATTGCAAAATGAATGACAGAATCTAAAGAAAGCCATTAAATCATCACCACTACAACCAAACAAGCCTGAAGTCATGTCAAGTATGTCTTCTGACCAGCAAGGGGATATAATTTCTACTTGAAAATTCGAATATTTATGATATTTGATTTCATAGTAAAATATCTTTATGAAAAGCACAAAATATTTCCAACCACAACATATTTTCCTTCTGGCTCATATACAAAACAATTTCACTTGATTAAGTTTGCCAAATTGGAATAAATCTCAAAGCAATAGTGAATATTTCTATCTTTTTTTAAATCATCTTCTAAAGTAAATGAACTTTTACAGATGTAGTTTCATAAAAGTGATGTTAACCAACAGATGGCAAAGGAAAGAAGCAGGGGCAAAAATGGAACAAATAGCCAACAATGACAACCAATAAAAATGAAGAAAATTACAACTACAAGCAAAGACAAGCAATGTCATACAGCACTAAGCAACTATTACTCTTTCTATCGTGAGAAGACATGCGCATGTCAGCAAGCAAGCGAGTAGCACTGGAAGCAGCTGAGAGAACTGAACTTTGTCCTGAACAAAAGAAGCAAATGCTGGGATCAGAACAATAAATAAAAACAAAATTATGACTGATACATGTTTGATTACAGAATGTTCATTCCTTTGTGAATTGTATTAGAAATCTTAATTAAGAAATGTGTGTAATTCAGTTGAAAGCCATGTGGGATTGTGAAAAATATAGATCTATAATTTTAAAAAGATAAGTAAATAAATTAAACTATCTATAAAATCCATATGCCATGGACCAACAAAGAAATCTGTTTTTAATCCTGAAAAAAGTTTTTGCCAAGTTTTTATTTAAAAATCAGATTCTTGGAGGACCTCTGTCTGATAGAAAAACTTAAAACATAACTGAAAACCTCTAAATAATTTTGAATTTTGAACAAAACTCTGCCAACACTTCAGCCACAAATGATGGATTACATATGATCATCTACACCTATATAAACTTTCCACTGCTGTTTGCTTCAAAACTTATGCCTGGGCCAGGACCTCTCTGTCACATCACACTTTATCACCTCATGCTAAGAAACAGCATTATAAGTCCTACATATTTACATCTCAAAAAAAAAAAAATCAACTTGGACAGTGTTTCCAGAATAAACTTGCTAATGCTTTTTACGCCAGGTACGTACAAAGCAAATTTATGGTAGGGCCAACCATTTATAAAAAGAAAACAAATACAATTAGCAATGGGAAGCCTGGGTGGGAAGTGGGGGGGGGGGGGGAGACAGCTAAAAAGTATATATTTTAAAACTAGTCATCAACTGATGGGGTTTTTTTCCAGTGACATAATATCTTAAAGATTTATTTAACTATATACACATTTGGCTTAAAGAAATGAACAGAGCGCCATACCTGCATCCTGCACTTAGACACTCCTGCTCCTACAGTACATCCACATATGCAACAGGGCAATTCACAGCAATATACACATCATGCATGGCAATGTTGTTAATAAGTCACCTAAACCATATCAATAATGTAGACTTCACTATCCCTCCACCAGGTCTATTCCTTTCTAAGCCTAATAGGTAAACTAAACTATAATACCTTATCTAACCTACAATAACATGCTATAAAGTTAATTTTTCTAACCAAGTCAACCTTTTCTCATTTCAATCAATATGTTTATTTCTTTTCTAACCCAGGTCTTTCTACACCTAGAATTATAACCTAACTTTCACTAGTATCTAAACAGATGTGCCTACCTCCTGAACCACGGCCTCCTATACCTGAACTTGAGACTGTCAGTTAAGAAATAAAGAAGTGAAGCATATATTCCATCAAGTGAATTTAAATATATTTATAAATGGTGTGATTATTATTCCCTAGATAATCTACAACTACACAAAATGCTGAAAACCAAAAAAATGTACATACAATAACTGGCCTGCCTAATTCACTGCCTATACCAGTAATGCTATTAAAACTTAACCTGAATGCATGTTCAAAAACTGCACTTTTTCAATCAGCTTGAAGTGTCATGTTAGGCTGACAAAATGCTATTAGAAGCAAGACAGAATTTTACAATACCCTAAAGAAAATTATAAGTCTGAGGCATCATTACTTTGCTGAGATCAATAAAAGTTGCTTAACATTATGCATTATGTATTCAGTTTTCACTATTCTATGTCATTACTACTCCTCATACTAGTAAGTTATATCTAAATAACATAAATATCATTTATTAGATGTCTGAAAAACCCTAAGTTACATAAAACTAACATTCACTTCCAAGTTCCACATGTATAAGTCTGAGCCAAGGCATCTACAGTGTGCAAAAAAGTTCACACTAGGCTTCATTGTCAATAAAAATACATGTATATGTTTTAGTACAAGGCCATGGTCACAACTGGACTACTTCAGTCTAACACTCATCAACAGTTCATCTAATGTCTCAACTTGGAATTAAAAGCTCAAAGCCACAGTAAGAATCCAGATGTATTTTAGTTGTCTGTTGATGTTGGCTAGACATCTTAAAGTAAGTCCATTAGTCCAATATTGTCACCATGGGCTTCAGAGGTCATTGGCACCACAATATTATCAGTCTTCCTCTACCTTTTCCAGTTCCCTGTACCCTGGATACCGAAAATGGAAGAGGTTTGCTGATGATAGAGGGGAGTTTTGGTATCAGGACAATTGCTCCCCTTCACAATCCTCCCACACACCCAGCCTGGACAATAATGAGAAAGTTGTCCTAGAATCATGAGTTTCCAATGACCTCTGAAACTCAGGGTGAATATTGTGGGAAGACAGCTTATAATGTGTGCAGGTGCAGGTGCATGTTGTGAAAATGGAGCTGATATTAACCTTTAGACCCTTTGGTATCAGCTGTGCACACATACGAGAACCAGCAGGTGTAGGTATGAAATAGAAAACACAAATCCATTAGCACAAGTCACAGCAAGATATAAGTACCCAATGTTTCTGATACAACAAAACATAAGTCTTCTATTTAAAAACAGGTACAGTTATGCATGCAGTAATATACAACATGTTTTAACCATCATGTTATCATTTTTTTGGTTGTTAATAAACACTTCAAAGGTTTAGTAATTGATAATTATCACTAATTCATTTTAAAATGTTAAATTTTTCAATATCAAATCTTTAGAAGGTAAAAAGTTGAAAGATCACTTCAATAACTCATAGATGGTCATATATAATTTGTTATGATATCTACAGCAATCTTTTCATTAAAGGGCACAGCATGGTAACTAATTTGTTCACCTTTCTTGCCAGCAGTTTTGTCTTCCTTTTTGCCTTTCTTGTCATCTTTTTCATCTTTTCCTTTTGTGTCCTGGAGAAATGGATGTCAATCAATACAATATCATTTTAAGAAATCATCACAGCATGTAAAATACACAAGTCTGTTTTTTAATACAGTTATTAAAGATTCATAAACAGCATCACTTCAATGATATCACTAAAACTCTGTTAAATCAATATCATCATACCTTTATTCAAGGGTTGTGTACTCACTTTTTTCTTTGAAGATTTGTCCCTCTTTTTATCTATCTGAGAGCTACTTCTTACACTTCCTGGCCTGTCTTTAGAATCAGCCCTTCTGCTTGGTGGAGGCTATAATAGAAATATACAGATTAAACATATTCTTTTCAATGGTACATTAGAGTGACAAACACACAATGAATGCTTTTAATGAGAGAAAAATTCAGCAATATGCCATATATGAAGTTAATTTATTTCAGGGGCTTCACACACAGCCTTAATATCTTTATCACTTTAAAAATGAATTGCTTTAGTTCTCTTGCAATTATTAATACTTACAGATTTTGTCCTATCTGGAGCTCCCTTTTCTGAAAGCAATTTTCTCCTCTCTACAACTTCTTCATGGGTCAATGGAAATCTAGATAAAACCTAAAAGAAAAAAGAAAGAAAAAAAACTCTTTTACCTTCTTCAAGTCTGTTCTTTAAACAGCTTAGTATATTTTAAAACTGTACACATATTCCCTTATCAAAACTCAATGATTCAGTTTTCAACTTTATTTGGAGTGAATTCATAATAAACTACAGCCTGTAATACCATCCAAATCAATCTGTTAAAAGTTTCTAGGGGAAATACCCATATTTCAGCATTAAAGCAAATTCCCAACATACCTCTCCAAATTTCTTAGCTCCAAGATCCCCAATCTGATTGTGTTCTAGTGACAAGGAAAGCAAATTACGGTTCATTCTGAGTCCCTGTAAAGAAGAAAAGAAATCCCTGTGATGTGATTTCTAAACCTGAAAATCTTTTTTAACAACTGCTGTAACGTACCATTTCACATTCCCCTTACATTACACAGTATAGTTACCAACATATTACTTTCACATTAAGAAATACTTCCTGCTTACCTTTTTGAGAATTTGTTTTCAGCCTTTTATTATAATTTTCTATGTTCTAAAACCATGAACCATATCTCACATTCATGAAATATTTCTATTCAATAAAAGTCTTTCTATAAATCAACTTCTAAACAAATCTGCAATTTATGTTTCTAAACTGCATCCACTTACCCCAGCTATAGCTGTTGCCCCAACATCAGTGATTCTATTGCCATTGAGATTAAGTGATAAGAGTTTAGTGTTAGCTTTCTGTGTGGTCCCCAGAGCCTTTCCAATCTGTTCTGCGCCTTTGTCAGTAATTTGATTATAACGCAAGGACAAGGTCTGGATTCTGGAAAAAAAATTATCCATGGCTTTATAAATAATTGGTAACGGACCAACAATACAAATACTTTGTGTTCAACATGTGTTCAACATGTTTTGTATCATCATCCATATTTTGCTGTATCCATATCTTGTGTTTAAATTTTGATTACTCAAATAAAATTTTAAATCATGGTTACTCATTACTTACTGGCTTTCATCACCAATGAGTGAATACCAGTTTTCTTCTGGAACTGGGTTTCCATCTAAAATAACAGTTCTGAAATACCAAAAATAAAAGATTATACTATCAATAAAGACACTTGTGGTGTGAATTGTAATCAGATAAAAGTAACACTAAAATAATTTCAGCATGTTGTTCAAACATTGAAAAAATTAAAAGGTAAATCATATCAGTGTGTTTATGTTATAAGCTGCTATCTAACATACTTAAGGTTGGCACATTGAGGCAGGAATCCAGATAGAATTTCCACTGTGTCACATGTTAGCCCTGTATCCCATAAACTAAAATAAAGATAAATGTACACAAAATGAAAAACAAAAATAAAATGTATGCAATCTAAAAATAATGAATTCTTCATCATACACTTTCTTTGTAGCACTGTGGCAACATGAATTCCTCGTCATATTATCACATCTGTAAACATGTGTACAAAAAAGTAATAAAAATGTCAATGAAGATTAAATATTAAGTATTTAAAATGGAGTTGCAAGATACTTCTGTACATTATGCTTCCAACTTTTAATTCTTGACTAAAACTATTTCCTTTATTTCAAAACCTATTAAATTTTATTTACTTGATGGTATGAAGTCTATCCATAGTAAGCCAGCATTGCTTGAATACATTCATCATAGTTTCATCTATCTTCCAACCTACAAGTGATAAAGCCAAATGCAAGTATCAACTATCAAATATCAGTTCTAAATCAGTTTGAAAAAAGTAAACATTATCCATTCTATTTTCAACAATACAGTTCTGTCATAATGTTTTGTGTGTTTTGCTTGAAAAATGGCACCACAGAAAACACAGGCCCCAGGTTCATTGATGACTGGAAACTTATTCCTACTATCCACTATCGGGGAGCCTCTGCTGTTTCCAATAAATAGGAATGGGGGCCTGTTTATGGTGGAAGCTATATCCCAATTACCTCTGAAATCCAGTTAAAATTAATTTTCAAAAAATTAATTTTTTGGTTACATTTAACAAATCTCATGCCTACCTTTAACAAAGACTTCTGTGACAGTGTCCCATTTGTCTGGGTTATCCATTTCCACCTGAACTGTAGGTTTGAAATATTCATACTTGTCCTTAGTTGTGTAAGTCTTCGGAGGTGGTTCAACAGGTTCTTAAAAAAAGTTGTGATACCATTATAAGATAACAATACTGGAAGAAAAAACAAAACATTAACAAGATATTTCACTGTCTTTACACTCTTGTCTCTTTTCTACTGGTGACTCTGGGAGTGAAATAAAACCTGAAGGTATTTTTCTATTACAACCATCTTTATCAGGTAGCTAAAATCCCATGTACTGTGGTTACCTCCTTCTCCCTCAGGTTCAGGATCAGGTTCTGGTTGTTGCTGTTGTTGCTTTCCTTTCCCCTTCTCAGCCTTGCTGGCTGGCTCAGGGGGTGGTGTGACAGGGCGGTGGGGACGCTGAACCACAGGCGGAATGACCGCCATATTGTTCCTCCTACACAGTTCAGTGAAGTCTACACTTAGGTTGCCTGTGCACACATGTGGCTCTGAAATCATTAAACGAGAAATAATATTTCTAACTGAGAATGACTTCCATTGTTTGTAGCTGAATAATCTTGCTGCTTAAACCACATCTGAAAATTAGACAAATATTAAAATCCAAGAGAAGTTCTTGATAAATTTTGGGTGCATTGAATTGAATGGGTTTCATGGGGTAATTGTTCTTAATGCTTACACACCATGCAAGCTTTATTCCATAATCAAGGAATGGGGGAAGAAGATTCAGATATATGTAGAAAATCATATCTCATCAAATTTTATTATAAATCATTCAACAAGACCTAGCAGTTCATCTCAAAACTAGTTACAGGTCTGTAGTTAGTATTTTGATAAACATGCTACAGTTGATCCACTTGTATTGTAGCAATTAACAAATGTGAGTGATAAGCATAAAAGCTTCAGAGAAAATCAAATCTTATCAATTGATTATTCACTTAATCATTATACTTCTCACGATATACAAAAGATGTAAACATCACTCTCATTATTTCCATGATACTACTTAGACTCTACTATAAGCTTTTACTTCTAATCATTCTTTAACTAGGCAAAAAGCAACAAGTTAGGTATAGATAAGGCCTTCACCTTTAAAGCTCATTAAACACCTGTAACATACCCATTAGAAAAGCAATATTGTTTTTAAAATAAGCATATGTCTATCTTAGTGAATGTTCTCAGCAACGTCTATATTCTTTGAGACAAGACAATATATAATTATGCACTAAATGGTTTGAACCAAAAAGTGATATAAATCAGCATTTAAAAAATAGTGTGTACTGAAATGCACAAATGAATATTAATCACTTTGGTTAGACATGCCTACAGTGTTGGAATCAATGTATAGAAAAGTAATGGTCAGGAAATAAAGATGGTGAGTATAATTTAGATTAAATCAATCAAGAATTATTAAAATACTTTTTTTTTTATACTGAATTATTTACAGTATTTAAAATGAGAATAAAGAGCAAAATAATCAACAAAAATACGTTATTTCGAATTAAAATGACAAAGAATATGAATTTCTTAAAAACAAAATGACGTAGAATAGAAAAAAATATCTAAAAGAAAATACATTTGAATATTTTACTAAGAAACTAACTGTTTACACAAAATAGATTCCCTTTTCCTAATGAAAAGGTTTAAATTAAGTCAACCAAGTACCCCCTCTTCCCAATTAGCCTTGATAGCTTCTATCCTGTATATTATTCACACCCGTGCCTAAATATGGAAAACTACTTGTACTATGGAATAACATCTAGAAGTACACAATTTAATATGTAAAGAAAGGATAGGATATAATATCCGATTGAAAACCAAAAATTTAATATTGCTGAAATAAAACCACAGGTTTTGATGAGTTCATGCAAAATACTATAAACAAGACCTATATTGATGAGTTTGGGTTAGGAGTAAGGAGACGGAAAGAAACCCACAACCATGCATATTGTGCAGCAAGGCAGCTGTACTTAAATGATTTCTGCATAAAATATGTTACCTGAATCGTCACCTGGCTCTGAAAACACAAACTTGCACAATGAATGAATCTGTGAGTAAGACATACAACTATTTTGTACACAAAACAGCAATAATTAACAAAAAAAAATTAAGTCAAAGGTTCAAGCAATCAGACCCTTCATAAAATTGTCTTCTTTATCAGCGCAGCATTCTACCAATGCATAACTATGCCATATTCTAAACTGTTTGTAAATACATTTTAGCCAACTAAACATTTTATCAGTCTCTATTTATTCAATGACACCTATATCTAAGAAAACCAAATCTCCAAATTTTTTTTGGCATCATGTCTGTTTAAACTTATGGTTTTGTTTAAAAAATCATAACTTGTCTAATGTAAGAGGGTTATATAATATATAATTTTGGTTTTGAATTTATATGGTTAGGTTGAACAAACCTGGAGTTTTACTGTCATCCTCATGTTCTTGACTGGCACTGGAATGCCCCTTGTCCTTCAGGGCTTTCTCTATTTTTTTGCCCATTTTAACCTTCTTCACAAAGCTGAAAAGATAACACCTGGCATTAAGTAAAAGGTAAATTCCATATATATATATATAGAAAGCTATATTTTGAATAAATCTGTCTTTTTTTAACATCCCTTCACAAAACTGCTTCATTTCTTTCAAAATATTTAAAAACTTAAACCAGTGACAGTATATAATTATATTTTATTTAAATGAACCTGTCTCTTACAACTATTTACAGCTTCAAGATGCATTATGCACCACCCAAATGAATTAATTCAAAATAAAAGTTTCATAACACATGCAATATTAAGCAATAACTAAAAAATGAAATAAACAAAGATGACCTGCAAGCAACAGGATAAATATCAAATTGCACTCTGCAATTGAATATTTAAATGCACCAGAGAAATTCACCAGATATGACAAGCCAATTCAGCACTTTTGAAAAATAATAATATTATACATATTTTTCAATGAGATTAAATGCATTATGCATGAAAAAAAAACTTCAATGACTCAAACCTGCCAGCCACTATATCTGCAAATGCCGCCATTTTGATAAAGATCTGCAGCAGAAACATTACTGATCCATATTATCATAATGTAAGGTAAACAGAGAACATGCTCAGATAATATTTGTAGTTCTAAAGCACCGTGACAATTCTGATTTGGATGTATATGTATATGACAGCTTTTTTAAATAACAACATTCATTTTCTTCAACACTGTTTATACCTAACTTGTAAAAATAATTAACAAGTCAATGATGCACAGCATGAGTGTCTCACAATATTTTATCACATATTTATGCACTTAGTAGTTATTTATCAACTTCTACAAATGATCCTATTCACTCACATAAAATCTTACTTTTAAAGTAATCATTTATAATGAAATGAACAACTATAAGTGGCTTTTTTTCTCTGACAAAACTGTTGATTCTCTTTTTCTGACATTCCCCATGACTCTGTAGATCTGAGAAATTCAACAATTCCTTGAACCATACATCTCTATTGTCATTTTAACAGTCTGTGACGTTATCTTTACAATGATATTATTTTTTGTTATGTGACAACCCCAAGTGTACGTATTAATTCATCCTCTTACCGGGTATATGTAGGATTTGTTTTACAATTTTTCAGCTAGGGGTCTACACACTATCCACTTCAGATTTTTATTTCAAAATCTATAGCATTGAATAGGCAGGAAAATATGCACGTAGCTATGAAGCAATTTACATCTAAGTCTGACTCTAAGGCTCAAGCAAAAATGGCGACCTTCCAATAGTAGATCTTACAGGTATATGTCACGCGTTTTTGGTGAAAATGTCAAATAACGCGCGAAGGAAATCATAGCCAATGTCACCTGTGTATGTAATATAAATGGTTATAATCTCTAAATTTGAAATGAAAGACATATATGAACGTGTTAATGTTGTAAACTTTATAAATCATACATATTTACCTGCAGCAAGCAAGTGCCTTCTTTACTCTTTTAGTAAACTACGGGTGCATACACAATAAAATATAGTCCTTATTCTGGGACCTTTGGATTTTAGAAATTGTACAAAAAAAGTAAAAAGATTTACAAAAACATTTCTACAATACATTTTAAATGATCTCAGGGAAAAGATTTACTTTCATTCTATATTTTTTTTGTCTTTCCACATAAATTCATGCGCACTCAAATGTCAATAGCAACCGCGCATGCGTATTATAATATATTCTATTTTAGGACGAGAGCACATGTATGATGTACATGTAAAAAGAACTGACTGAACTGAGTACAAGTATTTATGAATTAAAGAAATTAATAAAATAAATAAATAGTCTGACGACAAAGGTAAAATATAGAAGTTGTATGTATTTGTAAACATAAAAGATCCTCACCGAATGAAAGCATTATTTGTTTCCATTAAATTCGAAGAAAGGACGTCCCTACCGGTACACTGAAGAGCGAAACAAAACCCGATTTATGCTATAAAAAGCATAGGACATACAAAGCATCCCTCTGTTCTTAATATCTGGTAATATGTAGGTAAATCTAAAATTTTTGGCCACCGATAGGCACGAACATGTCCGACATGTGTAGGCATACTGTAGGCCTATAGACCTAGGCCCTACATTGTGATTTACGGTTGATATTCGGGCCTATATAGGGCCTATATAGGCCTACCTGTTTAATTCGAGACAAAGGGGGTAATTGTCGGAGGGAAATATAGGATATTCTAGGCCCTCAACACAGATTGATTGCATTTTTAATCTGGCTAATAAAAATTATTAAAAAGAATGATATCAATTTAAAAAAATCCACCCCTTTTAAGATCAGTTTTCTTTTTCACATTATGGCTTTCGCACGTAATCTAAATGCCTTTAAAATAATCTCTTTCAAATAGTTGGGAAAAACAATGGCCATGGAACCCAAATCAAAAAACTTTCTTCATTTTGAGGTACCCAACCTTTCGTTAATACACATTTCCAACTGACCAACTTACCAATTAGGCTACTGGTAGGTCCATCTATAATTCGATCTGTCCACCTTTTTATAAATCCATTTCTACTGTAAGATTATTTGTATTTGCACGTTTTGATATCACATTTGTGATATATCAAAATCCATATAATATAGGTCTACCTGATTTGGTCTTAACTTCAGCTCTTACTTGGTCGAATTTAACTGAGCCAACAGCAGGGATCAAGTATGGATGAATAGATTAAGCGATTTTCCCACAGCATCATCGGTAGATTTTAATAACAAAATACTTAAACTACTGTACTACTGATGAATTGAAAGAGGATTTACATGTTTAACATTACTTAGAAGGTTAAATTTCCCGGTTTTCTCAATTCATCAAAGGATAGATTGTTTTGTGGCTGCTATACTGGACCTTTGTGCCAAAATATCAACTCGGTACGATAAACTTCCAAATACTAGTATAATATGTACTCCTCCTGACTAATATCCGTTCCAATTCTCCACCTTAAATCTAGATGTAGACTTTTTGACCCCTCTTCTCTCCCATATCGTTCCTTATACTTTCCTTTTCCACTGAGTCAGCCTTCCTACACCGACCATACTACAGGTATCTTATCAGGTATATGAAAAACCCAGTTTCTGCTGTACGTGGACATACATAGTTCAACAAACAAGACATTCACATATAGCAAACGCTGATATTGCACCAACTCCACAGATTCAAACTTACGAAGCAAATGATTTTTTCGACTGAGGTGACGGGGACTTCGGTGTATTCGTATTTCCTTCGCGATGGCCACCCATTACAGAGGGTGCATCCCTTCCACCGCTGGACCCTGAACCTCGACGACTGCTTGCCATTTATAGTCTTTTGTCGATGGCATTTAATGAATGCTAGAAAAAATCTGGCTGTTATTTTTAGATAATGGCTTCCTTGTTCCTATAATTTTCTTTTAAAATTTTTCAGCGAATTAAAATCATCCATCTAGAGTGTTCCCTCATATCCATAGAAATTGTTCATCTGCAGCTTATATTCAGAAAAAGTTACAATCTCAAGGTTTTTGTTTAAAATATTTTCCCGAATTCATTAGAACTTGAATCATACAAATCTCTTGAAATTGCATCCGATAATTCCCTTCTTGAACTTTTCACTGTATCCTCGAGAATGAATAAATAAAAAAAGGCTTAGCAACTGGCAGCTACTTTCTACATTCGATGACCCGAGATATATTCTTCCAGTTAAACTCCCCAGCCCTACTGTATATGGCCAACCGACCATATTTGAGGAGGGTGATTATGAGCCAGCGATCGATTAATCTTTACATCCTCTTGATAATCTGACAATATCCCGCTCCAACTTTCCATGAGCTGTTCGACATGATCTGCTTTATAAATGAATAGACGCAACGTCCAATCGAAAACGTGACTTCCAATAATCCCAAAAAGACAGGGGATTAAGTACAATAGCCGTTTAATAAACGCTGGAGCGCTTTGTTTGGTCATTGATTGCTTTATCAGTATCGTTGCTTCGTTTCGGTGTATCTTATTTGTTTGCATTCTCATGTAGTCCTGGCAAGCTGTGTGTGCTAAATAATTCACAAGGATATCTATGCTGTATGTGTTTGCCCTATCGGTCAATTTTTCGCGTGTTGAAAAAGGATTTTCCAATTATAAAACGTTCAAGCAACGTCAATTACAGTTTTAAGGTGATTTTATTCCCCCATATCAATGGTTTGAATAGTTAGTGAAACGTCAGATATCCATTTTATTTCAAAAACTACTCACAGCTAGGGCGCCCAATATTAGTTTACTTATTTAAAAAAGGATCAGATCTTTTATGAAACGTTATTAGAAATAGAACAAAACCTGCACATAAAGAAAATCGATTGTAAAAATGCGTAAGACTACACACTGATACGTAGAGCTGTTAATCCTGCATTCAATTTACGCGACACATTTGTAGAACACTAATTCCCGGACAGAAATGTGCACGAGCGCTAACCATTACGAATGATTCTGGCAATCTGAACACGGGATTGCACATAATGGCTCTCAACTGCCTCAGGTGATGATATTCCTTTCAGACTAAGGTTCATCGGGCACTGTTTTAGTTAAGTTTTTCAGTAGGGTCACATGGCTACTTCTACTGTTGTTTTGATTTCGCTTGTCGTTAGGATTAATAGCTAATTAATTCAGGACATGGTTAATGTTTGATCTGGACACTTGAGCCTATCAAAGTTTGCTTCTACCATCGATCAACTTATCTAAACTGATCACCTTAATTCCTATCAGAACGGCCGCTCTTGCAGCTCTAAGTGAATGAAGCCGCTTTGATTTTTAATATTCCAATACTTCGTAATCAACAAATATGTTTGATTAAAAACATAGTACTCCAAGAAGACCACAGATCTCATAGATTAATGCCGTCAAAAAGAAACTGTAATTAAGAAAACTTACCCTTCCACTAATCGATCCATTTTTTACTTTTTCTATGTGCATATGGTATTAAATGGCACGTCAACTCGATATAGAGTATGTACTGTACTGTGCCGTTCATGAATTATGAACATATATTGTAACTACAGCAGTTCCCTATTTCTAAGCTTGTTTAACTACTTGATATAGCACTTTTGTTGTAACCTTGGAAATTAATGAAAGAACACGCCAAACAGCATGTACTTCAGAAATGATCTGTCAAACTTGATTGTGTTTGTACATCAATTTTTCAACAGGTAAATACTTGCCTTTGTGTTTTTCTTTTTGTATTAATTGTTTTGCTGCACCATTCTAAGGTGTAATGAAAAATTCATGTTGTTTGTTGAAGGGATAAACCACTTCTCAGACTCCTAACAAAGTATGGCAGATTATCTTCCGAATAAAACTTTATTCCTTTATTTGCTCAAACGGAGAGTAGGGATTAAATATGGGAACTCAATAGTAGAGAAAGGCTAATATGGAACGCTATCACATTATTCTATTTACCTCTCTTTCGTCACCAGATTATTTTTCAGTCAAATCAGTGCTAGATAACTGGTGTAGATTTTCGTACACAAATACACGCCGTATCAGTTTAGAAAATGAGAGCCAAACTGAGTTTTTAAGCCTATCAGTAAACGACAACTTAGGCCTAAAGGTTTTGCTTGGTGGAGTGAGTGTTTGGTGGAGAAAGGATGCCCTCTGTGTTTTGGGCCCCTGACGGCCATTTAAATATAATGTGCCGTTAGCGGCTGATATTTGTCAAAAGAAAAGGAAACACAAATGAACTAACAGTATTTTTTTATTCATCTATCGTTAATTCTAGCCGTTATAATTCTAGCTGAAGCCCGCATGAAGGTATTTTAATAAAGAACGTGTAGTGTACGTGCACATTACATTCCCTCATGGACCAAATGCGCCATCAAATTTCTCCAAACTCATATATGTAAAATAGGCGAATTGTTAGGGTGCCACTGAAACTAATTTATATCGGGATTTCGACACTTTTCCATTGAAGAGATTCCAACAGGATGGATTATGAAAAAATTGCGTAATTTCAGTCAAATATTCTTTTCCAGCTCTGATGATCTTGTATTTCGATGATGCTTTAAATGCTTTATTCATGGCATATAAGTAATATGTAATGGTAATCCGAAACAGAATTTGTTGCATTTTGAACAGACATAACGTTTACTTAGTTTATTTTGAATGATATCGCCAATTGATAGAACCGAAACATGTCATTTTGCAAAAAGATGTTGAAGGAAAGTCAAAAAGTGATTCTATTAGTCACTATTTTTTGTCTAACTCTTAGACAACTCACCTTAGCGTTTTCATGAAAGTTGATGCCGAGCTAATTTGACTTTTGTCCCCCATCGTGTTCTATGAAGAGTCTGTAATCTGGAAAATATTAAAATGCCGTGAATGGATATGTCAAACCCCATGACACCAGCGTATGACATAATTTGCAGAGGAATCCGCAAAAAGCGAAATGTTCCCTCGACAGTCAACTGAAGAGAATACGAGACCCAAAGAGGAGAGATTTAAGATATAGAAGACTTTGAACATAAATGAAAATATTTACCAATTAATAGAAAAAATCACAGATGCGAGAACCTGTAATTGTTTTTAGATTTTTACCTTTTTGAAACTTTTTATGACTCCATATGCACAAACATTCCACGTCTCCAAGCGTATTTTTTACAGTCAACAAATCCTCATTAAAGGATGTATTTATATAGCCTGAATTTCTACCAATTTCCTTTGATACTGACCAAATATTTAGACGCTTCAAGGGAAAAAAGTAACTCAAAAGTGAATATGAATGGTTCACAATCTGAAAATTGCGTAAATTTGCTTACCAGTTTTTGACAATCACCTTCTGAATAATTTCAGTAAATCTTGCAGCTCAGCAGTATTAAAAACCTGCATTTGATGAAACAATAAAAGTGTACTGATATTTTTTCAATCCTTTTCAAAATTCATTTTTGCTATCTTCGAGTTCTTAAGTAATCTTAGCCAACGTGCACTGACCAGAAAAAAAAAACAATTATAATGAACAATGAAACGACGTTTACGGCAGTTTCAGAACATTTTTGATTTTAGTTCAGGTACTACCAATTTGGCAACTTAATTGCATTCTTATGTTCTACATTGTGCTTATTTTATTAGTTGATTTTCTTATAATATGAAACTATTCAAGAGACATAAATAGTTAAAAAGATGTTTACGACAAACGCAGAATTATTTCTTGCCTTTCGTTCATTTACTGCCAATCTGGTATATCAATTGACTTTTTATGCTCCACATTTCGTTTGTTTTATAATGTTGTTTTATATAACATTGTTGTTTTTTATATACAGTATGAATCTTAATAAGTTCCATAATTTCCCACGCTCGCCCCCAAAAACATGCATATGCCTTGGTGGATGACTACTTCTCGATTGTTTTCCTTTTAAGTCAATCAGCAAAATCTCAAATAAAACAACTTTTATTTGAACCGTCAAGCAAGATGATATTTACAAACTTGCTTTCACCTGTACAACAGAACACCGCTTTTTTGTTAAATGCAATTTTCTTGTATATATATATATATATATATATTTTTTTTTTTTTGAAAAAAATACATACAGCCAAAAACTTACCACTGTCAAATGATGGTTTTCTGTTTCGAAGAGGATGTCTTTTACAATCCAACAATAAGTATTCTTAGCAACTGGGAAATCCAGCAAGGTGTCGTTTTGAACCGTTACCAGGTAAGCTTAATTGTACAATTTAAACAACTGACCATGAATAATTTAACATAAAAATTGCCGGCGTAAAATGAAAAAAAATCCCAGTATATCTCTACATTTGGTAAACTGGAACCAGCGGCTGGATGCGTTCTCTCTGCAGTTTGTCTCCAGTCTGAGAGTCAGTCTCTGGCCAATGTCCTAAAGAAATGTTGTCTTACCCGTTCTAATGTTTACCCGAGGACTAATAACTCTATTAGAGCGGAGATTGTTCATTGAGCGCCTCATTGACATAATGAGGCAAACGGCATGCGAAAACATTTGAAACTGTTGATATATTAAGGGAAAGTATATGGAATCGCTAACAATTGATTGTTTACTTTCGTACCTGTCCTGTTGAAAGGCGTGCACATAGAGACGATATTCTGCTAAGCGGGGTGAATAGACCGGTTTATTCACTAAAGTGGCAAGGTGAAGACAAGTCTATATCCATGTTGCAAAACCAGCCTGGATTTGTTGATCGTCATTTAGAAAATAGGAAACCGCTTTAGGCTACCGAATTAAGTCTACAGTATTTTTTTTTTCATTTAAACTGCAGACTCGTTCATGTTTAATGTCGCTTTTTCTACTGGCGTCTTAATGTTTGTTAAGGACTATTGCAACATAGTGTTAAATTCTATAAGCCATAGGGAACTGTCTGAAATTTAAAGCCAGCTTAACTTTTCAAGAGCATGTAATGCAATCTTTATGAATGTGACTAAAGTAAAATTATACTTTGTAGAGCTGGAGAGGTGAACAAATAAACTTGACTTTGATACCAAACTTATAAAGATTTTATGCCAACAAACACCCAGCTAATTATTTATTCAAGCAGAATATGAAATAACGGATTGCAGTTGCTGGATATTATCATGTGTTTGTTCCAAAATGACTAGAACTCATCATTAAGGTGACTGGCAGCTGGGTTGACAATTGCTTCAGTTTTACTGTTAAATTCAATCTACCACTTTTTAAAAGTGGTACAGGAATATTTCTTCAAATATTCTCTTTAAACAATTTTTACACGAGTATCTTTCAGAGCATATTGTCTAATAGGTGTGATACCAATTTCTAAATAAAATTACAAAAAGGTAATGGGATTAAGAAATGTCAGTCTTCTCTTTCAGAACCATGTGCTTTCTCAAAAAAGAATTAGTAATAAAATTAAAATAAGTATTAACATAATAAAAGTTTTAGGTAATACTATCATTCAATTATCATAAATGAAAGAAAAATGCTTCCTTGAATAAAATTAACCTCCTCTTGTCTTGATGCTGGAAAGTTCCGATTTAAAAAACTGAGCTTCCTTGATGATGCAGCTCATTAACAGTGATGTGTATATTTGAATAAGTAGGCAATCAGGAATGTACCCTAATAAAGAGGAAAAAAGTATAAATTTAAATTTCTTTGGCAAATCTTAAATGGTTTTCTTTGCAATAAAAGTCAATTTTCAGTCAATAAAATCTGGTTAAAACGTTTATTTCACAATACAAATAGAATCACACTCTTTAATATGTAAGTTTTTATACATAGGTATTTCACTAACAATTTCAAGTTAAGATGCAAGTAAATCCTTTAAGGAATATCACAGCTATGTTTCATATAAAAATACTGCATATTTACAACTGCTAAAATTAAGTAAATTTTGTATATTTCTAAAACAAATCCTTAGGGTTTACAGAATTAAATATAATAACATATGGTGCTCAAAAGAGACAATGAAATAAGGGTATAGAAAAGGACGGGTTCTCTTGCATGTAATATAGTAAACACACAATATTCAAGTAAAACAGTGCATTGGCAGCATTGGACGGTTTTAAATTATGCACAACCTAAAAATATACATTTGTTATTGTCAGTGTGTGCTACATTTTCAAACTCACAACTCAAAATACCTGTGTTTTGGTGTATTTTGGTAAATGTCAAAAACCCAGTACACTATATTTCTTAATACATATGACATGGCAGAATATATATATATACATATTTACATAAGATGTGGTTGCTTATAGATCATTAATTTTTTTCCCTTTGTTTGGCTTATAGCCCTCAAGTTCAGATCTGGTAAGTGTAATTTCTCTGAACAATCTGAAGTTTTACTTTCATCAGTGTATGTCATTGTAATAAAATGTCTCTCACAAAATACTTTCTTCTCCATATTTGTCAATAACTTGATCTCATCTTGGCTGGAATGTACATATTTTCTATTCATTGAGCTGACACAGCAATGCTGCTCCCATGGCAATCCAGTAGTCCTGAGGCACGGCAGATGGCAAGTGAACAAATACCACAAAATTGGTGGACATGCCTGAAGTGGAAAAAATTGAATTTAGTAAGTGATAACAGATACCTTCTCAAAATAAATTAATAAATAAAATTATTTGGAAACTCCTGAATATCAATCTCTAAAATATCTATTTTGATATCAAAACTGTCCAAGCATGCGAATCAGGTGTGTGTGTGTGTGCGTGTGTGCGTGCATGCGTGCATGTGTGCGTGCATGTTATCTATGCATGACCTACCAGTAGTGGAAAGAACTCCAGCTCTTAGTCCAGTCTTATACAGGGGTGCTATGTAATCAGCAGGGTCAGGAACAAAGTCCATCATGGGTTTCATGTGGAGCATCACTAGTGGCTCATTCATCACACCCTGCAGTGAGCTCTCCACTCTCATCTCCTCCATGTTCCAACGGAAACCGTCCATAAACAGCCCATGGACAAGGACACCATCTTCTGGTGCAGGGATCTTAAAGGAAATGGTGTTGGTTAATATAGTCAACTAACATACAGTTGAATTAAGCACTTTGAATGTCAGGGTTACCCATGCTGATTGACTACATTCCTGCTCAGTTAACCATATACTTAAATTTAGCAAATAGACTGATAAACACCACAAGTTTTCTTAAACTGGCAAATGACTACTCTTCAATATCAGTAAATTTTTTTGAACTAGAGATTTTTGTAGAAGTAAAGTTTCCTTGTTGCAGAAAAATTTTAAAAGTTAAGCGTACTAAATCATTATAATATTAAACTGTCCTTCTGACAGTAAAATCCTTATTTTCTTACCTCCTTATCCATTTCTAATTCCTCTCCAAACTTGAGTGTTTTCATGGCCTCTGAGACATCAGCTTGGTCACGGAAGAAGGGAATGGTGATGAACTCAAAGGTCAAGTGGTCAATGGGCAGGTCATACTTCCTGGCATGGTTCTGCAGGGTACCGGTCAAGAAACCTATCACAAATAATAATAGTGGATTAGTTAAAATGAGCAAACATTATTGACATATGCTTGGAAAAGAGACGAACAGTAAATGTATATCCACACATAGCATTTAATTTTACAGGAATCAAACAATTATGTCACAGTGATTATAATCTGGTTGCTGTCATGTCGGAAAGCCACCTAAACTGCAGTTCTTTACATCTTCCTACCAATTCCAAATACTTTAAGTTATTAATCTTTAGATAATATCATTTTGAACAACAGGCCTTAGCATTTCAAGGTCTGAGCATCGTAAAACGGGGAATCCAAAAGCAGACCAAAGGCAGGTAACTTACCTTGAGGGAAAAAGAATCCTGACAACCAGAATGACTTGGGCTGACCATGGATGACCCAGTGCTGGATGAACTCACACCTCAAGACCAGATCCTTGACCCAGCTGCCCAGTGGCTTCAGGGAGGGGTAGGCAGCATTCTCCCACAGACGGGGCACTTGGTTGTTCAGAAAAGCATTATAGATCTGCTCCAACTCCTCACTCATTACAACAAAACCCTTGATGGCTTTGAGTAGCTGTCTCAGGGAATTCTGAAAGCATGGGGTTTGAAAAAATATGTTCATTAGATATAATGGGTGTTTTTTTTCTTCAATTAATAGTTGTTTCTTTTTCTGAGTAATGTTTCAAAATTACAGTTTTGAGGAGTAAAATTTGCTCTTTAAAAAGTAGATGGATTCTCAAATATGCTTGGCCTGTCAACAGATACGAAAAAAAAATATACATACAAAAAACATACATTTTGTTTACTTTGCAAGATATCAGTATCAGATAATATGAAACCTTAAATGTAGCTTCTGCCTTATAATTACCTTAATAACTTTGAGCAATTTGTTGAACCTGTCCACCTCTTGTGTCAGCACTGTGGTCAGTGAATTTAACCGTCCCTTTGCATCAGCCTTTGAAAGAAGATTGGCATACAGAGATTACAATATTAAAATGAAACTGATAGTCAAATGTTTGTTTATTCCAAAACATTTTTCATCTTTGAGTTGACACAACTTAAAAACACCTATTTCAACAACAGCTACCATTTCTACTCCAATCAGCCTCTTTTAAGAAGCTGGCTATCTTCAAGCATGTGTCAGATCTAAACTTTCGTTATGAATGTACATAATGTATGCTTCCTAATTACATAACGAATGTGTCAGATCTAAACTTTCGTTATGAATGTACATAATGTATGCTTCCTAATTACATAAGCTAAAATGAAGATGTTTTAACACAAAGTTTTATCCGTCAGGAAAAAAGGAAGACAAAAACTTACATCAAACATATCTTGTCTCGCATTCTCCATCTCAATATTTTCCACAATCTTGCCCAGAATGCTCTCAGCCAGTTCATACACTATGTCATCATTAGACTTGCCACCACTGCCTCCACCAAGACGGGGCTGAACATCCAGAATTGTGCCAATGAGGGAGTTGGTTTCTTGACGCTGGAAGGAAAGAAATGGAAGGATATCTTTAGTGAAGTCATATTATGATTTTTTGCAAAGAATTTGACCCAATTTTTTATGGTAAATGAAAAGAGAGATAAAAATCACTGTAGCTTATATTATGAGGTAAACCCCTATTTCTCTGACATTTCCTTTCACAATTCAATTAATAAATGAGTCAAATACTACCTATGCTGGGCATGATATGACTATTTCTTTTATCTTAATATCCTTAACAATTATGGGATGATGCAAAATGTCTTACTTGGAAAGCAATATTAGCATTAATGTGCATGCCAAATATTTCTGGTTCATCAATCAGGGGTAACTCCTCTATGTATTGTCTGTAGTCATTCAATAAATCAGCGTCAGGAGAATAGTAGATACCTAGACATAAACCAAACACAAGTCAAACAAATTGCAAATATGTATGTATCTGGCAAATGCGAAACATTAATCCCTAAATTAACAAAAATTACTAAATTCTTAAAAAACACGTCCAACAATTTTCATTTTTTTATTTGTATAACATATTAAATATGATAATAATAAATATCCCAATTATATAACATCCTAAGTTCGAAAACATTTGATTTCTATTTAATACACAAGGCATCAAATAATCATTTGACATATTTCCTAATGGATTATTTTAATATTTCCAAACAATGCACTGCCGCTGTTTATACTGATTACTTTCTACAAACTTTAAAGTGCACTGGACATTTTTATGACTTAATAAATATATCATGATTATCATCAAAAATGTCTTACCAGATTCTGAATATTTGTATCCTTTCTCTAGAGATACAGGAGCAAAGAACCTCTTCAGCACGGTTCTCAGACATCTTTGATCAATGCCATCTGTGACACGTCCACCATAAGTGATCTGAAAGCAAAGATTGTTTCTTGTAATGTGGTAACTAAGATGGACATTTAATCTCATAACTTCTGCTTATTTCAATTCTTCGATCATTTTCCTGAGCTATATATATCATCCAAAAAGACTGTCAAGGAAGTATATGATTTTGAGATTACTGGCCTCTGATGGTCATCTCTGTATTTCATACCTCCACAGCTGCACAATAAAGGACACAAAAACAATCTAGTATCTAAAAATGGTTCTACATATCGGTATATCAATACACATGTCAATATCTCACCTCTCCAGTAATATAAATGAGTGTGTCCCATGGGATCTCTCCATCAGCACAGAACATCTGCAGATTGAGGAGAGCACACTCACGATCACTGTCACTGAATTCATACTGTAATAAAAAATAAGTGTACATTAGAAAATACAAATATACCCCTGACAAAAAAAAGATTGTATGGGTTTTAGCAAAATATTAGATCAACGTTGGCCTCAAATTTGAACTATTCCTGTACAAAGCAAGATTTGGAAATACAATTTTTACCTTGATGTTCCAACCCAAGGGACCAAATTTCTTCCTCTCTTGGATAATGGCATGGAAGAAGCATATTCCAAACACAATCTTCCTCCATTCAAGACCAAGAACTGAAAAAGGCACAAAACTCTAAGTGATCTGTAGTAACTTGATGGGTGAAAAAATAACTTTCATGTGAACTTTGGAGTGTTTTAATTGATTTAAAAGCAAGAACAAAGACATGACATTATTAGGTTATGCCAAATTAAATAATATATATTATTTCCTTGTTGACAAAACCGATTTTCTCATTCAGAACTTACTGTGTTCCTCAAAGAACTGTGGTGTTATTTCAGTAAATGCTCTCTTGATATTCGCCCTAAGTCCCTTGGGGGGCTCATTGGTGACCTTGACACTGTTCTGCAGCACAGAGACAGGGAAGTGTTTTGAGGGCATGGAGCTGAGGTACAGGCGGAAATCCTCGTGGATATCATCTGGGGCCTCCTGTTGCCCCTTAACTATATTCTCCAGGGACAACATCCAGGAGGCTGCCAAGTGACAATTCTGAAATATTTAAAAGCAAACTTTATAATTTTGCTTCTTTTACTTCATTCAAATCTTTATCATATTCTGTGATTTTTAAAAATATATTTAAAAATAAAAATAGTTTCATTTAAAATTCACAAATTTACCTGTAAGAAGACCCAGTCTCCATTCTTGATAGATTCTGCAATCAACTTTTCAGCCACTGGACCTTGACCTTGCCCCAGGGAAATGGCCTGAATTCTGTAAAAACACAAATCATCGTTGAAACCTGACACAGAACTTTCAATGGCATCTATTATATTATTGCTAAATAAATTTACTGGTATAAATGTCTAAAATAACTACATTCTTAACTTTAACTTACACATTCTTTTAATTATGAATCAAAGGATATTTTAATAGCTATAATACTATATGAATTTAGGGGCAGTATAAATCTTGCTCCAATAACAACACAATCATCCAAAAACTGAATTTCAAAGATGTTTTAATATCTTTCGAAAACTGAATTAATTTAGTTTTTCTCAAATTACATTTTCAATCATATTTCTTACTTGTCAGTGTATCCTCTCTCCCTGGCAAATCTTAAGAAGGCCCCCATGGGGTCAGAACCAGTGCTGAGCACAAACACCAGGGGGGTCACTCTGGTCATGTTCTCATACAGAGTGGCCAGGTCAACAGATGGACTTTCAACAAAGGACTGTCCAAGGTTCTGGCGGACAAAGTTTGTGATGCTCAGCATGACCTGAACAAGGCAAAAAGGTACATAATATATAAATAAAAATGTTGACATACTAAAAAGCAAATATGTAATATGGGATGTCATTAATTATGGTATGTAATCTTTGAATTTACTGCAACTTAGCTGAAAATGGAACCAAAATTTAAATACAAAATTGAATTGCTAAATATTCATAATTATAACAATATATTTTTACTGATGATCTACAACATTTAATGAATTGTCCTCCTTATGGTTTTCAATATTTTACCTTCTCTTCAGCAAAACACTTAATAGCAACAAGTTTCTGGAAGCTAGTCAGTCTCATGTTCCAGTGCCCTTTAGTTTTGCCATCATCCTTTGGTGGTTCTTCTCCCTCTTTCAAGGGTGTTGGCTCTGGGGGCAGCGGGCCATAGGTGGGCCAAGTGTCAGGATTACAACTCACCTGGAATTTTAAAACCAAAATTAGTTCCTGAAAACTTTACATTTTTGCCTGTCTTACTAAGCTTGTTCTTTCTTCCATCTTGGTCTGTTTTTTTTTTTTTCATGATATTCTCTTCAAATTTTTATTAATTTTTTATTAACATAACTGGTCTTTTGTTAGTATTAAAGTAATAGATTAATTGTGAAATTTCATTAATTTCGACAAAAACAATACTTATACAGAAATTAAATAAAAATTAAACATAACAATTTCAAAATGTCTAAATCAAATATAAAAATCTATCAAAATACTGAAATGCCCTTCACAAACAAGAGATTAATATTCTTCAACTTTTTAAAAATTCATCATTCTTACCCTGAGATCTCCCATCTCCACAAAGACAGGTGTGGCCATGATATCATTATGTATACCACTGAACACTGGCAGAGTGTCACTGAGGTCACACAGGGTGTTCCAGGTGCCTTGGTGGATCCAGTCCACATCAGGTTTTGGTGGACGTTGCTGAAAAACAAGACAATTCATTAGACCAAAAATATTAAGTTACTCAGTATAGACTTAGACTAACTAAAATATTAAAAATGGGCTCATATTGCTTAATCAAATGATGAAGAATTTAACTGACTGTTTTATTAATGGAAATCTTTATTGAAAAACCTAAATATCACGAGAAGCTTATTATTCATTGCAGGCAAAGATACCACTGAAGCACACAGGTTGCATTAATGCATATTATCGATATAGTCTATCTACTGTTAACCTTCTTCAATAAATTAAAGGGTTTTATTCCTGATTTTAGAACATTCATGTACGTATTTGCAAAACCTCAAGATGACTACTTAGTATTAAGATGCTAATGTTTATCATGTAATACAGTATGTTTCTCTTACCTTGTCCATTCCTGCTGCCCCTCTGAGAAAGAAGTTCCACTCCTCTGGTGTAATCTCTCCTCTCTCACGCATGATCTCTCCACACAACATGAAGGAAAACACCAGTTTGTCCTTCTCAAATAAACCTCTGCAAAAGTAACCAGCAAATACTTGTGTTGACAAAATTCAAGAAAATAAGAAAAAAAATACTAAAATCATTTTTGCAACTCCAACTGTCCTTACATACTGTTATATTATGCAAGAAGATGCAGATAAAACGCCTGGCAAAAGAAGAAAACTGACTAGGCATATGGTACATAGCTAATGTGTATAGCTGATGTCACTTAGCATAAAATAATAATAATAATAATAATAATAATAATAATAATAATAATTACCTGGCCACATTTTCATAGACCACCCTGGTAGTTGAGTCCAGCAAAATTTGTAACCTAACACTCAGATCATCACTCTTCTCACTGTTTTGGATGGTCATGTTGAAGAGCTGGAAAAAGTCACGAGAGATATTTTTAACATCATCAAGAAACACTGTAGCAATACATCCTTTATGAGTTGCCTGCCAAAATAGTATGAAGTCTTATATCTTATTGGAAATTTCAATGGCAGTCATTTTGGCTGTTTCAAATTGTTCAAGGTTTTTGTTAGGGCATTTAGGCTAAATTTACTGCCTATTGGACAATTATATCTCACCTGTTTGAAGTACTTCAATGAAAACTGGTACATGGGATCCACCTCCCCCATGTCTGCCACCACAAAGTACATGACAGAGCCCCTGGTGGCTACACTCCTGTATTTCTCTCTGGCAATGGTGATTTTCTCCTCAGTTTTCTCAGCCTCAGCCAGACGCTGAGTGATCACCCCAGATGTCACCTTGGACTCATTAAGAGTGTTGATCAACTCCTCATTGTCTAATATATTGCCCTCCGACTCAAAGAGCAGCTTTAAAATTCTGTCTTCTATTTGTTTCAGTTGGTTCTTGTCGGCATTGATTCTGACAATCAGTTGATTTCTCTGCTCCTCAAGGTCTGGTCTTTCCAAGCTCACAACCTCTCTGAAATGAGAGCAATAAAAAATTAAAAATAATACTATGCTGATCAGCTTACAGATGATGTTCAATGATACAGCAAAATGGTTTGTATATCTAATTTAAGAAAATAAAGAAATTATAGGAAAAAAACAAACATGATTCACTTTACAAAAACCACCACCATCACCATCTTTTATAATGATACCTTACAAAAAGAAAATAAGTGAACTTAAACAAGATATAAGACAAATTTAATGGAGACGCATTACTGTAGAAAAATGCACTATTAAGGTGGTAATTGTGTACTCAAATAGCTATCTACACTCACTTTAAATTTTACTTTCTTTTCTATTAAAAGAGTTAGAGCTTCATTACTTGTCTAAACTCATCTAAAATAACTTAATGGATTATTTTTTTCAAAAAATTCTACTGCCTCCAACATACCCCAGCAGCTGGTCCTCAAGTCCAGATTTGGTGACAGTAAAGTTGATGATTGTCACCTTGATGCAGACCTCTGGCAAGTAGAGAGGATTGGACATCTTAGTGGTCATATAGAAGCGGAAATTTCTGTCATAATCAATGTCACTGTCTCCAAGGCGAATAAGCAGACGACCTCCCTAACAAGACAAAAATGATTCATAAATGAAAAAGCCACAATCAAAAAAGAAGAAAAATATGTACCACAGAGTACAAATTCTATAGTTTAAATATAATTTACCTGTTAGAAACTAAAACAATGCACTGATCCAATACTTGGAAAAGAGTTAAATATTTCTTTCCACACGTCATGCTAAAAANGATTTAAAAGCAAGAACAAAGACATGACATTATTAGGTTATGCCAAATTAAATAATATATATTATTTCCTTGTTGACAAAACCGATTTTCTCATTCAGAACTTACTGTGTTCCTCAAAGAACTGTGGTGTTATTTCAGTAAATGCTCTCTTGATATTCGCCCTGAGTCCCTTGGGGGGCTCATTGGTGACCTTGACACTGTTCTGCAGCACAGAGACAGGGAAGTGTTTTGAGGGCATGGAGCTGAGGTACAGGCGGAAATCCTCGTGGATATCATCTGGGGCCTCCTGTTGTCCCTTTACTATATTCTCCAGGGACAACATCCAGGAGGCTGCCAAGTGACAATTCTGAAATATTTTAAAGCAAACTTTATAATTTTGCTTCTTTTACTTCATTCAAATCTTTATCATATTCTGTGATTTTTAAAAATATATTTAAAAATAAAAATAGTTTCATTTAAAATTCACAAAATTACCTGTAAGAAGACCCAGTCTCCATTCTTGATAGATTCTGCAATCAACTTTTCAGCCACTGGACCTTGACCTTGCCCAAGGGAAATGGCCTGAATTCTGTAAAAACACAAATCATCGTTAAAACCTGACACAAAACTTTCAATGGCATCTATTATATTATTGATAAATAAATTTACTGGTATTAATGTCTAAAATAACTACACTCTTAACTTTAACTTACACATTCTTTTAATTATGAATCAAAGGATATTTTAATAGCTATAATACTACTTGAATTTAGGGGCAGTATAAATCTTGCTCCAATAACAACATAATCATCCAAAAACTGAATTTGAAAGATGTTTTATTATCTTTCAAAAACTGAATTAATTTAGTTTTTCTCAAATTACATTTTCAATCATATTTCTTACTTGTCAGTGTATCCTCTCTCCCTGGCAAATCTTAAGAAGGCCCCCATGGGGTCAGAACCAGTGCTGAGCACAAACACCAGGGGGGTCACTCTGGTCATGTTCTCATACAGAGTGGCCAGGTCAACAGATGGACTTTCAACAAAGGACTGACCAAGGTTCTGGCGGACAAAGTTTGTGATGCTCAGCATGACCTGAATAACGTGAAAAGCTCATGGTACATATGTAATGTATAAACAAAAATGTTGACATATGACTAAACAGCAAATATTTAATGTGCAGTATCAATTATCTTGGTATGTAATTGTAGAATTTATTGCAACTTAGCTGCCAATGGAACCAAAATTAAAATGCAAAATTGAATTGCAAAATATTCATAATTATAACAATATATCTACAACATTTACTGAATTGTCCTCTTTATGGTTTTCAATATTTTACCTTCTCTTCAGCAAAACACTTGATAGCAACAAGTTTCTGGAAGCTAGTCAGTCTCATGTTCCAGTGCCCTTTAGTTTTGCCATCATCCTTTGGTGGTTCTTCTCCCTCTTTCAAGGGGGTTGGCTCTGGGGGCAGCGGGCCATAGGTGGGCCAGGTGTCAGGGTTACAACTCACCTGGAATTTTAAAACCAAAATTAGTTCCTGCAAACTTCACATTTTTGTCTGTCTTTCTTGTTCTTTTTTCCTTCTTGGTCCGTTTCTTTTTTTTCCTTTCATGAAAACCTCTTCAAATATTATCAATTTGAATATCTGGTCCATCATAAGAATTAAAGTAATAGATAAATTGTGAAATTTCATCAATTTTGGCAAAAGCAATCATAATACAGAATTTAATGTAAATTAAATAAAGCAATTTAATTGCCTACATCAAATATGAAAATCTATCAAAATATTGAAACGCCCTTCACAAACAAGAGATTAATATTCTTCAACTTTTTAAAATCTTGTCATTCTTACCCTGAGATCTCCCATCTCCACAAAGACAGGTGTGGCCATGATATCATTATGTATACCACTGAACACTGGCAAAGTGTCACTGAGGTCACACAGGGTGTTCCAGGTGCCTTGGTGGATCCAGTCCACATCTGGTTTTGGTGGACGTTGCTGAAAAACAAGACAAATCATTAGACTAAAAATGTGAAGTTAATCAGTATAGACTTAGACTAGATAAAATATTTAAAATGGGCTCATGTTGCTTAATCAAATGTTGAAGAATTTAACTGACTGTTAATTTATTAATGGAATTCTTTATTGAAAAACCTAAATATTATGAGAAGCTTATTATCCATTGTAGGCAAAGATACCACTGAAGCACACAAAGTGCATTAATGTATATTTTCTATATAGTCTATCTACTATTTACACTCTTTAATGGATTAAGTTTCATTCCTGATGTTAGAACATCCATGCATGTATTTTCTAAAACTCAAGATGACAACTTAGTATTAAAATGCTTATGTTTATCATGTAATACAGTATGTTTCTCTTACCTTGTCCATTCCTGCTGCCCCTCTGAGAAAGAAGTTCCACTCCTCTGGTGTAATCTCTCCTCTCTCACGCATGATCTCTCCACACAACATGAAGGAAAACACCAGTTTGTCCTTCTCAAATAAACCTCTGCAAAAGTAACCAGCAAATACTTGTATTGACAAAATTCAACACTGTTATATTTTGCAAGAAAATGCAGAAAAAACAAACAGCAAAAGAAGATAACTGAATTGGCATATGGTACTTAGATAAAGTGTAAAACTTATGATATCGAAAACAACAATAATAATAATAATAATAATTACCTGGCCACATTTTCATAGACCACTCTGGTAGTTGAGTCCAGCAGGATTTGTAACCTGACACTTAGATCATCACTCTTCTCACTGTTTTGGATGGTCATGTTGAAGAGCTGGAAAAAGTCACGAGAGACATTATTAACATCATCAAGAAACACTGTAGCAACATATCCTTTAGGAGTTGCCTGCCAAAATTCAATAAATATGAAGTCTTATATTTTATTGGAAATTTCAATGGCAGTCATTTTGGCTGTTTCAAATTGTTCAAGGTTTTTGTTAGGGCAATTGGCTAAATTTACTCTAGGGACCCATTGGACCGCAAATCGCAAGGAAAAAAATCATAGGAAACAAAATTTCTCTGTTTATGTATTGGAGTGCTTACTGGACAAGTATAGCTCACCTGTTTGAAGTACTTCAATGAAAACTGGTACATGGGATCCACCTCCCCCATGTCTGCCACCACAAAGTACATGACAGAGCCCCTGGTGGCCACACTCCTGTATTTCTCTCTGGCAATGGTGATTTTCTCCTCAGTTTTCTCAGCCTCAGCCAGACGCTGAGTGATCACCCCAGATGTCACCTTGGACTCATTAAGAGTGTTGATCAACTCCTCATTGTCTAATATATTGCCCTCCGACTCAAAGAGCAGCTTTAAAATTCTGTCTTCTATTTGTTTCAGTTGGTTCTTGTCGGCATTGATTCTGACAATCAGTTGATTTCTCTGCTCCTCAAGGTCTGGTCTTTCTAAGCTCACAACCTCTCTGAAATGAGAGCAATAAAAAAATTAAATTAATACTAAGCTGAACAGCTTACAGATGATCTTCAATGATACAGCAAAAATGGTTTGCATATCTAATTTAATTACAAAAACCACCACCATCACCATCCATTTTAAGTGATACTTGAAGAAAGAAAATCAGTGAACATAAGCAAGATATAAGACAAATTTAATGGAGACGCATTAATGCACTATTAACGTGGTAATTTTGTACTCAAATAGCTATCTACACTCACTTTACTTTTTACTTTCTTTTCTATTAAAAAAGTCAGAGCTTCATAACTTGTCTAAAATCATCTAAAAAAACTAAATGGACTTAATTTTTCATAAGCAAAAAAATTCTACTGCCCTAAACATACCCCAGCAGCTGGTCCTCAAGTCCAGATTTGGTGACAGTAAAGTTGATGATTGTCACCTTAATGCAAACCTCTGGCAAGTAGAGAGGATTGGACATCTTAGTGGTCATATAGAAGCGGAAATTTCTGTCATAATCAATGTCACTGTCTCCAAGGCGAATAAGCAGACGGCCTCCCTAACAGGACAAAAAATGATTCATGAATGAAAATGCCACAATCAAAAAAGAAGAAAAATATGTACCACAGAGCACAAATTCTATAGTTTAAATATAATTTACCTGTTAGAAACTTAAGCAATGCACTGATCCAATACTTGGAACAGAGTTAAATATTTCTTTCCATACATCATGCTCAAAAAAAAAAAAAAAAAAAAAAACCTAATATTACCTGTATGAAAGTTTGTTTCAGCAGAACAGGTTCCAAGGCAGGATCCAAAGTTTCTCCAACATCCTCCATCAACACAGGCATACCAATACGGATACAGTTCTCTAGGGTTCTGAGGAAGGTCCCATCGGTCAGCTTGACCACTTTCAGGCCATTCCTGGCCTCTCTATTCCTGACCCATCTGTTTGCCTGCTCCTGGGGGTCAATCATCAGTGGCCATCTTCTACCACGGGTCACTAAGATGGCGTTCTCAGTGGACACCTGATCTCTGGGCAAACCATCCGTGTTCCATTGTCGGATTTCAAAGGGGTCAGCAAGGACACTGGCTAGTGTCATGCCATCTGTGATAGGAATGTCCAGTGATTTGCAGTGTTCTATCCAACTAGAGACCAGTTCTTGTCTGTAGACACTAGTGAAGGCGCCATAGTATGCCACACAGGCTGCAGCCACAAATACATCACCTATCACATTGCCAATCTGCACCTCAAAATCCTGTGAAGCAAAAAAGACAACATGAAACTGCATTAAATGTACATTTATTCTATACATGTATCATAATTGCAACAACCTATAATATTTTTCAAAAAAAGAGTTGGCAGTTGTACATAAGTGTCGCATAAATCAGATCATAATGCATACATATTTTTTTACCTCTGCCAAGGAGGTTACGTTTTCACCCCTGTCTGTCTGTCTGTTTGTCATCAACATAACTCAAAAAGTTATGAACTGATTTTGATGAAATTTTCAGGGTAGGTGGGAAATGGATTAACTTAGAAGTGATTAGTTTTTGGTGGTGATCCAGATCAATAATCAATCAATAATCAATAATAATCAAAAACCGCTGCCTTGGCGGAGGTCTGCGCTCTCGGAGTGCTTTTCTAGTTATTTATTACAACGTTTCCCACTTACAGCAACATTCATCTCCCATCTATCTTTCTCATCTCCCAGAGCTGTAGTCAGCTTAGATGCACGCTTCAAGCGCCCTGCAGTCTGGGCAAGTTTCTTCTCCAGGGTTCTCTTCTCATTGATGCTGTCATCATAGCTTTTCTGCAGGGTGGCAATCTTCTCCTCCACAGCTGCCAGCTTGCTCTGTTTCTCCCTCAGTGTGCTCATCACTGCCTCTAGTTCTGACTCTGCAGCTGCTAGCCTGGGGAATGATGATGGTGACCAAAATAATATTTTATTCAAACAAATGCATCTCTTATATTACATTAAACTAAAGTTTGGATAAGGCACTTATAATCATTCCATTTTGTTAAAATTTACCACTGTATGTAAGTTTTCATTAGTAATTTTTTGAACTGACACACTAATTCTAAATTTTATGGCTTCATACAAAACTGTTATGGAAAACTGCATTATATCCCTGAAGAAGTAAAACTCTTAACAATGTATTTCCTGGAAAATCCCATGGTTAAACAACATGAATTGGTTTGTAAAATGTTGGAGCTTACTTTTGTCTCTTAGGCTCCACAGTTCTGTAGACTCTGGCATACAAATCCATGGCATTCACCCACATACACAGTGATTTGCAGGCCTAGAAATAATAATATCAAATATACCATAGCTCAATGCTGGCACATTCAAGCACTACAATCAGATGAGAACAATTCTGTTATGACTAAAGAATATAAATATATTTATTCTGGAACAATTTACCATTGATTTGAAATTAACATTTTTTTGCAATAATATCCAAACAGTATGAAAATTCTTTTCACATACATTTTCTATGTAAATAACAAACTATTATATTTTTATCATTAAATATGTATTTATAACCACATCATCCGTACCTTTGATACTTTCTCAACTGTCTCTGGATTGAATTTGGGATTTTCGATATATTTCTTCAATTTTTTCAACATGGAGTCTGGAATGTTGTCTTTATCATAGTCGACCAATTTCTTTAAAAACTGAGAGTCACCAAGAACAGCTTTAGCAGATGCCCAGTCAGTTCTGAAAAGATATTATTCAAATACTTAATAAATTCCAGTTCAAAAACTACCAGACCCTACAAACATTAGGACATGAAATTATTATAAGCTGTCTTCTGCATAAACCTAAATTAATGTTTATTTTATTTCTTACCAGTTATTTATCATGAGTATAAATGATCAGTGCTCAAATATTTTTGCTTACTGCCAATATTTAATATTAAATAATAGATATAAAAAAACTGCAAAAGAGGTGTTTCAACTTACTTCTGTCCCAGTAAAATACACACGGCTTCCATGACAGTCTGTACCAGCTCTGGGGGCTTGGTGAACACACGCACCTCAGAGATGTCATTCTTATCCAGAGCATCCAAAGCCTGAAATATAAAAACAATTGTTGTCAAATTAAACAAATTCAAGAATAAAATACAATGTAAATATATAAATACATCTAGATGACTTGTAAATTGCTTTGTAATAAAACAAACCCACATACAAACCATCAAACATTCTATCATGACAACAGGTACGCATGGGTTTCAAATAAGATTTTTAACAATTGCACAATAATTTTTCTTGGATTTTTCTTCCTTGTCTCTGAAGAACATATTTTCTTTAGAGTATATATCTAAATTTAGTGGTTCTTACTTTAGTTGCTGCACTAAGTGCAGGTAAAGCTTCATCCAGATCTTTCTGCGCATCATCAGCAATGGCTTTAGTCTCCTCAGCTTTCACCTTGGCTACAGCTTCATCTTCCATGACTACTTTTCTCACCTACAAGAATAATGACAAACTGATTATTTGTGTTATGGTTCAAAAGACTTTTTTCACATTAGTCTGCATTTCAGAATGGATAAAATCCAGCCTTTTGAGCTTCATACTCAAAACACGCCATATATAAAATTTTCACACTGTAGCAGAAACAAGAGAAAATCTGTAGGAAAAAAAAATGAGACCTATATTTCCAGTCCATTCATGATGACCCACTTTATGGCATCTCATATGAATAGATATACCCATACTCTTGCTTTGATTTTCTTTTAGTAGATGAACACATTCTATTTATTTCTATGTATAATCTCTATAAAAACTAATTTGTTTATTTCATTTCTCCACAGAAGTTGTCAAATATTTCAGATTTATTAAATCATTGTCACCCTGTATCAATACACTATGTATAGAGAAATAAAATAGAAAATGAACTTTACAGCCTATTACTTACAGCATCAGCTTTCTCCTGATCCACCACCAGTCTCTCCATGAGAGCATCTGTCTCCACAGATTTCTTCTTCAGCTCAGGCTCCAAAGCCACCAGTTCCACCTGCATTTTGTCCACCAGTTCATTGGTCTCCAGAATCTTGATCAAACCATTCTTAACACGGTCACGAGCAGTCACCAGTTGCCTGGACACAAAAGAGGAAGAAAAAACTGGGTCAACAGTGAGAATTCATAGTGAAATTCATGTTCATGAAAAAATTGAATTGTTCATCAAATTTACTGACTCAAGTTTTGTAATAAAACAAACATGCTGGTGAAAATGGTGGCAAACAAAACAGCCAAAACAAGCTAAAAAAAAATTATAAATAAATAAATAAATAAATAAATAAAATTATAAATAAATAAATATATATATATAACAGACAAACAAATTATTAAATGAAATTATTACATGGTAAAAAATTCAAATGTTATTAGATTTACGAAACTCGAATTGACAAATGACCACATACTTTTTCTTTTCTCCCAGCATGCTCATATAGAGATTGATAAGCTCCAGGTAACTGGTAGGTGTGGTGTAGTAGCGCCTCTTTAACTCTGTGTAAAACCTCTCAGACATTTCACTCACACTGGTGTGGATTTCACAGCACATCTCAGCAACTTTTTGCTGTCAATTTTTAATTTGAAATATAATAACTATAAACAATACACAGACACCAATTATTATATCTAAGTGTTTGTTTTAATCAAAAAATCATTTCTGAATTCAATCTGAAATCAATAATTTAATACCAATAAGGTATAGATGTTTATTATATTTTATAATCCAAAAGCACAAGCGTGAGTGCATAAATATCAGACATGTTAATGCAGATACATTCTTGGTATGAATAAGGTCAATTTAATCACTGTTTCATTAGCTACATCAGTAACAACTCTATAATATGAAAAATAGAAAATCAAATATAAATTATTTCTCTCACCTTAAGATCATCTCTGCCAAGGTCAACATTAGCAAAGAATGAGTTAGACACTCCAAGCAGAGCTTCCCTGGGCCACTCAATAAACCAATCTATAGTACAGCAGTTCACCAGGGATGGGAACATACGGCAACGAGAACGGAAAGCATTGCCCACGGGACTCATACACAATACAATGTGAAGGTTGTTCCTGTAAAGAGAGAGAGACTGATTAAATATACATGACATAAATGTGTACTGCAGTATTGGTCTGCATAAACATGTAATAGGACAGTGGTATGGAAATTATCTAACTTTGAATCTGTGTGGTATTTGTCTGGGGTCTATATAACAATGGATCACATAAAAGTTAATGTATCTTGATGTTTGATGAAACAAAATGAAATTTTCAGAAAAAATTACTAATATGGTGGGCTGACCAAGATCAGGATAATTTATGTATTCAAAGTTGAACCCGTTTGGTACGAAAATTTGACTGAAAATCACCTGACTCTATTGATAGCAAATTCATAGATGGCATCTCTGTTGCCCTCAGGTATCCCAGCTTCCTTTGCTCCAGGTCGACAGGCAATGATCAACCTTTCCAATTCATCTGATTCAAACAAGTTGGGAACTTCACCAGAGTTTAGGATGTTGTTGATGTCCTCCAGGAATTCTTCAACAACAATCTTTGGGAGAAAAATATATTTTTGGTATCATAAATATCATATTTTTGATATCATGTCATGAATAATAGGCAAGCCTATGTCATGAATAATAGGCAAGCCTATTTTAATCATTTTGACATTTTATCCTACAAATACTGACACATTTTTTACGATGTATATCATTTATCCTACAAATACTGACACATTTTTTACGATGTATATCAATGTCTTTTTATTTATATAAATACCCATGACATACCTGAGTGTCCGTGAACAAGAACACCGTGTCTTGGTTTTGACTGCCAGCCAGATCATATAATTTCTTCAAGTCTTCATGGAATGCATCATAGCCGTAGCCTCTGGACAGCTCAATTTGGAAGCACTGATAACCACACATGTGGGAGGCCAACCTGAAAGTAGAAGAATACAAAATGATAGGGTTTTTCATTCTCAAAATGTATTCTAAAAACATCAAATGATATTTAAAAAAAATATGTAATATAAAAAAATCTTACCATATATCAGGTGCAAAGCAATTCGAAAAACAATAATAATATGCATACTGAAACTTCTCGTACCTTGTCAGAGACTGTTTCCCAGTGCCTCCCACTCCTACCAACAAAGCATTGCCTCTTTCCTGACGAATCATACGGGCAATTCTTGACACATGTTCAATGGCATCCAAGAAAAACACCAGCTTCATTTCCTTAGAGCTGCTCATGTTGTAGTCATCTAAATACTGTTGATGATAAAAAGAGTGCATACAGCAATTGTCTTTATAATTAGGATAAAGTTAAATTAAATACTGCATAAATATTTCATTTTATGATTCAAAAGAGGGACCCCCCCCCCCAAAAAAAAAAAAAAAAAAAAAAAAACTTATAGACATCAACACATCTAAAAATACTTAACGGAAAGTTTCTAATTAGTTGTTACTTACATCTGTGAGCACACTGCGGATCTTGTCAATGTTACTGAGCTCTTCATACACTCTGTCAGCTTTTTCTGCTCCAACTTTTATGAAGTCTCCAAAGATGATGGGATGTGTTGTGAAAGAGTCTGGGTCCACATTCTGTAGGAACAGAAAGAATATTCATTCATGCACTTTATGATACTATTCTAGATTCAGTTACAAAAATGAGGCAATTAACCTGTATATTTCATTTATTTTTCTCACTGAATAAGGAATCTGGGGCCATGTTTTGCTTTTATTCAACACAACTTTATATCTATTTACTCTTATATAGAAAAGACAAAATCTAAAATTAAAAATGTATCAAAAATATTATTATTTCCAAGATAATTCTATTACAAGAATTATATAGTATGAAATAAGTTAAGAATGTTTTTCCTCTCACCTGGCCAAAATGTTTTGATGCCATCTCAGCCATAATGGTATAGAAGTAGCTCTTGTCCTCATTGTTGATCAACCTGTCATGGAAGACACGCATAGCCTCATGACAGAACAGTCTGAAGATCTGGTTGTTATCACGAATGACACCAACATCAGCTTGGAGAATACCTAAAAATGAAGACATTATGTGTACCATTATCTGTACAACATGATCAAATGCGATAGTTCATGAGGATTTATTTTGATTAAAAAAAAAAGACTAAATGAAATTTCACAACATGAATTGAATGTTAATTCAATAATTCAGATAGATAAATAGGAATAATGACTAATTTTACCCAGTAACTATCATAACCAAAAAGTATGTTTCAACTTAAACAGGTTTTAATATTTAATATTCTAAGAAATAATTTACTCTTTAATAACTTAAATGCTTTACTAAGTACAGTTGCAATACTTAAACAATAGTTATATCATAAAATAAACCTAATCAAAACAGATGCATCCATGCACCCATGCACAAACACTCATAGACACACATGCAGTGCACTTACCCTGGATACACTTGGACAAGTCCCTAAGGTTGAAGATGTAGTGTGACTTGGCTGGTGTAGGCAGGAGATCAGTACTCATACGGTTATAGATCTCCACAGCAGCTCCTACTATACCCTCAGCACACTGCTTCACAGCTGCTGGGAAGTCAGACAAGAATCCTGTCAGAATGGCCTGGAAAATAAATTTTATAATCATTTCATTTACATTGCAAAAACTGCAAGGATATTTCAGTCCTTACATTTATAATTTTAGCTTCAGTCCAAAATTTGTTTTTTAGTACTTCAAATAATCATTCAAGCATACAAGAGGAAAATGGTAATTAAATCAATTCGGGACCAAATTATGGATATTTTTGCTTACTAGATATGTTTTGTTATAAAAACAATACAATGACATAATTATCTTTTCTTCTCTCCCTACCTTAAACATGTGCTTGAGTGTGTGTTCAGCAGGTGTGGGAATGGTGAACATGCTGAAGTGACGTATGAAACGTGGTGTCACAGGGTTACGTCCTCCTCCTGGTGGTGCACACGCTGCACAGATTATCACGTCCTGAAGAGGAAAATAAAATGTTCGATTCTAATATCCCACATTGCTCAAAATGTTTAAAATTCAAACTAAGTAGGTTGCATGGGCGATATGCAATTTCAATTTTTTTAGTTTCAGTGAATACATAATTCAGTAGTCTGGCAAACTTTTTCATATATCACAAGTTTCATCCTGTGTTTTCTAGTATGTATCTCTTTGTTAAAAATACAAGAGTGGAAAAATTTATGTGAGAGCAAGGAAAGTGAACAAGGCACAATGTTAGCATTCTTTTTCAACCTCTTTCAAAATTTTCCACAATTTCCCACAATGTTAATAGTATAAGCAAAGACTGAGAGTAAAGAAAATCATAGTGTTTCAAAAACACTGAATATACCTGAATTTGAATCCAGTAAAGTTTTTCTCTCTCATAGAAGCCATGGAAGTCCTGGTACTGGCGCAGCAGTTCAATGGGGGGCTGAGAGCCATATGTGTCCAGCTTTGGCATGTTCAAGTCGTCAACAAAGATTACTACACGTTTATCTTTTGGTGCACCTGTTGTTAAAATAGAGTAAAAAAATATATAGTTTTTAGGGAGAAAATTGATTTTACTTAATGTTTATAACACAGAAAAGTCTAACCTAATCACAACAATAGCAAATAAAAAAAAACAAACAAAAAAACTACTTATGCAACAAAATACCCGACACATTACTAACACATTCTGCAATATCAAATCAAACTTAGAAGTCACATGAACAAAACCCTATTTCATAATACAATTCTCCATTTAAATCAATATCAATTTTAGTTAAAAGTTACCCAGAATTGTCTTCCTCTTCTTTTCCAGTTTGCCTTCAATCATCTCCTGTGTTCTGTTGCTACTGGTCTGGGCAGAGAAGTTGATGAAGATGGGGACATAACCCTGTCTGTCTGCTATATTGGTCATGTGACCTCTGGCAATCACAGACTGAAACAAAGTCATGTCAAAATTAGAAAATCTGAGAAGTCACAGCATATTTCTTATAATCTCATTTTATTTCCTTTCAAAGGCATGGGCTGAACAGATCTGACAAAAAAAAAAAAAAAAAAAGAAAAAAAAATCAACTGAGAAAGTAAAAAGATTTTGTGAACAGTATTTCATTGAAAATTAGTGAATAATCTATTAAAAATATGTAAAGAGATAATTAGACATCTTTGTCATAAATCTGTTAAAAGTAAAAAAAAAATGGAAAAGGTTACATCCAAAGATAACACAGTAGCTAAATAAGGGGTAAATACTCACTTTGCCCACACCAGTAGAGCCAGTGAAAAGCACAGAGTGGTTGACTTTGAGCATTTTTTCCATCAGGTATCCAAACCTGACTGTATCCACGGTTGGGACCAGCATTTCAAAGAATGGAACTTCCTTGTTGTACTTGAAGGCAGGAACAATACGCTCCCACAGGTCCATACGACGGGTCTCAAAGTCTACATAGGAACTCCACAGGTCCCCATTTTGTGGCAACTGCAAAGGGTGAAAAATCAGATTTATTGCATGTTGTAATACTTTCATCAATTAGTTACGGGTTTTAATACTTCTTCTCAAGATAACAAAACAATGCGCTGACTGAATACCACACAATTAACTTTAAGGTGCTATATTAACACTTGTAGTCCATTCTTTTTTTTTTTTTTTTGCTGCACACCACCCTCTCTGAGAATCCTCTATTCACAACTGTCTGATATATCAACATCATACCTTGGCTTCCCCACAGTCCTCAAACTGTGTCCTGACGAATGTGTCAAAAGCATCCCAGTTGGCATCGATGATGTTGCCACCAATGGACCAGAGATAGCTGAACACAAAGCTTGTGGCAATGAGAGGATGAAGCTTGCCAGGGTCCTGTCTGAGGTCAGGACCTCCTCTAGTACACAGCAGGGACTCCAATAGCTTACACAAGCTGGTCACTTTGCTGATTTCCACCTGAAATGGGAATCAGTATTAGAGTTAAATTCTAATGAATAATTTGGCAAAGCAGTACCTGAAAATTTTGCACACAAAGGGTCAGATGTTAAATATTTGTCATTTGAAAAAGTACCAATTTGTATAAGACCCATATTAATTAATTCTTCGAGCATTTTTACTCTGGTACTTAACACAAGACATAAAAATTCATTTCATAAATGTGTAATGTCTTACCTGGTTGATAGCCTGAGTGCATTTCTTTTGAATAAATTTCAGTCCATCATCTACATATTTGTTGAAAAGCTCCATGAGGTACTCTACTGTCTCTTCTCGGAAGTGATCCTTTACACTGTCCATCCATGTCTTAACATAGGGCAGCCATCTTAACTCTCCAGGGTCAACATACACCATACCACAACTGAATGGAAACAAAAATGTTTGTTTAAAAAATGTGCATCAAATTGTAACACATAAATACTTCATTTAACCCAACTCCTCAAAGTGTTTCTAGTCTACTTTTAAGTCAAACAAAATGACAAGATCTTTAAAACACAGTTCTACATAAAATCCTTACCGACTGACAGTAGCTGGTGATGCAACTGCTAAATCTTGGACCTCAAACACCATGTGCATGTATGGAGTCAGTTTGATCCTCTCACTGTTGGCCAGACACAACATCTTGTTGTCGTCTAATACAGTGTTCATGTTCTCAATCCAGAGAGCATCCACTGGGCCATCACACACCACCCACTGATGATCCTCTGAGGTGTCCTAGAATGGCAATATATGATATATATAAATATTAATAAATTATAATTAATAAAATATATTTCATAAAGTATAAATTACAAATAATTGCATGGTCTTGTTCAAATCACTTGTAAGTGAAACAGAGCTAGTATCAAATACAGATGTTAGACCAGCAAATTGTTTTTCCAAAATCTATATTTGAAACTAAAACCAATTCAGTTAAAAATGATCTAAATATTGTCCTGTACTCCTATCTTGGTATTTAAAACTAAAACTGTTACAGTGATACCTGACATGAACTGTGCCCATGGTCTAACTGTCCCATCAAAACTAAGGACATTTCAGTTGAAATTGATGTGAACCTTGCCTGTGACCTACCTGTACTCCTGTCCTGACGGTAAGAGCCATGAGTCCATCATGCCACTCCATGGTGAGCTTGTTAATACCACCATACAACTCCTCCATAGTTATAGACTTGGGGTTCAGGACATAGGTCTTCACTGGCTGGAAGAAGGGGTTGTCTTTGTTCAGCCCTTCTGCATGAAGGTTCTTCAGAACATCAGCCAATATCTGGAAAAAATTGTAAAATATTGGTTTTCATTACTGTCATTTCACTGCAGAATAGATATACAATATAGGAATTTGTGTAGAATTATGATAAAAATTGCCATAGTGCTAAGTTTTATTTTAGGACACAACAATATAATTTAGATTTTATCATTAACATGTCACAGCCACCTTTAAAGTCCACTCTATAATGACTGGTCAACTATTTACCTCGTATGAGGTAGTTTTTCCACCTCCTGTTGGTCCCACCAACATGACACCGTGTCGCACTATCATGGTCTCATAGAGCTGGATCACCTTCTTCACAATGCACATCTCTGGCTGCAATTTCTTAGAAACCATCACTGAGAGGATTTCTTCCTGCAATCTTCCATAGTCATGTTCTGGGATTGTCACTCCAGGGAACAAATCTTGGAGAATGGCCTGGGATGGAGAAAAGATGTTAAAATTTCATAAAATGCATATGTTTTTTATGGTTGTGCATATCTGCCAGTTAAAAATGCTAATTCTTTTTAATTAAGAAAAAATAAAACACACTTACAATATAATGTATGTACAAACACTGCAAGTAGAGTCTGGCATGAGCCTCAAAGAAGTTTTTAGTTTTACATCTATACCCTGGATGCAATTTTTCTGAAAGCAGCTGTTTTGATAGCTAGCTATAGCAACCTGAAGGATGACCTACAATTTAATGAAGCACTACATTTAAACCACCTTCACTTACCTGGAAAAGTCCAGCATCATCCACTAAGAATTTGGGCAGGTTACTGTCCCTGAGAGCTCTGATCAGTACCACGTCTTCAGACTTATCTGGATTCTCTCTCTTCAGGGCTCCTGCCATTACCAGCACAGACTTCACAGCTCTCATGCCAAAGTCATAGTGATCCTGTTGGGACAGCTGCTCACTGCACAGCTTGTACATCTGGGTCATCTTCTGGGCAAGGTTCTTGGAGTCTTCAAAACCCTCAGAATACAGGATTACTTCAGCAATAAGACCTGGTGATAAAACACAGAGTAAAGATATTAGATCTGACTTAGTCCTATTGACAAATAATAATAATAATAATAATAATAATACTATACTGCAAACACATCACATGAAATTGTTTCTAATAAATCCAATACAAAAATGATTATTTATTTTCAAAATAAAAGGTAGTGTGTTTCAGTTGTGACATGTTTAAATATAACTACAATTCTTCTCAAATGTAAACATTTGTTCTACATGGTCTGTTTCCATGCATTTAACTTCTGTTTTAAACATCCCTCAAGTCCCAGCATAGGGGCTTACAAAGTAAATGTTCATGTTATTCAGCAAAAAGACAATATTGAAACTTACGGTAATCAGGCACCATCATAGCGATGGGTCTGAACAGAGCTTTCAGGTTGTCTGGCAACTCTGTGCGCCCTGCATATCCAGGGTTCATGGTGATGAAGGCAGCACAAGTGGGGATCAGTCGGATCTCACGCCCCTCAAACATGAAGCGAGAAACCTAAAACAAAAAACAATGAAACTACTGTCAAGCAAAGGTAAACACAATAGTATGAATAGGTGTTTTTGCTATTTCCAACATATCATTTCATTATTGCATGTCTAAAGATAATTCAAATTTTTAAAGCACCTTCAAATCGAATGACATTATGCATTCATTAAATATATTTAATATGTAAGACAGAAGGTTCAATCCATATGAAAAAAGTATCCAAAAAGTGAAACACAAACTGAAACATGTCAACGTGACTCTGAGATAAATATCGGGTTATATCAATCACTCTTTCTTTATGATTCTATTCATATTTGCTGTACCTTAGCAGCTTTGGCATTCCTGATAGTGATGAGCTGCTGTGCAATCACAGACAACACCTCAATATCAATACGGTTGAACTCATCAAAACAACACCAGGCACCAGACTGGGCGAGGCCAGAGAAGAAACGTCCCATCATCTAGGAGTTAAAAATGCATATATTGTTAACAATTATATACAAAATACACTGGCACTGAACATCACTGTAATAACTTGCAGTGTAGTTTTGATCATCAGTTCACATTAGCTTTGCTGTAATGGTATACAACTTTACAGTTATAAAGTATTAGAAGTGTGCAATTAGCTTTGCTGTCAGCTAACCCACAGTGATTTATATTGTTTCTTATAGTTTTGATACCAATTTAATACAACACACAGGTAAGTTTTTCAAAGCCATACCTTGTAGTCCAGACCATCTGAGCAGTTGAACACCACGCACTGTTTGGCCAGAGACTTGGCCAGATCTTTGGTGGTCTCAGTCTTGCCTGTGCCAGCAGGACCAGCGGGGGCTCCTCCAAGATCCAACTGCAGGGCACCCATCAAACACAAGTAGCAACGATCCTGGAAAAAAAAGTCAGCAACAAATTACTCTAAAGAATAACTCCAATAGATAAAGGCTAATGAGTGGAATTTACCAATAAAACAAAATAGGCAGCAACAAGGTATTTTCCTTGGATTAACATCTGCTGTAATTCCACTGTTTTTAAAAAATCAGTTGAGTCAAGAAAATGCGTGACTTACAGTGAGTGGTGTGATCACAAGCCTGGGAGATGCACCAAGGTATTCATAGCCATAGATGTACAGGGAGTTGGACATGCGAACTGCACAGTTATCAATCTCATAGTCCCAGTAGTAACGCAGCTGCTTCTGCCATTCAAAACTGTTTACACTGTCAACCTGGAGAGTAGTATGAAAAAATTGATGTTTTATATTGTGCTACTTATACACAGTCAGCTTGCTTTCAGATTCCTTTAGTCCCAAATTTCTAAAAGTTTTTTCATCTTTCTAGCCCCGATGACAGAGCTAAATGCAGTCCTTACCAGGAAGTTATGACAAGTAATTTTCATGATACTCTCAATCTGCCACATTTCTCTTTTAAAATTTAGTACACATCCCATTATCAAAGAGCAATAAGGTCAACAGTTACTATATCTTCTACAATTCTTTAAGCTAAACTGAGAGCATCTAAGGGGCAATGGGAACCCAGTCTAAATCTTCCATCATTTTAATTAGACCTACCTTGACTTTGACCATCTCTGTGACCATATCTCTGGCATGGACATCCAGTGTGATCAGGGCACACAGAGTGGCTCTCACTAGCTTTGGGATCTCTTGACGCACTATGGCAGCAAGTTTGTTCAGGTCCTGCAAAGTTGAATTGAATTTTTAATAACTTAATCATGAGTGTGTTCATCATTTAAATAAATTATTTCATATGAAAGATCTTATTAATTTTTTATTCATTTTCATAAACTAAATATTTAAAAATAAAACCTCAATTAGGTTTAAAAAATATCTTTTGATAGTTCCAAAAAATGTAAGAGGAAAATATATAAGAAAAATATTATTACTTTAATTTATATGCATGTAGATATAAATAATTTTCTCTATCAAAAAAGGCATATGGAATAACATACATCAAAACTCTTCTTCTCAAAGTTCTGCATTCCTACCAGCCTGTCATCATCACTGGTGAGGACATTGGTGATATCTGTGCACCACATCATCTGGGACACGGTCAGAATCACCTGGAAAGACAATTGTATATAACAATTTGTTTTGTTAAAGCTAAAAAATAACTTTTGCTAAATAGAAACACAAATTTATAAATAAATAAATGAATAAATAAAATAAATAAATCACTTGTTTAATAAGAGTAATAATTTAAGAAATATGTTATTGTTTAACTTCTTAAATACTTGATGAGATTACTTCATTCATTTCCCATTAAAAGAAGGAAATAATACAGTACAATATAAAAATCTCACCTGTGATGCATGCAAAGCCACCCACTCTTCTCTGGTTCTCACTTCGAAGTCTTTAATTGACTCTTTGACCAATCTCCTCAAATTATTAAACATGGCTTCTTCCACTTTGCCTAACCAGTCTTCAACATTTCCACGAGCTTTCAGGCCCTATTTAAATAACATTATTTCATCTGTTTATGTAAGTAACAATTATTTCCAAGACTACATTCTAACAGAATTTTTAGTCTTTCAGAATACATTTTTCACATAGGGTCTATAATCAATATATTTTTACCATGGTCTTTATTTAAAACTTCAACTTATTCCAGCAATAAGAGTAAATTTACCTTGCCAAGTCCAACTTTCTCTCCCTCAGGTGAAATCATGGCCAGAATGTCATTGGTGAACTGCACCTCTGCCTCTCCCTGCCCATCATGATCTAAAATACAAGAAATGTCACAATTTAGAACTAAGTGGAAGTTACTTTTCAGTAATCTGTGGAATTCCGGATGTCATTAACTGATTATAATGCTTATCAATATCATTCAATATCTGTATCCATACTTGTAAAATTACCTTTGTCAGGTGTATTTTTGCCATCCCCAGATGACTGCACAGCAAACTCCAGCTTAGAGATGGCATCAAAGCACTTCCTCAAGTGAGGCTGTACTGCCAGTGGGTTACGTGTCTGGGCCAAGATCTCAAGGAGCTCATCATTGGACAAAAAGTAGAATCTAAACATAAGAGAAAAATGTGATTGAAATGGTAAGAAGAATAAACATGTCAGTGGTTAGTATTTTCCAGTGAAACAAGCTTATTAAAAAACATGTTGCCAATTATTCATTAATTTGTTGGTTATCAAATTATTTGCAACAAATTCCAGATAACATATAAGGTTAACATATGCAAGGCTTTACTCAAATCTACATAAAGAAACCTACCTTGGGAAGATATTTCTCTTTGACTCTAAGTAAGCTTCCAGACATTTTTGAATCTGGTCCAACAAGGCATTATTGTTCTGGAAGGTCTCAAGCAACCCTAGAATATTAAGAAGGGTCTTAGTGTTTAATTACACGTTGTAAAATACCTAGATATATATTTCTTCCGAATGCATAATTATATATGTAAAGCAATTTAATTTTACATACTGTTCTCCTAGTCTTTACGATTCACAACCAAAGACATACCTCCCCTTTATCCAAAATACTATACAATGACCATGCCACTGCCCTTGACAACAATGACTTTGACCTACCTGGTTGAGTTGCAGCTCTCATGGCCAGGGGGACTTTGTTTACTTTCCTCATGATGTCCTTGTATGACTTGTCTACCTGCATGAACATCTTGGACTCAGCTGGCAGCTGTCTCTGGATGTCTGGAGCACTGAAGATACTTTCCAGGTACAGCCAGTTTCTCTGACTGTTCAACCACTCATCCTAAATGAAATGAAAAAAAAAATCCATGAAACATCTCATGATCTCAAAAACAAATGGACTTATTAAATTCACATATCAACCTTTGACAAGTACATATATCCTAAAAGAATAACCAAATCCTGGAACTTACCAGAGTCTTTCCGAAGAGATCCAGCTGTTTGAGCCAGTCATCCACCTTTGGTTTGATGGGGCCCACATGCCTGGAGCTGGCTATAGTCTGGATATTGATATTACTGTCATCCAGCAACACCTGGATCTCATCTGTGCCTCCCAGAATGAACACATCCTTGGAGTCCTTGTGTGGGAGAACTGGGAACTCTGTGGACTTCCAGGCATCTTCAACCTGCAAATAACAAGGCTAATTTAGAAAAAGGAACATGATTTAATTTGTCATGCATAAATTCTTAAAAATTGTCCACTTCTGTTGAAAAATAATCAAAGACATCAAAGACACAAACCTTTTTAAGGATACTCTCCAAGCTGGCTTCTGAGCTGGCCTGGCCTGAGATCTCCTGTACAGCCTCAGTGTGCTGGAAAGCCTCCAGCTCCACCAGTTTACCAAGAGTCATAGGGTCCTCAGGGGTGAAGGTATACCCAATTATATTGTAAATATTCTCCCAGTGACGGGGCTTTATGCTGGGGTTTCTGAGGTCTGTTATCATAGGCATCTGGAAATAGTTGTTTAAACATAATAATAATTGCTTTTATTTTGCTATCAGACTGATTACTTTCTGTAATTGAATGGAGTTCTACTTTCTGTGTGGCCATTTATTACCATTATAGTAAATAAATTCATTTTTTGCAATGTAATGCAATGCAATGCATTCACAAGTGCATACAATTCCCCATTTCATTAAAAATCAAGTTTTTCACTTTACCAATTGCATCATCTTATTACCTTATCTCTCATGCTTTCTACCCTCTCCTTCAGAGTAGGCACCACCCCATTAGGTGGCAGACCCTTCTCCAGCTGCTGGACAGCTTTACCATACTTGGCCACAATGGCAGTTAACTGCTCTGGGTCCAGTGTATCCAAGGGAGCCTGTAATACAATAGAGCTACCATTTAGCCATGTGGATTAAGAGTTCTTAACCAAATGACACTTTCTCTTTGCAGTAATACACATTTTATGTTACAATATTTAAAATTTTGGAACAAAACTGGCTCAAACCAGGGTTGGAAACTCCTCCTAAAATTCAACCAGACAGCAGGACAGGTTACTCTTGAAAGTTACCTGTCCTACCATAAACCAACCTGTCCTCATAAAATCGAGAGAATTATGATAATAATGTGCATGTATGACTAAATTTAATAATTCAAGACATTTTTGAATGTTGTTTTCTTTCAAACTTCATAAATAAAACTCATAATACCAGTGCTGTCTTGATACCAAAGAATCAAATTTATTTTTATATTCAGTTATGGTCTGTCCCCCCANAACCGGTATAAAAATGGACCCTTCGTTAAAGGATGCAAAAATTTAAGGCATCGTGAATTTACGCTACATTAGCTCACCATATTGTCTTCTTTATCATATTACCGATGTTACCTTGCATTTGATTGGCTTATTGCAGCGAATCTTCCCGCGACAAAAGTCGAGAGTAAGTCATTTAATGACATATCACTGACCTATATTTGGAATGTTCACGTGACTTATTGGTTTATCGCAGTGAGTTTTTCCCGCGGTAAAAGTCGGAAGTACTCGATGTAATGACGTATCATTGACCTATTTTCCTATATTCAGAATGCTCATGTGATTTATATTGTAAACACTTATATATAAGTAAATGTGTGAATCTCAAAATCAAGAAAGACGCGATGTTTCACGCTCAGATCTACTGACGACTTCAAAGTGCGGCCCGACCACAGGACGGTCTCCAAATTAATTTTACCCGTCCTCCATGAAATTAGACCGTCAAGGACGTTGGGACGGGCGGTTATTTCCAACTCTGCTCAAACTCTAAAATATTACATATGATTAGCCAGAGTTGTAAATAAAACTGCTGCTCTGCGCTATCAAGTTATATCACTCTTCAATTAAATTTTTTTGTGCAACACGAAATGCACAATCTTTCAAAATTTGTGTATCATGAACATAAACATGAAATACATAATTTCAAGTACGTCATCAACACAAATAAATAAATAAATAAATAAATAAATAAAGGAAGGGATGGGAGATTATCCTCCACTGACCTCTGTCCAGTTCTTCAACAGTCCATCCCACTCATCCAGTGATGTCCACAACATGTTCTTCAGTTTCATCTCAGCTGCTGTCTCCTCAAGGGCATCAAACTTGGTCACCTCCACCTGGAGTACACGAAATCGATATTGAACAATAATAATAATAAAAATAATAATAATAATAATAATAATAATAATAATATGTTAAGTTTAAAAATTGACCAATCAATCTATGTGCAGTGTTTTCTCTTTTGGAGCAGATTACATCCATCTGATCAATGTCATGAAATGTCAATTACAGAAGTTTCCTCAATAAAACCTCCCATACATCAAAAAGAAAAGCACTTTTACTTAGATATGCCCCCACCTTAAAGTTCTTCTGATATGACTTGTATGTGAAAGCTCTCTTCTGTAAGTCTTCCAAACGTACAGACATCTTCTTCAGCAAGTTGTTGATCTTTGTTTGATCAGCTCTTGGATCCAAAATTTCTGGATTCTGCAAAGAAAAATTAATAAAAAAAAACTAAATAAAAACCTGGTTTACAGCCACTGTGTTCACTGTGCAAAAGAATAAAAATTTTATTTCTCAAAAGACGATCATCTCAAAATATTTCAAAACAACTGCAATTTTCACTATTACAAGCAATCAAGCTTGGTGACAAAAAGGTAATAGTGATATGAAGTAATATGCAACAGGATACAATTATTCATTTATGCTTGATGAAATTTCAACACCTACCTGTGCCTCCTGCTTTACTTCTTTCACCTCCTTGGCCAGCTCAGCTATGTCCTTGTCCAGGTGAGTGCAGAACTTGTCCACATTGGCATCTCTTTCTGCCAAGGACTTGTCTATAGCATTCCTAACATTGGTTACGGAGGGATTGAGAGTCTGATACACAGCAAAGTCCTCTGGAGGAGTGGGCACTTTGAACATGTCTATCAGTTCATACATTTCCTTCACTATGAAGGCTTCTTTCTCCAAGGGATCAATCTAGTAGTAAATAGTACAATATCTTTACTAATCAAATTCAATTTTCTTTCTTATTTTTTGTTAAAAAAAGTGTTTTGAATCTTTGGATTACTGTAACAAAAGTAAAAATGCACCAAGCTTTAAAAAAAACTTTTCACTGAGTTATTCTTTCAGAGGCACAGAAACCTAACCAATTTTTAAACAGAACAAAACCTAACACACAACACTCACCCTCTCCTGTATTTCATCCAGGAAGTTGAGACTGTCCACATATTCTATGGTGCTGGTTGGTGCCATCTCCAGCTTGAACTGAGCATCTTGGAGCTCAGCTATCAGCCTGTCTACCTCACTCCTGGCCAGCACAGGCAGTAGGTCATTGATCACCTGGAAGACACACAACTTGTGTTATATTTATTGTATCTGTTGCTTTGAGAAAAGACAAAAATACCAGATAAATAGTAATTTATACATCTATTTTATTGTCATAATATTTAATTGTGTTCAAATGAACATGCTAAACATCTTATTCAAAATCTTGAACTTTACCACATGTAAATCCCAATTTTAGGTGTGAAAATTTGGTTATGAAAATCCCATGCTTCCACTGTCATGAAAAATCTCATCAAACAATGACTGCCTTAAATAAACCATTTTATCCTCTCTAATTACTTATCAAGGCTATCTACTCACATCCAGACATCTGAGTGGTGATGGGATGAGCAGGTCCTTCATCTGGATGGCATCTACCAACAACATGCCAATGGGTCTCTTTACAGGAATGGCCTCTGCCATCAGGTGCTGCTTGTGGTAGCGCTCCAGTGTCTCGGCAAAGAAGGCCACATCTAAAAGCATTCCAGGTGTTTCAATCAAAATTCAATCATTTTTAATTATGCATAGTGTAATACAAAAGCAGTAAACTGCATGAAAGTCCCTTTTGAAACATCAAATGTGTATATAAAAACATGCCTATGGATATGTTTCCCAAATCCAATATCCTTTTGGCTGCAATAATTATTTTTTAAGTTCTCTTTTATTTTCATTGCACTTACTTTTCTAAAAATACAGATTAACAGCAAATCAAACAATTAAAATGCATGCCATGTTATAAGCTTGAGAAAAATAGATGTATCTTGTACAATTTCTTACCATGCTCAGCCTGCCTGACTGCCTCTAGGTCAGTGCTCTCATTCACCTTGTAGAACTCTCTGTGAGGTTCAAAGCAGTCTGCATACTGGTGGGCAGCATTGAAGGCTGCTGTTAAGGCCTCCTGGATGAGGAAAATGGCAAACAATTAATGGCACATGTAGAGAACACTGGACCCTATACTTTTTTGTATTAAAGGAACAGTGAGCTGACCGAAAATTGTTTCAAATAACATCAATAATGGATTGTTAAGCACCCCACTGAATGAAACCTAGGTAAAATTCCACTTAATTTATGTTACAACTCACAGCAAAATAAATTTAATAAAAAAGCTGTTGGGGTAAAACTGAGTAAATTAAACAAGTCTATTTTCATTTTAATATTTATAAAAAAAATGCACTTTGCCCTCACCCTTATATTCTGTATAATACTCTGCAGATGCTTGTCATCTTCAAACATGCTGATGAGGCTGGGACCCTCTCCACATGACTTCTCCTCAAACTTGCCATTAATTATGGGCCTAAAAGGATGCAATATGGTTATGTAAGAAAAAAACAAAATTGGCATTACAGTCTTTTTATTTACTGAACCAATTTTAAAAGCATCTAAGAAAACTTATACTGGACAAACATTAAAACTCTTAATATCTAATACTTAAAGAATAATTGTAACAGCATGATATGAACTGAAAATGCTATTTCATTTATCAAAATTTTCAATTAAGAACTAATCAGAACAAGATAATCAGATTATTTTTCAGTTGGCAAACAACACTATGCAATGGACAAACACTTTGGACTTTGCAACAGAAAAATCTTACCGTGTAAAAGCATCAAAGTAAGTATCAGGCACTAGGTTCATGACACTGAGGACAGCATCCTGGAACTTCTTGATGACCTCAGCAATGCCTTCCTGGAACTCATCTTCATCTGGGGTGAAGTTCAGCTGATTTGGCTCCAAAATGAACTCAGTGATGAACAGTGGAGGGAGCTTGTTGGCCTCCTCTTCATCATCTGCTGCAGCTGCTGCTTTGGCCTGTATAGGGGAAAACACAGTCAAACACATGTCTTAATATCATTACCTCTATCATTTCAGTTTCTTAACAACTATTTTGTTTGCAAATAGAAAACAAAATAATGTAAAACAAAGATTGTAAAATCAATGAAAGAAGACAATTACATACCAAGTATATGAACACTACTCCATTTCATACTGGTGTGTTTACAGATGTAAAAATTTTCAAAAACTTTTACATAAAACCACAAATGCTTTATGTCATATCTAGGAGACTGATGACGATAATGCCTATGTGTTACAGAACTGCTTTTACCTTAGCTTCCTCCTCTTTAGCCTTCTCCTTGGCTTTAACATCTTCATCATCTTCGTCCTCATCTCCTTTCTTCACTTTACTCTTGCTCTCAATCTCATCCACAATGCTCTGTATCTGGGCCAAGGCAGGGGTATTCTGTAATTGTTCTGTCAGGTAGTTCAGCATGGTAGACACTGAGTTCACTGCTAACACATGCATGGTGTTTACAATAAGGTAGTCTGCCAAGCGAATGAAGCTGAAAATTAAACAAAGATTTCATTTATATGAAGAAATTTTCATTTATTTAATGACCAAATCCTGAATTGTTTTCTACAACTATCAGCAAAGCAATTAATTTCACACAGACTATCTGAAAAATTTGAGCTGAAAATTAGAGTTGACAAAAGCACTTAATATGCCAAAGGAACACTTTTGATGAAACTGTAAAATGAAGTGTACAGAATAAAGAATAAACCTGCTCTTGATCACTGAAATTAAGGCATTCTAATATTTTTTAAAACTTGAATATATCTTACCAGGTCAAGCGCTTGCAGTGGGACCTCTTGTTAGCCTGCTCAGTGTATGTCATCTTGTCTGGAGCCTCACCATAGATATCCATGTCATAGTTACTCTGCATCTGAAAGCTGGAAGCTGTGCCTGGGGCATCACCTAGGAAAATAAATTGGATGTGCTGATTAGTGAAATGATTCCTTTTTCTACAAATACACAAAAAATAATGACAGAAACTGGACTAGAACAAAATATTTTAAAACTGATTGAAAAAAAAAAAAACATACCCAGTCCAGGACTCTCTGAGCCATCATAGAAGTAATCATCTGGTGTAAAGCCTGCCTCCAGCAAAGCTGTCCTGCAAGCACTTCTGACCACTTCCTTCACCAGCTCTCTAAACTCTGCCAACCGGTCAGCAACCTATGGGATACAAAGGGACATGAATGTTTGTCTCCACTATCTATACTCTGATTTCATACAAGTGGGCAAAAATAAATAAATAAATGAATTAAGTTTTGCCTTTTGTTTGATATTTCAAAATCAATGGGACCATTCATAATAATCACTGGTGACTTTTATTAAAAGACTTGCTTTATCAAATAAATGTTTAAGTTACATGTACATGATTTTTTTTCAACATCTTTATAATTCATTAGTAATTTACCTCATTCAACTGAGCAAACTGAGCCTCTCTGAACTCATGTAGACTGTATGTATGTCCCTTTTCCACTTTACACAAGCCCATGTCACTGATCCTGTAGCACATCTCTCGGACATTCAGGAGGGCAGGGCACAAAGACTGGAAAAAAGGATGAAAATTTCAATTTATAGTGATCAAAAACTTTGAGAAAAATAAGCAATTTGTCATAGTGGTTCATGCCTGGACATGGGTAATTGCAAGTATCTTAACCATAATATGGTTTGAAGCTTGGTATTTATGAAGGGTAAACCTGTAAAGGGTTATGCATGTACTGATAAGTGTTAGCCCCTCATGTCCTTTTTCATTAGACAATTAGCAAGCATTGTAACAATATCATCATTACATCATACTATAACAATATAATCACATTGCAGAACTTAACTGAAGTTAAATTTTACAGACTAATCTCATTTTAGTAAAACATTCACAATACTTTTGCAAATTTTATGTGAAGTTTTTAAAGCTTAACCTCATTTTCTGTTTGTAAAATTATATATCTCATGCCATGGCTATATTACTAAAGCTAAATCAAACTTACTGGGTTTACTATGAAGAGATTTTCATTCAGTGCTTTCTTGCAGTCTGAGAGCTTTTTGGTTCGCACATTCTTTCTCCATACACTGAATGCTTTCCACTTGCGGAATTTGGCAAAAACACTGATCTGTAATAATAATAATAATAATAATAACGATGATTTTTTAAGCAGACATCAATTTATTCATCAATGGCATAATGTTTCACAAACACCAATTTCATTAGTTTTACCATAAGCCTATACCAACAAAAAGGAGTATTTTTTAAAGCAGTAAGATCACAACTTGACATTCCAAAACAGTAGATTTTAGAAAAATGACAAAAACTTAAAATAATACAATGCCAATTAGAAACAACTCACCTTTATCAGTTTGCGGAAATATCTGTACTCCTGTTCCCATCTGTCCAGTGGTACATGCTCAGTTTCATCATCATCACGCATTCTAGTGACTCCCTTGATGCTGATGGTGCAGTAATCATCTTTGTTGATGTTCTCATGGCTTACAACTCTGAAAATGTACCAAAGGTGTAAGTGTAGTGAAAAGTATAAAGTGTATTATTTCAATTAAACAATTAAAATGATTTACCAAACTGGATAATATCTTAACATATAAATGATCCACACTTGAATGAAGCTATGCATCAATTTTTTTTCATCCACAGATAATTTTTCCTTTATTGCTTTGTGGAAATAATCAAATCATTTTGAATATTTTTTACTTAACGTAATTTTAAAAACTTTATAAATTACAAGTGACAGCGTAAATATCATCTCATACTTCACATCTCTATGTTATCATTCAACTTACTTCAAGTTGAAGTAATGATAGTCCACAGAAGATTTTGGCACTGCAGGACTGAGATACAAGAACCCAATCTTAGGGTTCTCTCTCACAAGCTGAATCATCTGTAAAGGATCTTTAATGCCCTCCAGATGAGTTGTGCCTGGAAGAAAGAAAATTGATTTCAACAGTATGCATAAAATGAATATGCTTTTACTCACCAGGGGTTATTCTGAATAAAACAATGAGATAAAAATAAAAAGCCATGAACCCTGGGGTAAAAAAATGCTGTAAGCCAACTAGCAAAGAATTCATATTATCAAAGTTTTTGAAAATCATACTTCCAATTATCTGAAGAGTTTCCACATGGTTGCCAACTTAGCAATGTAAACACTTCTCAAAACACTTCTTTGACTTAACCTCATCTAATTCTATCCTTAAAGAAATTCAAATGTTCAATTTTTAAACATAAATCTAATTTTTTAAATAAAAATAAAATAAATGATGCTCTTACCTTTAGCGGTAATGGAGGGTCCTGGTACAGTAGAAGCACGGACATGTCTTCCTTTGGGAGAAGGTGGTTTTGGTTCTTTGGGTGGCACTGGGGAGATCTGTCTGCTAGCAGCACTCATTGACTCCTGGAAACAAATATGATATACTTGACAACATGCCATGCATTCATATGTTAGTGATGGAATTTGGTCTTCTCTCCATAGTAGCTGTATCTATATGCCTGAATATTGTTCCATGTGCTCCATAAATCATACTTTCAAACAAATTATCTGATCTGGTGTTACTAATTTTTTCACACTACAACCTCATTATCCTGTTTGTTTAAAGTGAAGTTAACACATTAAGAAATAACTATTGAATGCAGATAAAAGCCTGATAATGCACCTGTTTCTGTTTGAACTCCTCTGGTAGTTCTGGCAGTGGTGATGCTGAAGCTGGCCTATCCATTGGTTCCACTGAACTGGCACGTTTCATTTTCTTGGCCTGTGGTTCTTCTTTTTTGAAAAACCCTTGAGCTTCCATCTTTTCCTTAGCCTTCATATGGATAAATTCTGGCTGATTCACCATTTGATATTTTTGAAGACTAGGCTAAAATATGGAAATAAGACACACTTATGATATATGAGCCTCATATTCAATATTATATCAAACACGGAGTAACATGGAAAAGACCAACACTGCATACACCTCAAAATCTATCGCTCCACAAAAAAAGAAAAAAATCCCTAAGAAAAATATATAATTGGATATTAACAACAGTGCATATCTCCAAAATTATTTTGACTAAATCATTCATATCTAATTTGATAGTTAAGTGATTTGCTCATATTAATAATACTTGATATATTAGTTCACAACAGTCACAGGTAAAATATACTTTACATATTACACAGTTACTTACCAAAGGTTCCAACTTTGCAGCAACAGGTGTGTTTTCTTTCCTTAACTGGGCATTTGTAGGCCTGTTGAATCTCAGAGCCCTTGTATTGATAGGTGCTTGTTTTGGTGCAAATGAGTACAGTCTTGCCTTCAGTTTTTCTTGATCCACACTCGGTAGCGCCCCATTTGCTCTTTGGCCATTTAACTGTCCACTGTGGCCATTAACTTGGCCATTCATTTGGCCATTCATTCTGGGGCTAAATGCAGCATTTGGTGTATCCATTTTTTATTTCTAATATAAAAGAAACTATTTTTAGTGTATAACTATCTTTTCACTGATAATATTGAAGCAAAGGCATGTAATTATCACATACATAATACTAGCATTTGAACACACATGACCTGTGAATAAAGATTAAATTTACGTATCCCTTCTATCACAGCTAAACCACATGACTGTGCCACTGTGTAGACCTTGTCTAAGAAAATGTAGAAGAAGAGATCATATTTGTATTTTCACAAATAACCCCAAAATATGTTGCTCTGACGAACACAAAAGTCATTATCACTTTGTATAAAAAGTATGTAATAAAGGTTCACCCCAAACCTTTTAATATTTCCATATTCCTTATGTCAGGTTGTAATTATAACTACATGTACATATTCTTAAGATGTGTAAAGCAAGTGCCTTGTAACAACTGGGAAAGCTGGATACAAATACGACTATATTAACCATATCCAGCATTTTACAAACAATATAAGGCATATATAATGACATAGAGAAGTATATATATCAAATGCATTGAAATTAAACTTCTTCAACCTCTTGAGCTTCGCTTACCTAAATTTCTATTTCACATTTTTAAGAACTTGACAAAAATTGTGACGTCCGCCATATTGGTTTATTATTTCTAAGCAACGATGCCGGAGATATCCGGACTAAAGCGGAAAAATTACCAAAGTTATTTTTTACAAACCGTCAGTTTTTTTGTGAAGATATTTAAGAAAAATACTATTTGGAGCGAAATATTTGATTAATTCAACTTTTTTATTTTTTACGAAGACTTCATTTTAGGGCAAGCAGAGGGGGGAGACTCGGTCAAAAGAACGCTTGTAGTCTCGCGCNTACAATAATAATAATAATATTATGTTTAAGTTTAAAAATTGACCAATCAATCTACATGCAGTGTTTTTCTCTTTTGGAGCAGATAACATCCATCTGATCAATGTCATGAAAAGTCAACTGCAGAAGTTTCCTCAATAAAACCTCCCCTACATCAAAAAGAAAAACACTACGTAGATATGCCCCCACCTTAAAGTTCTTCTGATATGACTTGTATGTGAAAGCTCTCTTCTGTAAGTCTTCCAAACGTACAGACATCTTCTTCAGCAAGTTGTTGATCTTTGTTTGATCAGCTCTTGGATCCAAAATTTCTGGATTCTGCAAAGAAAAATTAATTAAAAAAAAAACTAAACAAATACCTGGTTTACAGTCACTGTGTTCACTGTGCAAAATAATAAAAATTTTATTTCTCAAAAGATGTCATCTCAATATTTCAAAACAACAGCAATTTTCACTATTACCAGCAATCAAGCTTGGTGACAAAAAGGTAATGGTGAAATGAAGTAATATGCAACAGGATACAATTATTCATTTATGCTTGATGAAATTTAAACACCTACCTGTGCCTCCTGCTTTACTTCTTTCACCTCCTTGGCCAGCTCAGCTATGTCCTTGTCCAGGTGAGTGCAGAACTTGTCCACATTGGCATCTCTTTCTGCTAGGGACTTGTCTATAGCATTCCTAACATTGGTCACGGAGGGATTGAGAGTTTGATACACAGCAAAGTCCTCTGGAGGAGTGGGCACTTTAAACATGTCTATCAGTTCATACATTTCCTTCACTATGAAGGCTTCTTTCTCCAAGGGATCAATCTAGAAGTAAATAGTACAATATCTTTACTAATCAAATTCAATTTTCTTTTTCATTTTTCGTTAAAAAAGTGTTTTGAATCTTTGGATCACTATAACAAAAGTAAAAAATGCACCAAGCTTTTAAAATAATGATGAAATCAATTATGACAAAAAAAAAAAAAAAAAAAAAAAAACACTTTTCACTGAGTTCTTCTTTCAGAGGCACAGAAACTTAAGCAATTTTTAAACAGAACCTAACCTAACACATAACACTCACCCTCTCCTGTATTTCATCCAGGAAGTTGAGACTGTCCACATATTCTATGGTGCTGGTTGGTGCCATTTCAAGCTTGAACTGAGCATCCTGGAGCTCAGCTATCAGCCTGTCCACTTCACTCCTGGCCAGAACAGGCAGTAGGTCATTGATCACCTGGAAGACACACAACTCATGTTATATTTATTATATCTGTTGCTTTGAGAAAAGACAAAAATACCAGATTAATAGTGAATAGTTATATATCTATTTTATTGTTGTAATATTTAATTGTGTTCATATAAACATGCTTAACATCTTATTCAAAATCTTGAACTTTACCACATCTAAATATCAATTTTAGATGTGGAAACTAGGTTATGAAAATCCCATACTTCCACTGGCATGAAAAATCTCATCAAACAATGATTGCCTTAAATAAACCATTTTATCCTCTCTAATTACTTTTCAAGGCTATCTACTCACATCCAGACATCTGAGTGGTGATGGGATGAGCAGGTCCTTCATCTGGATGGCATCTACCAACAACATGCCAATGGGTCTCTTCACAGGAATGGCCTCTGCCATCAGGTGCTGTTTGTGGTAGCGCTCCAATGTCTCAGCAAAGAAGGCCACATCTAAAAACATTCCAGGTGTTTCAGTCAAAATTCAATCATTTTAATGATGGATAGTGTAATGCAAAAGCAGTAGACTGTATGGAAGTCCCTTTTGAAACATCAAATGTGCATATAAAAAACATGTCTATGAATATGTTTCACAAAATCCATATACTGTTGGCTAAAATAATCATCTTTTACGTTCTCTTTTATTATTACTGCAGTTTTTTTCTAAAAATACAGATTAACAAGCAAACCAAACAATTGAAATGCATGTCATGTTATAAGCTTGAGAAAATTAAATGTATCTTTTACAATTTCTTACCATGCTCAGCCTGCCTGACTGCCTCTAGGTCAGTGCTCTCATTCACCTTGTAGAACTCTCTGTGAGGTTCAAAGCAGTCTGCATACTGGTGGGCAGCATTGAAGGCTGCTGTTAAGGCCTCCTGGATGAGGAAAATGGCAAACAATTAATGGCACATGTAGAGAACACTGAACCCTAAACTCTTTTGCATTAAAGAAACAGTGAGCTGACTGAAAATTATCTCTCAAATAACATCAACAAAGGAAAGTTAAAGATACATACAAAGTCAATTTTTGTCATAAAAACCAACCAAATGCCAGCATATAGTTTCAAGTAGTATAACTAAGAGAATTACCAAAAGGCATTGTTTAATTTTGCCCGAAAGTGATGTTTGAACAGATTTTTCTGCTAGCATTCTATGCTGTATGACAATGGGGCAGAAAAGTAGGTCACAAAAGTAGGTTAAATTGACAACCAAAAATTTAAAGAAAGGAGCACTCTAAAGCTCTTTTATGGCTGATCGGGTGATTTCTTCAGTTTATCCCTTGGCATGTCGAATTTATTAGTCGTATAAGAAACTAGTAGAAGTGGTTTACACGAGTTACTGGGAATCCACGCTCCACCGATGCTCAGTTTGTATGTACCTTTAAAGCAATAATAACTCTTCCTTTGAGATTCAAAATTCCGCATGAAATACATTGTAAACAACGCATGGAAATATATTCTATTGTATTTTACCACTAAAACGGCCGTTATTGTAGTAAAACTAAAATCTGTGCTTGTCAATGGGGCTTTCGATGCTTTTCTTCCCAGTCATCAAGGCATTCGTTGCTAATGACGATATGGTGTCACGCGGATTCTCGCGTTCATTCGAGACCAAAATAACATGGCGCCAAACGCATTAATGCGGACGCAGACGTAAGTTGCGAGTTTTTGTACAGTGCGTCGGATAACGAAAAGCCCAGAATGGCACACATTGTGGATATAAATGCATTTTTAACAAAAAGACGAATATATCTCATGAATCTTATATAGTGTTGTTGTTGTCTGCTTTTCCCGCGGTTTTAAGTAGGTCACCAGTGACTTTGCAATGTCAGAGAGAGCTCCGTCAGTTAAAATCTCTTAAGAGATTTTAACAAAAAACCGTACGTTTAGGAAAAAAACCCTGGATTAACTTTGAATGCAGGAATGGGGTCGTTGACCATTGGTAAGTACGGGAAAATTGCCGTTTTTTCCAGGAAAATCCAATTTTTGGCCAAAACGAAGAGTTATTATAACTTTAAGCACCCCACTGAATGAAACCTTGGTAAAATTCCACTAATTTTTGTTACAATTCACAACAAAATAAATTTAAAACTTCTGTTGGGGTAAAATCGAGTAAATTAAATAAGTCTATTTTCATTTTAATATTTATAAAAAAATACAAATACACTTTGCCCTCACCCTAATATTCTGTATAATACTCTGCAGATGCTTGTCATCTTCAAACATGCTGATGAGGCTGGGACCCTCTCCACATGACTTCTCCTCAAACTTGCCATTAATTATGGGCCTAAAGAATACAATATGGTTATGTAAGAAAAAACAATATTGGCATTACAGTCTTTTTATTTAGTGAACCTATTTCAGAAGCATCTAAGAAAACTTATGCTGGACAAACATTGAAACTCTTAATATCAGCGTGACTTGTACAATAATTGTTATAGTATGATATGAACAGAAAATGCTATTTCATTTATCAAAATTTTCAATCAAGAATTATTCTGAACAAGATAATCAGATTATTTTTCAGTTGGCAATCAACACTCTGCAATGGACAAACACTTTGAACTTTGCAGGAAAATTTTACCGTGTAAAAGCATCAAAGTAAGTATCAGGCACTAGGTTCATGACACTGAGCACAGCATCCTGGAACTTCTTGATGACCTCGGCAATGCCTTCCTGGAACTCGTCTTCATCTGGGGTGAAGTTCAGCTGATTTGGCTCCAAAATGAACTCAGTGATGAACAGTGGAGGGAGCTTGTTGGCCTCCTCTTCATCATCTGCTGCAGCTGCTGCTTTGGCCTATTCAGGGGAAAACACAGTCAAACACATGTCCTGATATCATTACCTCTATCATTTCAGTTTCTTTACAACTATTTTGTTTGCAAAGAGAAAACAAAATAATGTATAACAAAGAATGTAAAATCAATAAAAGAAGATAATTACATATCAAGTATATATTTCATACTGGTGTGTTTACAGATATAAAAATTTTCACATAAAACCACAAATACTTTATTTCATATCTAAGAGACTGATGATGATAATGCCTATGTGTTACAGAACTGCTTTTACCTTAGCTTCCTCCTCTTTAGCTTTCTCCTTGGCTTTAACATCTTCATCGTCTTCATCCTCATCTCCTTTCTTCACTTTACTCTTGCTCTCAATCTCATCCACAATGCTCTGTATCTGGGCCAAGGCAGGGGTATTCTGTAATTGTTCTGTCAGGTAGTTCAGCATGGTAGACACCGAGTTCACTGCTAACACATGCATGGTGTTTACAATAAGGTAGTCTGCCAAGCGAATGAAGCTGAAAATTAAACAAAGATTTCATTTATATGAAGAAATTTTCATTTATTTAATGACCAAATCCTGAATTGTTTTCTACAACTATCAGCAAAGCAATTAACTTCACACAGACTATCTGAAAAATTTGAGCTGAAAATTAGAGTTGACAAAAGCATTTAATATGCCAAAGGAACAGTTTTGATGAAACTGTAAACTGAAGTGTACAGAATAAAGAATAAACCTGCTCTTGATCACTGAAATTAAGGCATTCTAATATTTTTTAAAACTTGAATATATCTTACCAGGTCAAGCGCTTGCAGTGGGACCTCTTGTTAGCCTGCTCAGTGTATGTCATCTTGTCTGGAGCCTCACCATAGATATCCATGTCATAGTTACTCTGCATCTGAAAGCTGGAAGCTGTGCCTGGGGCATCACCTAGGAAAATAAATTGGATGTGCTGATTAGTGAAATGATTCCTTTTTCTACAAATACACAAAAAATAATGACAGAAACTGGACTAGAACAAAAGATTTTAAAACTGATTGAAAAAAAAAAAAAAAAACATACCCAGTCCAGGACTCTCTGAGCCATCATAGAAGTAATCATCTGGTGTAAAGCCTGCCTCCAGCAAAGCTGTCCTGCAAGCACTTCTGACCACTTCCTTCACCAGCTCTCTAAACTCTGCCAACCGGTCAGCAACCTATGGGATACAAAGGGACAAGAATGTTTGTCTCCACTATCTATACTCTGATTTCATACAAGTGGGCAAAAATAAATAAATAAATGAATTAAGTTTTGCCTTTTGTTTGATATTTCAAAATCAATGGGACCATTTATGATAATCACTGGTGACTTTTATTAAAAGACTTGCTTTATCAAATAAATGTTTAAGTTACATGTACATGATTTTTTTCAACATCTTTATAATTCATTAGAAATTTACCTCATTCAACTGAGCAAACTGAGCCTCTCTGAACTCATGTAGACTGTATGTATGTCCCTTTTCCACTTTACACAAGCCCATGTCACTGATCCTGTAGCACATCTCTCGGACATTCAGGAGGGCAGGGCACAGAGACTGGAAAAGAGGATGAAAATTTCAATTTATAGTGATCAAAAACTTTGAGAAAAATAAGCAATTTGTCATAGTGGTTCATGCCTGGACATGGGTAATTGCAAGTATCTTAACCATAATATGGTTTGAAGCTTGGTATTTATGAAGGGTAAACCTGTAAAGGGTTATGCATGTACTGATAAGTGTTAGCCCCTCATGTCCTTTTTCATTAGACAATTAGCAAGCATTGTAACAATATCATCATTACATCATACTATAACAATATAATCACATTGCAGAACTTAACTGAAGTTAAATTTTACAGACTAATCTTATTTTAGTAAAACATTCACAATACTTTTGCAAATTTTATGTGAAGTTTTTAAAGCTTAACCTCATTTTCTGTTTGTAAAATTATATATCTCATGCCATGGCTATATTACTAAAGCTAAATCAAACTTACTGGGTTTACTATGAAGAGATTTTCATTCAGTGCTTTCTTGCAGTCTGAGAGCTTTTTGGTTCGCACATTCTTTCTCCATACACTGAATGCTTTCCACTTGCGGAATTTGGCAAAAACACTGATCTGTAATAATAATAATAATAACAATGATTTTTTAAGCAGACATCAATTTATTCATCAATGGCATAATGTTTCACAAACACCAATTTCATTAGTGTTACCATAAGCCTATACCAACAAAAAGGAGAATTTTTTAAAACAGTAAGATCACAGTGATATTCCAAATAAAACAGTAGATTTAAGAAAAATGACAAAAACTTAAAATAATACAATGCCAATTAGCAACAACTCACCTTTATCAGTTTGCGGAAATATCTGTACTCCTGTTCCCATCTGTCCAGTGGTACATGCTCAGTTTCATCATCGTCACGCATTCTAGTGACTCCCTTGATACTTATGGTGCAGTAATCATCTTTGTTGATGTTCTCATGGCTTACAACTCTGAAAATGTACCAAAGGTATAAGTGTAGTGAAAAGTATAAAGTGTATTATATCAATTAAACAATTAAACAATTAAAAGGTTTTACCGAACTGGATAATATCTTAAGACATAAATGATTCACACTTGTATGAAGCTATGCACCATTTTTTTTCATCCATAGATAATTTTCCTTTATTGCTATGTGGAAATAATCAAATCATTTTGAATATTTTTTACTTAACATAATTTTAAAAACTTTATAAATTACAAGTGATACTATAAATATCATCTCATACTTCACGTCTCTATTTATGTTATCATTCAACTTACTTCAAGTTGAAGTAATGATAGTCCACAGAAGATTTTGGCACTGCAGGACTAAGATACAAGAACCCAATCTTAGGGTTCTCTCTCACAAGCTGAATCATCTGTAAAGGATCTTTAATGCCCTCCAGATGAGTTGTGCCTGGAAAAAACAAAATTAATTTTAACAGTATGCATAAAATAAATATGCTTTTATTCACCAGGGGTTATTCTGAATAAAACAATGAGATAAAAATAAAAAGCCATGAACCCTGGGGTAAAAAAATGCTGTAAGCCACCTAGCAAAGAATTCATATTATCAAAGTTTTTGAAAATCATACTTCCAATTATCTGAAGAGTTTCCACATGGTTGCCAACTTAGCAATGTAAACACTTCTCAAAACACTTCTTTGACTTAACCTCATCTAATTCTATCCTTAAAGAAATTCAAATGTTCAATTTTTAAACATTAATCTAATTTTTTAAATAAAAATAAAATAAATGATGCTCTTACCTTTAGCGGTAATGGAGGGTCCTGGTACAGTAGAAGCACGGACATGTCTTCCTTTGGGAGAAGGTGGTTTTGGTTCTTTGGGTGGCACTGGGGAAATCTGTCTGCTAGCAGCACTCATTGACTCCTGGAAACAAATATGTTATACTTGACAACATGCCATGCATTCATATGTTAGTGATGGAATTTGGTCTTCTCTCCATAGTAGCTGTATCTATATGCCTGAATATTGTTCCATGTGCTCCATAAATCATACTTTCAAACAAATTATCTGATCTGGTGTTACTAATTTTTCACACTACAACCTCATTATCCTGTTTGTTTAAAGTGAAGTTAACACATTAAGAAATAACTATTGAATGCAGATAAAAGCCTGATAATGCACCTGTTTCTGTTTAAACTCCTCTGGTAGTTCTGGCAGTGGTGATGCTGAAGCTGGCCTATCCATTGGTTCCACTGAACTGGCACGTTTCATTTTCTTGGCCTGTGGTTCTTCTTTTTTGAAAAACCCTTGAGCTTCCATCTTTTCCTTAGCCTTCATATGGATAAATTCTGGCTGATTCACCATTTGATATTTTTGAAGACTAGGCTAAAATATGGAAATAAGACACACTTATGATATAAATGAGCCTCATATTCAATATTATATCAAACACGGAGTAACATGGAAAAGACCAACACTGCATACACCTCAAAATCTATCACTCCACAAAAAAAGAAAAAAAATCCCTAAGAAAAATATATAATTGGATATTAACAACAGTGCATATCTCCAAAATTATTTTGACTAAATCATTCATATCTAATTTGATAGTTAAATGATTTGCTCATATTAATAATACTTGATATATTAGTTCACAACAGTCACAGCCTCACAGGTAAAATATACTTTACATATTACACAGTTACTTACCAAAGGTTCCAACTTTGCAGCAACAGGTGTGTTTTCTTTCCTTAACTGGGCATTTGTAGGCCTGTTGAATCTCAGAGCCCTTGTATTGATAGGTGCTTGTTTTGGTGCAAATGAGTACAGTCTTGCCTTCAGTTTTTCTTGATCCACACTCGGTAGCGCCCCATTTGCTCTTTGGCCATTTAACTGTCCACTGTGGCCATTAACTTGGCCATTCATTTGGCCATTCATTCTGGAGCTAAATGCAGCATTTGGTGTATCCATTTTTTATTTCTAATATAAAAGAAACTATTTTTAGTGTATAACTATCTTTTCACTGATAATATTGAAGCAAAGGCATGTAATTATCACATACATAATACTAGCATTTGAACACACATGACCTGTGAATAAAGATTAAATTTACGTAGCCCTTCTATCACAGCTAAACCACATGACTGTGCCACTGTGTAGACCTTGAAGACTTGATATGACTAAGACCCCATTTCCAGAGATTAGATCGTTCTACTTTAGATCGACCTAACTCCCTGGGGGTTCACGCTAAATAGCTGTCAGCCGAGCGGACACGAAAGTTAATTACCCCCTTACCGCTTGTAGTAGGCGGGACGGACATTTAAGAAGGATTATCTGACAGTAATCTAGTGAGACTCCCCGCGAGGATAGATCGATCTAAAAGCTCTGGGAATACAGCCTATGTCTAAGAAAATGTAGAAGAAGAGATCATATTTGTATTTTCACAAATAACCCCAAAATATGTTGCTCTGACGAACACAAAAGTCATTATCATTTTGTATAAAAAGTATGTAATAAAGGTTCACCCCAAACCTTTTAACATTTCCGTATTCCTTATGTCAGGTTGTAATTATAACTACATGTACATATTCTTAAGATGTGTAAAGCAAGTGCCTTGTAACAACTGGGAAAGCTGGATACAAATACGACTATATTAACCATATCCAGCATTTTACAAACAATATAAGGCATATATAATGACATAGAGAAGTATATATATCAAATGCATTGAAATTAAACTTCTTCAACCTCTTGAGCTTCGCTTACCTGAATTTCTATTTCACATTTTTAAGAACTTGACAAAAATTGTGACATCCGCCATATTGGTTTATTATTTCTAAGCAACGATGCCGGAGATATCCGGACTAAAGCGGAAAAATTACCAAAGTTATTTTTTACAAACCGTCAGTTTTTTGTGAAAATATTTAAGAAAAATAGTATTTGGAGCGAAATATTTGATTAATTCAACTTTTTTTATTTTTTACGAAGACTTCATTTTAGGGCAAGCAGAGGGGGGAGACTCGGTCAAAAGAACGCTTGTAGTCTCGCCCATTCTCGCGGCTGTTCCCGGAAGTTTATATGCTAAGACGGGGTCCTTCAGGGTGGAGTGAATTTAGCCGGGTAGGTACTGAAGTTTTTCATGCTTTAGAGACGTTGCCTTCTTGATTGGTGAATCTTTAAAAAGACATTATAACTATGGTTACTAGAAGTGTGCTTATGCCATATTAATTACCGATCATCAATTTGTTAACGATGTAGGTCAATATAAATACCATGTTATTTCAACCTACTGTATCTGGGTCTGTCAGTCTCACAGTCAACATTATATTTACTGTTATGACTCACATAGTTTAGATTCAGCTTTACAGCTATCTAGGGCATGGGAATGAATATTTCAGAGGAGGGTATGGTGTTGTGCATTTCATCTTTTTTTCTGACAATTTACTCCCAACTTAAAATATGTATGTCTGTTAAATTCATTTGGGTCATAAAAATATTTGTGTATGTAATATGAAGATATACTTGTAGATTGTCATGATCATAGTCTTAATATAATAAACTCTTGTCCCCGATCCTCAAAATACATATAAATATCTATATCAGCTAGAAAACTTTTTTATAATAAATTTTGTTACGTAGAGAAATAGATATCTGCAGCTGTTTTAGTTGCTGTGGGGTGGTCTTTGAAATTGATGTTACAAAATGTATGTTAGTCTTTGTTCTTTATTCTTTGAGAATTTTGCTTTTAAAAACTATGCATATTTTAATATTACAAAAAAATGGACAAAGGAATCAATGATATTTGTTCTTGTCAAAATAATCAGTCCCCCCCCCCCTTCACCCTTAAAAGGATTCACTGTCAGAAAACATGATGTAAAAAAAAAAAAAAAAAAAAAAATAGAATTTCATAGTCATGCAGAATCATGTTTATAACATTGCTCTTTGGTCATTGTAAGTAGATAAATTAATTCTGGCCAGTTACCTGGTCATGGTAATCATTCAATAAATTAGGTGTACATGTTTGTGATGAAAGGACATGTCACTGAATCTATTATTTATTTGTCATTATTAAAACATCAGTTATTCATGATATTACATAAAGCATAGTATATGAGTTCTTGATTAAACTATGCCAACTGCATGCAATTTGTCCCTTCTTTAAAATAAACTTGCTTTGCAACAACTACCTTGAATGACCAGAGATCACTCCATGGAGACTTGCCTCTATTATTGGTATGAGTTTTTAGTATATTCTGAAACTCAGGATGAGCAAAGGCTAATAAGTATGCAGAGTCACAGACACTGTGTTAGCAAGCTGTTATACTTGTACCTAATGTTGGGTCAATAATTCTGGGGACATGCAAGCTTGGTGTATTCTTGGCAAGTGAAAACTAATTAATATATTATGTACCTCTTGGATTTATACTTGCTTAAAGATGGACTACATGTATGAAAATGTTTAAAAGTCTAATTGGGTTTTTGGCTAAATTTGAGTTCTTACAGGACATTGCAGTTTCAAAAATTTCTCAAAGTAAAAAAAAAGAAAAATTCAAAGAGGGCAGATCCCCACCAAAACAACTCAGTTCTTCTTCTTAATTAATTAATTAGTCAGTTAATTATTAAATGGATCACCACCAATATCTAATCGATTTTAAGTCAGCCCATGGCCATTTCTGACCTTTCCTGAAAATTTTATCAAAATCCAGCTATAAGTTTTTGAGTTAAGCTGTTTACTTACAAACCAGGTAAGAGAAAAACAAAAACCCCTAGGCAGAAGTAACAATGTGCATTTTCATTGCCATGTGGATTATCCAAAACAGCTTTCTTTTTTGTGATAGCAATATCTTTTAAAGTATTCCACTGGAGACATTTTTTTCAAGATCTGCTGCTGATGTCATATCCCAATTTCCTTTATAACATCTTTTCAGTTTATGTAAATAAAAATTACAACACAGGGAAGACACCACCATCATTGTATCATCAGTCAGTTTGTGTTGATGTTTTATGTTAAGCAGTTGATCCTTCACAAGGTCATATAAAGAATCAACACCATGATATATCACACAAATGGAAACAGGAGACCAATTCAGGCTTTCAGTGAGAAGCTATCAATGGACAGGAAGTTGAATTACACAATTGCTTTTTTTCGATAATTACTGTGGTTTTTGCCACATTTGCTGTACCAGTCATATGATAACTAATGGTTTTTATTTTCTTTATAAGATATCAATTTTATTTATTTAACATATTGCATGTAATAATCACTGAAGCATGGATCCCATCCTTCAAAATTTGTCTCATTGAAATTTGACCAGTGCAGCCCCACAGCATAGTTACAAAGCACTTTGTGTTATAAAACCAGTCCATGGTCAAACTGTTGTACGTGATCCCTTTTTTAGTATGGGTCAGTGGACTGCACTTGAGAATAGTGCCAAGTTTATGTGAAATTTATCAATAAATGTCCCTGAAATGTTAAGTTAATCACAGTTGATTCAAAATGTTAAAAAGTACCAAGGTGAGATAAGGAAATGTATCTTTTGATCTCTTTCTCTCCCCCCCCCCCCCCCCCCCCCCAAGTGCTCTTTTTTGATGTGAAAAAAAAAAGCGTTTGAAAATTTAGGGTGAATAAAAATAAGGAAGCAAACAAGCAAAAGACAAACCATTTTTCCATCTGGAAACTTACTGAAGATATCTCAGTCCAGCTGATGAAAGTAACCCATTTTACCTGCTCAGCTGTATGCACAGGGATTTGAAACTGGATATGATTGCTTCTTTTATAGGTAGATCTCAGTAAGGGGTAATTATTTTCAGACCAAATTTGAGGTAGTGTATGGTCTTGGGTGCTAGTTGGATGTATCTTAGTGTAGTTATTATTACAGCAGAGAAGTACGAAACTCGTTTGGCCTATCTGCTGAAGTTTTTACTTCATTCAGTTAGAGAAAAAGGTTTTCCAAATCACCAAAAATATTTTTTCAACTCACTCAATGACAGATCAGTCAATATTCAGGGATAAGATTTACATGTTTCTCATATTCCAAAGGTAAAAGGAAATATTTTAAGCTGTTGGTAAGCTTTCTTGGCCCATTTCTCATGTTTTACTGATATATTTTCATACTTGAAATGCACAAGCCCCCTTCACTCAGAAAAATTTGGTAATAGAGTGAGGCACAATGAATCTACAATCCCTTCAGGAATGTGTGGAAGGTGAAATGGGAGTTTTGATGTTTACATTTGGTTCTTAATGGTGGAAGAGTACTGCTTAAGATTTGTTGATTGTTTGTTGTGAGGTTTTATGTTGAAATGATCCTGTTTATGTTCTTTATTGTTCAGGGGGAGATGTGGATAGAGATCAAGGGTCTGTTTCAATATTTTTACTATAGAACTAGATGAAAGTAATAGATGTTTTGTAACTTATGTACTGGTAATCATTTTATGAAAGTGGATAAGTTCTTTATACATCTGTATTTGTTTAGCTAACATTATTTCTAATGAAAGAGTAATGTTTTGTACAATTTTCTCAGGATCTGCAAAATGGACCACATACTTACATTTTTTAAGCTCATTTTTAAGTCTAAAAACAGAACTATAAAACTGTATATTTTTCATAAATTCACATATTTCTAAGGACAGACAGACATGAAGTAGTATTGAGCTAGCATGGTGAGTTATGGTTAGGCAATGGATTGTTTTCCTTTGTGCTTAATCGAAGTAATCCTGGATATCAATCCCCATATGACAGTGGTGTCAGGTGTCTGTTATATGTAATTGGTTCTTTACACACATATCTGTTAACAGTTACACAAGTGTGTGTGTGCTGAAGTGAGAAGAGGGTTTAAGAAATAAATTCAACTTTATGCTTGTCATTGTATAACATGAAATTCATGAATATAGTACTTGATAGTTTTCGTTTTTAAGAGGTAAAATAATTTTGGATTTATTTACAACAGATTGCATTAATTTTATAAATTGGAAAATTAAAATTTTTGTCAAAATATGCTCTTCTGATGCCATGGTCTTTTTGAAATAGTCCAACACATACAACCATAATTTACAGTTTTAGTAACTATAGACTTTTATTACGGATTTTTGTATCTTTTTCCATTGTGAACAACAACTTTTTATGTAGTAAATGATCAGAATGAACCCCTATTCCTATTTTTCACATAATAATTTGGCAAATTCCCTTAAAATGATTTAATATTGAACAGTGTAATATATTTACAACTGAGACCACAACTGCATATACCTGTGCTAACATGTGGTATTTTTAGTGTGTTATTTATGACACTAGTCAGCTCTTGGATGCTTTGCGTCAGTGCCTGTAGTGCAGGTACCCATTGAAAGGGTTCACTTTCAATTCAATACTAATTACCCATAGTCTGAACATTATTCATAACTGTATGGACTCTGTTCTTCAATATCCTTAGGATTCATGATACAAATAATAAATAGCATATGTTGCAATCAACTGTTAATGTGGTTAACTGTTTTTGTAAACAAAGTTAATTGTCTTGCAAGGTCAGTTCTTGGGTGGGTGAAAATGGAATAAAGCCAAAGGTATTTACATCAGTTTGAATGATTGTTAGCCACAGAGTGTATAGTTCTACATGGGTGTGGAATACATGCCCTTTTTCTGTAGCTGTTGAATGTTGATTCCACTGAAAAAAAAAGGTAAGGTATTTTGTTGTATGCAAGTTTTTGGTTTAAATTGGATGGATCTTTCACTCTTTATAAGTGCAAAGGATTCAAATTGCTTTATTGATATATATACTATACCTTTAAGTTATAATCATTGGACATAGACAACTACTGTGTTACACAAATTAGTAAGTAACACAATTGCATAAATAAAGTATTTTATGGTAAGTTTGATATTAACACAGCAGGACAATATGCATATGTGTGTGTGAGAGAGAGAGAGAGAGAGAGAGAGAGACCATCCAAAGATGGCACAGAAGAACAATGTGCATGTGTGTGGGTGAGTAAGAGAGACTAAAGACAGGCTGTGGATACTATACTTGAACACATTGTCACAATGTGGTCAATTAAGTTGGTAGTTGGTTTGGTATGTGGATCTGAAATTGTACCAGTGCATTGCGTGTACTTTTAACATTTTTCATGCAGTTTTAATGTTAAGTCATTCAATTTAAAAGGAAATACCATCTTGCAAAGTGGCACTAGTGGCTGTGAGACCTAAGAAGAAAAATTTTAGATGTCACTGTTATATGTCACTTGTGACAAAGCAAAAGATTTACAGTTTGTTTTCATAGACATGAAGCCAAGTTATCCTGCCCCTCTTCTTTTTCATCTTTTAAATTCCAAATATACTACACCAGATTGAAGTTTGACAGAACATAGATGCACTTTGGTACTGTAAGATCTACTGAATTGTAATCAGTCATAATTTGATTGCTTGATAACAACAGATATACTCATACATAATCCACTATATACTTCTTTTTGTTGCATGAATACAATTACTTTGGCTCAGTGACAGAACAAATGTGTAACAACTTTGATCAATGTGAATGACTTCCTGTGAAGGTAATTTGATGTTGTTACACTGTGTCCTTGCAGTATGGGACAGAGTGAAATATGAGCTGTCTACCAGTACCTGGCAAAGTGAATCTGTTAACAAGATAACAAGCTTACCTGAGCAAAGGATATCTGAGAATACTTAGAGTGACAATAATGATGTTTTGATACAGGGTTGATGGGTTTATTTGCTTTATCTGATATTTGACTATGTCATCTGGATATCAGACAAACAAGAAAATTAATTTTATGGTCTTCACTTTCAGCATTAAAAAAAGGTTTATTGTTGAGTTAATGAAATGGCAGTTATAGGGACATTGGTATCTGTTTTCAAAGCTAATGTGTCATAGATAATTCATATAATTCTCACATTATTAAAATGTTTGTGAATGTTGCTATGGAAGAAGAGTGGCATTGTTGTGGTTTCGAAGTTAAGTATCTTAGGCCAAGGGAATTTTGCCTAGACTTAATGTGATAATCATGTATATACAGGTAAACTACTATGTAGATACTGCTGGGGTGATGAGACTTCTTGAATAAAATGCAGGTATTATTCTGCATTGTTACTGTCATTAAGTTGTAAACTACCAAAATCTGTGTGTATCATAATCTGTGTGTGCTTGCTTTTCCATTCAAAAGTTTCGTATCATTTTTTTTTGTAAGATTTACTTTGATATTAGGAATTTCCTGTAACACAATATATGTTTCAATGCGACCTACTATGTGGACATTGTTGTATAAAGTGGATATTTGCATGATTTAATATAGTTAATACAGTCTTTTTCCCTGATAACTTTATCATGGCCCTTCTCAGAGAAGACTAGTAAACAAAAGTTATCTTCATTGAATTGCAATATTTTTGACAGCCTTGTCTATAACTAACCCTAATTATAATACTGTATGCACCGCAGGATTCTTTTCTTGTAAAAATTGTACACCCAAGATACGAGATAAAGGCTTCGTTCACATGCAATGTCTATTTTCTATTTTCTATTTTCTATTTTCTATTTTCGGTATGTCTTATGATCACGGTTACTATAAGTAACTGGCTCGCGCTGCCAGTAATTACGCGGCGGGATATTCAGTGCACAGACCGTGATCATAAGACATACCGAAAATAGAAAATAGAAAATAGACATTGCATGTGAACGAAGCCAAAGACTGAAACAAAAGACAGCATATATTTATGGCCCTGAATGTGCATTATCATTAATCATCTGTTCTTGGCATATATACTTAATAGGTATATAAAAGATTTCACTTTCCTTCGGAACTTGCACACACTAAGTGGTACGCATTTGTTAAGTTGTTTTTGGTATTCTTCATTATTTGACAGAATGTCAACATTTTTGGTCAGAAAAGCCAAAAATGATGAAATATTTTACAAAAATGTTTGATCAGTCATAGCAAGAGAAGAAAAATTGAGTGATATCAATGGGTATTTGTATGCTTTTGTTTTCTTTTATTGGTGGTGTTTGAAACAAAATAATCTTATATAATTAACTGTATATTAATTTGTTTCTTTGTGTTTTTTTCAGAAGGTGACTTACACAAAGGAACATAATGTCATCCAAACTGTTTGGTAAAGATTTGAAGCAGTATGAAGACTTGGATATAGATGAACTCCTAGAAAAGTTGACCCCTGAAGAGTTGGAGGAACTCAACAATGATATTGACCCTGATGTAAATATTTTTTGTTTGATGTGTCATTTTTAAAGTAATTTTAGTGAAGATAATACTGTAGTATACATAATTATAATGAGCTTATTTCACACACACATTTTTGTAGACTATGGATAATGATTCCCTACTAGGCATTTTTAATATATAAAAAACTTTAGAAAGACAATTTAATAAAACATTAAAGACAGTAAGACAAGAGACATTTTAGTAATAAAATGAGGTGATCAAAATTGAGGACTCATAATATTTGGAAAGAAAAGCCTAGCAGTTTTAGTACTGCAGCTGTTTTTTTCCCTCCTTAATACCCTCAAAGGTCATTTAATTTATGACTTACGCACTGCAGTAGCTTGTAATATTGCACTATTTTTCTTTTAAGAACTAAAAGTGCAGGTGAATCAGTAACTGCTGTACCATTTATGTTTCATGTGTTTGGACTGAGGGTTGTCTTTTACTGATAAATGTGAGACTACTGACCTCAAAAGTTTTAAAATTGCAGAGGAAAGCTTTATACAAAGGTGTCAGCATTAAGGTTTTTCAAAGCCTTCTTTCTTATTGATTGTTGTGGGATGTGACTTCAGCTTAAAACCCATGTCTTCTAAATAGCTGCCCCCACGCTCCCAACTTTCTACAGTGCTACAAAATTAGTGAGCCTAGACTCTGCAAGTGGTAGTTATTTGATACTTGATATTAAAATTATAGAAATATGTTGCTGTATAGCTTTGCCAAGATGTTTTAATTTGTTTTCTAGAACTCATTGCTACCTCCATCTCAGCGGTGTAAAGACCAGACTACCAAAGCCCCTACAGGGCCATTCAAGAGGCAGCAACTCTTAGACTTCTTGGAAAAGAAAGCCAAGGAGGAGAAAGACTGGGAACAGAATAAGCCATATGTGAAAGAAACTAGAGGTAAGTTGTTGTCAAATAATTTTTTCCAAAGTAAAATGTATTAAAAGAAATACAAAAACAAAAAATTGATAACATCATCAAGATGATAATGATAAGTGATTGAAGTAGTGGAGATATAGGCATGATCAAATATATGACATCTGAAGAAAGGGGATATTTCTCTTGAGAAGAATTGTATGTTATGATAATGTGAGAACTTTGGTACAGAAGCCACTGTAACTTTGAAAAGTCATTAGGCCTAATGTGCCAGAGGCAGAATGTTTGTGCTTTAGGCAGAATGTTTGTGCTTTAGGCAGAATGTTTGTGAACATAAAAGTTAACTTTTATTTTCCTAAGGTAGTTTCTTGATTCGTGCTGGTGGGGAATGGCCTTTTTGAGTACCAGGTTATCAGTCAAAGTTCGAGGCTTTAAGGAAAAAGAGCATACTTTTCATTGTGACAATGTGTAAAAATACCTGTGGGTTACATTGTGATCCATAACAAGTGTTTCTGCATTATACCTACAGCAGATTTTTTGCCAAAGTGAAACAGGAAAAAAAAAAGATGTGAAAAGATGTCATGAGAAATGGTGACATCATATAAAAGTTTGTTAATCTTTATAATGTATTTGGATAGAAAGTAGACAGTGACTAATGCAAAACTGTTTTATATATTGGCAATAAAATTTAAAAAATAGATATGAAGTTTGGATTACGACTTAACCTTTGAAATATTAGTTGTCAGTTCTGTTAATTTTGGTTTTAGTTGTTAACAAGTTTTATTTCTAAGGAATATGAATTGCTTTTTTTTCAGGCAAAGTATATGTGCCCAAGGAAGAACCCAAAAAGATAGACCCCAACGATGAAATAGAAACAGAATTTGATGATATTCTGCGCAGTGCCACAGAGGAAGAATTAGTTGATTTAGCAGGTAGATTCTTGGTGTTATATTTAACAAGATTTTTTGACATGAAACAAATTCAATTTAAGTTAAAATTGGGAAATGTGAAATGTTTCTGAAAAAGATTGCAAAGTCCTTTGGGGCATTTAAAATGTTTGTTTTTTAAAATATAATTTGACTTTATATCAAGTTTATTTTACTCTTAGTATTAACAACAACAAAATGGTGATTATAAAATATGAGTGCAGAAGGAAATACACAGACACTGTATGGGCTTAGTCTTGAATAAAATGGATATAATATCAAGTATATTTAACATTCTGTGCATGATGTACAGTATTTTACACTTGCATTTTACAGCTGTGTTGGGCTTCCACAGTCTCCTGAACCAGGTACAGTACACAGCATCCATGGAGGACAGGAAAGTAGAGGGTGGCTTTTCAGGTAACTAATAGATACCATATGAAGGGGTGGATCCAGAGATATTTACTGACAGTCCATCTTTGTTGATCCATCCTCCATTTTTGACTATCAGCCGCAGAAAATTTAGATGCCCATCAATGTAAACTTAAAAATTCTAACAGTCTTCTGGAAGACCCAAGGTGAATGGGATGGACACACATTCAAGGCAAGAATGGATTTCGCATACTCCTTGTTGATGAGTGTTGCCTCTGGTTGATATTATAGCTCATTTTATATATTTGATATGAGCTAAAGCAGGGTCTTTTGTTTTCAATGATATACAAGTGTTGATAAAAGACACTCTTCTCTCAAATATGAACATTTTTCATCTAGCAAATCTGAACAAGTCGGATGTTTGGATCACTTCAGTAAATATTTTCACCAAATTAAATATTGATTAAAACAATTAATTAAAAATATCCTTTTTAGAGAAAAACATGCTGAACAGTTTTTAATATCATTGTCATTACTAATACCTCTCATCATTTTCATTTCATTTAACATGAAATAGTATCAGGAAGCTCATTTAATAGTTATTATCCAGTGAAACAAAGCTTAAACTTCAGGAACATGAGCACAATTTTTATCAGATTGATGTTCAGCAAATTATTAACCTCTAAAACATGGTGATCAAGTTGAATTATGTGGTATCTTCAGTAAGATCATTGAAATCTTTCAATCTTAATTTCTTTTGTGCCCTTGACTGTGTAGAAAAGTGAGTAAGCATGTACACTTTAGGTCAGCAGGAGTTACACATTTGGGAAATTGTGTGCTATCTTCATATCAAATGATATATTGTCTTTTATCTTTCTGGTATATTGCTATGCCAGGTGTCAGCATTAAAAAGGAGATAAAATTGTTTATAATAGTCAAGAACTTTCAAGCTAATTTGATTCATCATGCCATTGTATATGCTGGCTGGTGATTATTTCCCAGAAATTTGGGTTGAAAAAAAGGATTTTAATTTAAAAACTACTACTCATAAACTGTCATGCCATAAAGTGATGGCACTGCCCTCTCTTTTGTGACTGTCTTCACAAAAATATCTTCTTGTAAAGATGTAATTATTGAGAGAAATGCAGTCATGTGAATTTCTGCTAAGGCATTAGCTGTTTAGACATGCACTTTCCTCATATTTTACATAAATATTTATTTGAAAGTTTTGAAATAGGACTTAAATGGAGAAAAGATAATTGTAATGATGAATTGGTCAGAACTGTCAGTGTAGCAGATTCAGACTGCCATTGTGACCATTTAAGTGTGAAAAGTCACAGAAGATTTTCTTTTCTTTGTGGTTTCCAAATGTAATTTAGGATAAATGCTTTGTCTTCTTTTCTAAAAAAGTTTTTTTATAATATGAACTACTCCTTGAAAGTGAGTCAAATTTGTTGATAGAGAAGTACTTAAACAATCTTTGGTTTTTTCCTTATAGCAATTATGCTTGATTTCCTTGTTCAATCTATGTTTGAGACACGTTTTGCCATCTTTCTCTTCAAAGGGATGGCCAAAGCACAGTTGTTGAAGAAGGTTGAAGATGAGCCCCCAAATGACACTGATGTTGACGAAGCACTACAACAAATTAAGAGCAATGATCCGAAGTTGAAAGAGTTGAATTTAAACAACATAAAGGTACTTTTATCAGAAAATTATTTTGTATTGAAAGCCAATGAAGAGGAAAGACAATTTATATATGTAGTGCAATTTTCATTCGAGTAAAGTCATATCAGGTTATTTATGTAAAACCTATACATATATAATTTCAGTACCAAACTGATTTTTTCTCCTGTTAAAAAGTGCCATTCATTGTTGTATTTACCTGGGGTTTACATTAAGAATTGTAGTTAGGTGAGCTAACACAAAAAATTAATTTGAGATTGGTCTTATTTTTCAGAACATCTCCATTGAGAGGCTTTGTGAATTTGCTCAGGCTTTGAAAACCAACACAAATCTAGAACACTTTCATATGGCAAACACAGCTGCTTCAGATAAAGTAGGAAGGGTAAGTGGTTTTTGTGCCTAAATCTTTTTCTTTCAAAAATATTGCACATAGCATTACATTATATATTGAAAACAATACTAGCAAGTCTATCTGAAGTTTGATATTGCCTATGTGTTATTTATTTATTTTTATATTTACATTTCAGGAACTAGCAGAAGCAATGAAAGAAAACAAAACACTGAAGACACTGAATATAGAGTCCAATTTTATTTCTGGACCAGTAATTGTGGAAATTATTGAGGCAATCAACCAACCCCAGACACTGCTGGAGTTCAGAGTAGAAAACCAGGTAGGCAGTTGGCTTAATACACAATAAGAGATGTGCTAACTTCAGCCTAACTTCCTAACTTCAGAGTGTTTAGCTTAGCACAGACTACTAAAATAGCATAGACTACTAAAATAGATAAGATAGTTGACTACATAAGATTGATTTTCTTTAAGAAAAGATTGACTCAAAGTAAAATGGGAGATTTGTGCTCTCACTTTTGATGAAGCATCATTTTTAATTTAACTGCAGAATTGACATCTTAAAAAGAAGAAATGCCAGTTTCAGAATGATAACAAAACAAATCAAGCCATTGAGATTAAAGTTTAAACAACATAAGAAGCTGGATGGTTGATTTTGAAGGCATTTCCACTCGAGATTTAATACAGTTTATGGCATGTAAAACTTTTTACAATGAATGAAAATATGTTTGCTTTTTTCTACATGATTTTAAGTTTTATATTGTGGGGTTTCTGTAGTAGAACATTGATTGTATTGCTTTATATTTCTTCTGTAGAAACCACAAGTCCTAGGGTGTAAGGTAGAAATGGAAGTTGCCAAATTGATAGAGAGCAATGATACACTGATAAAGCTGGGAATGACCTTAGAATTTGCCAACGCAAGAATAAGGATCTCAGAAAAAATAGAGAAAAACCTTGATAAATGTGAGTAGCTTCTTTGAAGCATAAGTAATGTTAATCACAGGCTTTTGATTTAAGAAGTTAAATGCAGTAAAAGTTAAGTTGATGTCACACTTTTTTTATGTAAAATTCTCAGTCAACTGGTTGAACTATAGAATTGCTGTTTCTACTTACATTACCCATTTTGATTTTTTCTTGAATTCATATTGTATACTTTTTTATTATTACTATTTTACAGATCGTTTGGAGAGGGTTGGTGACAAGGAAAAAAAATAAACCATGTGTAGTAATTATGTTGGACTTTGCGTGTAGCTGATGACTGTCTGTGCCTCGTCTCTGCCCATCAGTGCTTTATACCTCAGTGTGAACAGTGGCAGAAAATCCATAATATATTGGCCAATAAGATATATATATATATAATATACATGTATGGAGGAACTTTTACCCTCCCTGCCTGGTATGCCAGAATGGTACCTGGACCTGAACATGGATAGAAAATGTACAAAGAACTATGGATTAATGGAAGCTCCAAAGAAAATTTGGATACAAGTCAACGAGGTAGAATTGGGAATAATGCTTCTGCTTTTCAAGAGGAAAATAATTCAAGGTGCTGTGAATATTATATGTAGGCTGACTGTTTTTGAACATAGGTGCGAATGAAGTCAGAGTGCATTTAAGTAGTGCTGAAGCTTCACATTGTACATATTTTCTATGAGCTTTTTGTACTTTTCTTCTGTAGAACTATCTATGCTTTCATTGCTTACTTTTTTTATGTAGACCAACTGGGTCAAGTAAGCAGTACAGTGGGTAACATAAGAAGGGTTCATGAACATCTTTTGAACTTGGCATAAAGAAAGACAAAGCAGGATAGTGAAACTCTGAAAGCTAGAATTTCAGCATCTCATATTAAGAATTTTAGTATCTTGTATTAAGGTTGAAGAGATGATTTACAGAATCATGCGAAATACATCAAGCTTCTGGTAGTATTTTGATGAGGTTGCAGTCCATACAACAATTTCATTTGTTTATATAAAGGTCTTTGTGCTACTCTTATGACTTACCAGCATAATGTAGTGCCATATGTAGCACAAGTATTGATGTCGAATCTGGCAGCAGTTGTTTACCAGAGTTTATAAAGTATGCAACTGGAGGCAAATCTGTTGTAGAACATTTTCCAACAATTATGTTTTATTCATATGTTATCATGCATGTAATTGTAAATATTATTAATGACTAAGATCATTGATGTGCAAGAAAGTGTGAAAAGATCTTAATTATCCACAAGTTGTTTTTAAAAAGCTCAATTTAAACCAGTTTCTGTCATGTGTAGTTCAGTATAATTGATCCTATTACTTGAATTGTATCTTTTCCTTTGAGTGTGTCACAAAACTTTCTTAATGATTGAAATCCTGCTAGAAGGTCATCTAAGCACATCCCATTGCTGCCATTCAGCTCACCTAACACAATTGAGACCTCTAAGGGTACTCTCACAGTTTCTTTTTAAACTAGTCAAAAGTAAGGGTGATTAAGCACTTTATCATGCACTCATGATCTCATTGTGACAGTTCATACAATTTTATTGTATTGTATTGGGGTGTTTTAAAGAAAAGCATATGTAATTACATTTATATGCAAAATAGTTGCCAGGAAAGAAATACAAAAAACTCATTTCCAGAAATTTAAAGCCAATAGTGTGCTCATCTACTGCCTTGTGTTTCTGCAAAAGTGTCAAGAATTTTGAAATAAATGCTCTAGAAATGTATTCTCTTTGGTTCTAATTTTATGGATGGGAAGAGAACAACTCAAAAAAGTTTGATAAATTTTAATAAAATCAAGTTGACATGTTACATTAAGATGTACATATTTAAAAAAATGGATATGAAGAATTTTTATATAAATATTTGGAAAACCCAGCATCAATTCAACATTGCTTGGAATGTGTTATTATGGATATGTTTCATTTTAAGACTAGCTTATTGACTATAGAAACAAAATATTAGTAAAATCTGACTTACAGAAAAGGCTACTGCTACTATTGGTCTAATTATTGAGAAAAAAGTATCCATCAAATTTATTGCATATTTTCAGATATCATAACACGTGGAAGTTGATCAAATCAAATTTCAACTTTTGATGAAACCATGGTGTATTATTTTTAAATAACATAACCGAGGTTCAAAACAATCTTGCTTTCATTTATGTTAAATAAAAAAAGGGACAATCAATACAAATTATTAATTAAATAAAAACAAGATGAAATTTTACAGACACTTGATATAAAAAGGGGTTGAAAGATTTTACTCCAATGAGAAAAACATTTAATTTGGTATTAACAGAAATAAACCTGTCTAATGACAATCAAAACATCATCTCTTGGAAGAAAGCTTCCTATTCGTTTCTACTTTCGTTTTTTTTAACAGCCTAATTCAAATATTTATTGAAGAAATATATCATTCCCTGATAGGTCAGAGCCAATGGTTATATTTTGGTGGTGATTTTAAAGTGAAAACTCTCCGAGTCCACTTCTAACTTCCCTATAAATGGAACAAAGTTATACATATCCTCTCTACTTTTGAAGTTCATAACACTGCTCCTTAAGATTTCTGACAAGAAACAAAGTAGATACTGTTACAGTTGATGCTTACTTTTTGCTTTTATGAAAATCAGCTATTCATTTATTATGTATGAACAAATTGACTTTTGATATAACTATAGCATTACAAGAACAATAATGTTTAAGGCTTAGGATGCATTCACAACAGTGAATTACCTAGTCTAAAGATCAAATATGGCAACCCACTTAAAAGCTTGCCACATAATCCCCTAATAGACGCTGAATATTCCCCACGTAGATTATGCAACAAGCGTTCAAGTGGGTCAGCCATATTTGATCCACGAATCTGTTAATCTGCTGTTGTGAATTTGGCTTCAGAGTCTTCTCCACCCCCCCCACCCCCGCCCAGGGGCGGATTTAGGCCGTCTTCTGGGTCTTCCGGAAGACGGTCAGATTTTCACGTTTACATTGACGGGTATCTAATTTTTCTTGTTGGAAGACGGTCAGAATTGGAGGATGAATCAACAAAGAAAATTTGGAAGACTGTCAGTAAATGGCTCTGGATCCGCCCCTGCCGCTCCACCCTGTCACCTACACTTCTCCCATAGTAAGACCATGTAGTAAAATAATTCTTATTTTTATTCTATCTAGGCATTAGATAAATTTGTATCACATAGCTAAGGAAAAAATTACTTAGTATAGGACCTTCCCTGAACTCCAATGTCCATTCATATTAGGGCCAAATTGCCAATTAGAGTCCAGTTCCTGGTGGGGAGGTTTGCCACCATGATACAAATCCCTCCCAGAATGATACTCATCATGGTAGCCTGGGTGTGATGGGTCACCATAGGCTGAAGCCCGCTTATTACTGGGATACCTGTCCTGAACTTGTCCAGGGTGGGAAAAATCATCAAAGTGGGAAGCCCGCTTATTACTGGGGTATCTATCCTGCACTTGCCCAGGGTGGGAAGAATCATCAAAGTGGGAAGCCCGCTTATTACTGGGGTATCTGTCCTGCACTTGCCCAGGGTGGGAAGAATCATCAAAGTGGGAAGCCCGCTTATTACCGGGGTATCTGTCCTGCACTTGCCCAGGGTGGGAAGAGTCGCCAAATTGGGAAGCCCGCTTATTGCTAGAGTACCTTTCCCTTGATGGTTCACGTAGGTCATGTGGTTGATCCCAGGACATGTGGTGATCATGGGAAGCATGGTTATTCCCACTGCCAAATGCAGATCCATGGCTTCTGACATGTGGAGGGTCAAGGTATGAAGATCCTCTTTTAGAATGGGGCATTCGAGCAGCATCATCGTCATAAGCATGTCCATAACTTGGGTAGTCTGGTGATTCAGGATACATAGTTTCTTTTTTGGAAGGGGGTGAACGACCTGTATGAGACTGACCCCCATGCTCTCTTGCTCCTTCTTCTGGTATATAATTCATTGGTGGGTGGTGATCAGCAGGATGATGGCCCCGTTTTTGAGGGGGCATATCATAGCCAAATTCGTGCCTTGGCGGACTTTGATGCAGCATGGGATCATGCCCATAGGAGCTTCTCTTTGGTGGAGAAATCCCATAGCTCTGATCTCTTTTAGACGGGGTACGTTCGAGGACTGATCTTCTATGGGTATGTGGGGGAAGGCATGGGTGAGCCTTCTTCCAAATAGGAAAACCTCTTCTGAGGAACCACTTCCCCCATGTAGTTATGGTGGGAGAAGTCTGGGCGAGGACTCGAGGAAAGGGGAGGAGAATTTCGATCTCTGCCTTGGAAATGTTCTTCACCCTGTGAACCTCTCATTGGTTGTTTATTGTAGCCAAAATTTCTGTTTCTATCATTTTCAAATCTTTCATTAGGAGAGGTGTAGAAAATGTCTCTGGGTTGACTGCGGTGATTGTTGTCCCCATGTAATCCTTGCAGATGTCCACGATCTTTTTGAGAATGAGGATGGATGGTGTCAGGAATTTGGGTCTCCCATGGATGTCGTGGTAGGCGATTGGGTGACATTCCTGTCCAGTCACCACTGTTGTTGTCATCTTCATCAGACGCATATCCATAGTTCTGATAATTTGATAGCCTTCTCCCTGTGCCATCTTCTGACATGTGTAGGTTATCTGGGGTGATAGAAGAGGTATCGTTTCCATCTTTTTCATTTCCATTTTTCTTCTTTCGCATTATGTAAACGGTCACCAAAATTATGATGATGGCAATGAGGACAAGGGTTCCCCCAATTACACTTGCTTTGAAGGCTCCAGTTTCATACCATTCTTCAGTTTTGGATGTAGTTAAACCTGAAATAATTCAAAAATAATAATTTCCAGATTTTTGTCTTACTTCTTTCGAAACCAAAAGTAGAGGGGCAATGAACAACCACGTACAATATGGCCACAACAATCTATCCAATGCTTAAGCACTAAAAACCCTTTGTGCCTGCATACACTGCATTATAAATGAGCAGTTTATGCAACAGACATCAAAACTGTAACAAATAACAGAAAATGTGTACTGCTTGATATTCAGTAGCAAAATCCAAAATGTATTTGATCTATCCTCAGTTTAAAAACAGAGATGAACAAAACTATTCATTTCATTATATTAACAAATACAGAAAAAGAGCAAAACTTCTGCTTTTCCAGCAGACCAAAGTCAAGCTCACATTTCAACTGGACAACTTATCCAGCTTGACGATACTTTCGACTTTGGTAATAACACATCACAAGATGACAGATTGACCTAGCAATTGATTCGACTATCTGAACTAGTGAGAATATCTGTGCAAATAGAAGTCAACACAGGCCCGTAGCCAGGGGGGTTCGGGGGGTTCGAAAGAACCACCGTTTTTGCTGGGAAAAGGTCCACTCTGGGTAAAATTTGATCTATGTACTTGAGGATTTTATGGTAAAAGGTCCACCTCTTCAGAAAACGAACTCCCCCTCTGAAATTGCTGGCTACGGGCCTGCAACATAAGGCAAATAGGGCAGCTATTCGTTAACACAGTACCTGCAGTGCTGTTTTCTGTGGTGGCTCTCATTGTAGTCACAATTGTGGTCTCCCCAGTAACCGTACTGGTATCACCCATGCTGCTAAATCTAGCGATCCTGGACAATAAAAATATTATAACCCAATTTCTATTTTTTAAAATGATTACAGCAGTTCCTCCAGCTCACAGTGCTCACTTTCAAGATGTTGTTCTACAGGAAACACTTCAAAAATGGAACTGTTCCCGAAAAAATGATAACAACAAGTGCTTATTGCAATGCCTCTTTCCACAGTAGAATAAAATGGCTGAACAGATTAACACACCACACCTCAAGTGGGCAAGTCACCTTCTTCACACATCTCAGGAGCCCTGAAATACATTCCGTACTTGTCTTATCATCTCTCCACCCTCATTCTGCAAACAATGATATCTGCAAAAGCTACAGACTGTCTCACTAAAGTGGGCTAAACAAATATTTTATCAAACAACTCTGGACTGTAGGAATCTGCTACTTCAAAATTATCTGGATGATAAATTTCAGAGAAAAAAATGCTGTGTTTTCGAAAGAGCATGGAGGAAATATATCTGAGCAGCATAAATTGTAAATCATTACATGAATGATCATTATAGAATTCCAAGGTAACTCAAAATAAACCAAAAACAAATAAGTATGTTGATTTTTCTTTTATTTGCTCAATAAATCACATTTATACTTAACAGGCATATCAACCAATAATTACACCAGAAGAGCTGTTCTTCTGAGCAAAGAGTACTTATTTACACTAAATATCTGCTTTACAGTGAATGAAGCATTTTAAAAAGTAACAGAAAAAAAGCTTACACCACACCTGTTCAGGTACATTTTATATAACTAATAGTGCTACTTTTTATCTATATGTCAACTATAATACCCTGTGAAGCTGGTGACCCAAGGACACCATATCACAATAAATAAAAATTAATATATTGCAAATTCCAAAAAATAATGTCTAAGCCTTCAGTATTGAAGATCTTTCAATAATCAAATGCAATATAAGTGGATACCAGGTTAGGATTCTTAATAAAATCTACATTCTTGCAGCTACTCAATACACTTCAAGTTCATTCTGCGCTTAAAACAATAGATTTTTCTCAATCTTGCATAAAATAAGACACCCTATATATAGACTCAGTCCCCCCCCCCCCCCAATGTATGAAAACAAAGCCTGTGCAATGCTGTATATATCCAATGTAAATAGGGTGACTACACATCATTTCTTCCTTTAAGCTTCTCGTTTGTGCAGAGTTTACCAAAAAGGTGAAAACCTTTGACGATTTTTTTGTAAAATGCATTTCTTCTAAGGTTTAAAGCCATATTAGTTAGACTGTTTATGGACCTTTTTTTCTTTCCTTTTATTTATCTACTTATCTATTTCATGCATAACAAAGTCCCAGAATGACAAATATCTTGATATAGTAAGCTCAATTCTTAATGCACTAAATGGTATTGGCAGAATGTTCATTGGCAGTGACAGTATGAACATGTTGGAACATGACATTTAAAACTAAGTCAGTCCTTTGGCATTTTTACACCAAGTTGTGATGAAATAATAATTTAAAAACAATTTGAGACTTTCTTCACTTTTAAAGACAAACAAGGGAAAATCCAACACTATAGAAATATTCAGGAAATACAGTGACCCCAAGTTACAAACAGGTTACATTATGAGAGGTTGCAAACCAAAGTCAGCATTTTACAGTTCACAAACTGGATGTTTGTACGTTACAATTGTGTTACCATGTTGTTGTTTTTTTAAGTCTATTATCTTATCTTGAAAACGTGGCCCTGCCAGAGGACCGGATTGGGTAAAGAGGAATAGTGAGTTACATGGCAGACATCTTTGATAATATTTAACTCAAATGTTTGCAACTCGGGGTCACTCTGTACTTAAAAACTAGCCCTAAATGTTATTTTTCTAAAACTCCTCATCACTTTCTGGAGGTTGTGGAGGAGGAGACATTCGGATGTCCTCCTTAATGTCTTCCTCCACCTCGCTTACTTCAGATCTCTCAAACTTTTCACTGTACTTGCTGTGTTCCTCAGAGATACTGGAAAGGTCACTGGCCTCAACATGTTTCACGGGAGAAACATCTGGAGAGCTGAAGGGAGGAGATTTCATCGGTGAAGCCTCTGGTGAACTGGGCACTGGTGAGGCATCCCGTGAATTGGTCCTATCTTGTAACCTTTTGTCCACACCTCCACCCACTGGTGGCTCCCTCTTTGGATGACCTTGAACAGTTGACCCTCCCGAGCTCCCTGAGTGACCATAGTGGTCATCTATGGGAGTTGACCTATGGGAGGAAGAACTTTTACTGTGATGTGAATGTCTGGATGAATGTTTAGAGTCACTGTGTCCAGATCCATTAGAGGCACCTGAATCAGACTCCCCAGAATGTCCCCGCTCTTTGAACTTTTTACCACCATGCCCTTGCTTCTGTTTATGCTGTGTTTCTCCTGGATCTATTCTGATAGCAGGGGGCTGCATGCCATCTTCATGGTGATGTTCTTCATTTCGCCCCTTGATGTCAGAAGACTCTACTCCTTTTATTAAAATAACAGCAGGCTGGGCAGGAGGGGCGTCACCCCTAGATGCTGCATGGGGCAGTACAGTTCTGGTATCTTGTAACAGTCTCTGATACAGCTCATCACTCTGTGGAGGAGGAAGCCTTACAGGAGGTTGGCTCATTTCATAGTCACCACCGTGCTGCATTGTGGGATCTATAGTGGCTTGGTAGTTGTCTGGCCTGACACGGGGTTGTATTGTATGATGCCTGTCCTCTGCGTAGTCTGCATCAGGCTTGGCCTGGGTGGGTAGTAACAATGGCTGTTGGGGTGACTCATAGTCCCCACTCTCCTCTTGCCATTCACTCTGCTGGAAAGGTGGCGCCACTGCTGTATGGAGAGCAGGGACTCTGGCAGAACCCACATGAGCATGGGAAGCACTAGCAGTTCCCATTCGAGGAGCAGAAGACTGGGATCTTCGCCTTGGTACAGGTAGGTCACCCTGGGAATGGTACTGTCTTGGGTATGATGTTGACACTGGTGGTTCCTGTGCTTCCATCTGGTATCCTGGAGCAGTCGGTTTACCAAATGGCATGGCACTTTGGTCCAATCCTGCCACAGTTATCAGCTGACCTAGGCTGTAAGAAAGGAAAAAAAGTAAAACGTAAGCTGTCAGTCAGTAGCTAAATGATCAGTATATGCAATTTGAATATATAGCTCAATATTTATTTCACATGTCAAATCAAATGAATTTGACTCATTTGGCATTTAATGTTTGATGTTTATTAATTTGAGAGAAAGTGATTATATTACTTTACCAAAAATGTTTTTCTCACCCTGCTTCCCTGAGCATGTCTAAAAAGGAATGAAACTGTTTAAAGGAGGATTCTATACTCTCCAGGACTTTATCGTCATCAAGTGGACTTCTCTCCAGCTGTGCGCGTAGGGTGCTGATCTCTTGATGAAGACGGCCATTTTCTACAGTTAGCTGTACATACAAAAAGAAAGTAATAAGAAAAATATTCTTGCTAAATTACATAGAACAGCACCATATCTAAAAAAAATTACAATAATAAAATAAAAAACAGATGATAAAAATGTGTAGTCAGTAACTACAATATTGGAACCATGAACAGAAAACATTGTCTACTACCTCCAACATCTTGTTTTCAGCCTTGGATCTTGCTTGCTTCTCTTCAGCCAGCTGTCTTCTTAACTGCTCCAACTCAATCTTATAAGACAACAAAGAACATAATATTAATCCACTGCTCATACTTATATTTCTGATGCAAGCTTAACCTCTAAAGAACTACCTGATTTCACTGCAGTCTTGGTTAGTCTGCAAGCACCCCAAATTTTGAGAATACTTGAAAGTAAGCCATATTTTTTTTACTCATCTGGTGTTTACAGTAACTGATAAAAGAGGTTAGTTTCCAGTAATATCTAAAAGTCAGGGTGACCCACTCCATTACCTTCATCTCCTTGATTGCGCCCAGGTTCACCTCACTCTGTACAACATCTCTCTCAGCTGTAGCATTCTGGTACACAGTATCATCATCGTAGTCTGTGGTGGTGGTAGTGGTCTCATTATTGTTGGATTCCATGTGGAGGCTGACTGCAGGGGTCAGAGGAGGCGTGGTATTCTCCATGTTTTCCTGCACACTGGCCCTCCCAGGGGTGTGTTCTGGAGGGAAGCCTCTGATGATGCAAATATAACAGATTAAATCCTGGGATTTCTGATAGGTTACTAAAGACCTGAGGGAGCAACCACTGCAATCATCATTATGTACATATCCCAGTATGTAGTATCTACCAGAAATAGCCACTTAGGAACTTTGGACTTAGCACATGATGAATTATTCAACAGATGTAATTAAACTACATGCATGATATTCCACAAGGAGATGATTACAACAACAACAACAAAAAATGCAATTTTCCCATCTCATGTAAACATTTCAGTACAAAATGCAGAGCATCTTTTCCTCCAGTTTCCATCAATACTTACTTGTACCTGGAGGCCCTCAGAGCAGTTCTCCATGGCAAACCTGGTTTGGGTTGGACCTGCTGCATGGCCCTACTAATACCAGGACTGGTCTTGGATCTTTTTCTTCCAGCGTCTCGAGAAATCTAGATAAAAAATACAGATGGTTTATTAAATAAATGGAACCAATATTGCTTTAAATGCAGATAATTAAATTTAAAAAAAAGATTTTAAAATGATAACATAAAATTGCTTGAGACTAAAAATAGAAAACAAAATATTTAATTTATAAGGATGTTTAAAAACTTGAAACTTTGATAACAGGACATCAGCACATAATAAACTTACTGGAAAAGTTCACCTACCAAGTTAAAGTAAAAAATAGTTTACTTATTTCAGTGGAGCCAAATTAATATTTTAAGCCACAAGGTTAATACATAGAATAGAATACACATCACACATCACATAGAATATCATATGAATGGACCGTTAGAGTGACCATCTCTGGGCAGACCACCAGAGTGACCCTTTGCTTTACCTTGATACTTGTTTTTTTGCCAATACTGCCATTCAGTGTAACGGTTCTCCTTTTCCTAGTAGGAACTCTGCCAAAGGTAATCTTCATGGGATCTTTAGGGCTTTCTGCCTTGATCCATTTGTACTAAAAGTTGAGATATTTGATGCTTTATATGTAGCCAAGTATAAAAGTGCTTTCAAATCAATAAACAGCAATATTACAAATAGTTTCTAAATGATATAACACAAATTAACATAACAACCAGTTTCTCTAAATAAAGTAAATCATATGAAAAAGGGGAAAGACAAAAACAACAAAAACAACAGATACCTAGTTTTCCTAGAAAAATAAAATTTTGTTAAATTTACAGCTTGTTCACTAATTTTTCAGTTATGCCAAAATATTTTCAGGTGAAACCAAAACAATGGGGATCAAACAACAGTTATAACAACATCTACCACAAATCAATAATCTCCTGCATAACCTCATTTCCCATTTTTAATCAGCTTGAACACCATTTCTTATTTCCAAATTATATTAATGTTACCTTTCCTGTTTTCTATTTATCTTCACACTTTCATTTTCACTATCATTTTGAATGAATGAATATTTTATCTTATAAATAAAATACTTCTATGATTTTGTTTCTTAAACATATACAATTCATGCAAGTATGGGGTTTATCAAACAGATTAATTTTTTGTTGAGATAAATGGCATTCCCCCCCCCCACACCACGCACACAGACACACATTTAAACATTTTACAAGGAAAAAGAGAGAAGGTAAAGGGATCCCTGCTCGAGAGTTAAACGCACCTCTGTGTCCTGCCCATTGCTGTTTATCATGATGTGTTCCATAATACTCTGTAGTGTGTTGCGATCTGAAGAGAAGAAAGACATACATTCACAGCTACCACAATACTAAAAACTGTCTGTTTCTAAAAAAGGTTTTCTACCATTATCTTAAAAATATCCATTTTTTCCAATGTCAAAAGTTATAAATCATAATTGCAATAATTGTCTAATTTTCAGTGATCCAACCACACAATTTCTCAAAAAAGTATACTATTTCCTATGCAAAAAGAGCAAAATAAATATAACATTCTGTGTAGTGCATGCAAGCCTTAATATGTACATGTACAATAACATGAAAATGTCTAATAAAGTATGAATCTAAGGGTGTTCTTTTATGGGGCATGCATTTCTTGTACAGCATTAAAAGATTGAAAAGCTTCATTCAATCACTGTCAAAAGTTCATTCAAGTCCAACTTTGATAGCATTACCCCACTGGGAATTACTGATGATTTACTGACAAATCCTTTTATTTATACAGAATTTGCTCCAATTAACACCTGTTACTTACTGCAAACATCAATATGGCAATTAGTCTAACGCAGAATATATCAAAAAGGATCAAAATGGCAATTACTGCCGCATTTAATAATCTGTTCACACTTGCTAAGCAATATAAATAATCTTGTTCTAAAACAGCTCCCTTCAACTGCTACATCAACAGTTTAATGTTTAAAGGGATAATAACTCTTCGTTTTGGCCAAAAAAATGAATTTTCCTGGAATAAACAACAATTTTCCCAAACTTACCAATGGTTAATGAATACATTTTTACATTCAAAGTTAGTCCCTGTTTTTTTTCTAAAAAGTTTGTTTTTTTGTTATAATCTGTTAAGAGATTATAGCAGAGTATAGCCATCAATGGAGGTCACGTGGTCTAAAGATAAGCTCAGATAGCAGAATAATAGCTATAACTGCCGTTTTTGTGGTAAAACAGAATATATTATATTTCTGTGAGTTATTCACAATGTTTTTATTGTGAAATATAGATCCCATACGAAGAGTTATTATCCCTTTAACAGAGGTGAGGGGATCGGCTAAAAAGTTTACCCTCTTGCATTCTTATAAATAGTTGAAGGAAATCACTAGCCACACCCTCACTCTGCTGATAGATTAATCTTACAGCAAAGTAAATAGGTCTGTTACTTAAAGTCCCATGAGAAACCATACCAAACTGCTGGGCTAATTATAACAGTATTTTTAGTATGACAATTATCTAAAACAAAATCAATCACGTTTAATTTTTTTGTCAGATTAAAAAAGAAGATAAAAATGCAGTGATGATTTTTCAGTCTCATTAGCTAAAAGCATTTCTATTTGGCCTACATTACAACAATTAATACCACTGAAACACTAAAAAATAAGTTGGTTGGCATACCAATCATGGGGTTAGCTCTGATGTCCAGAACTACGATGGTGGTGTTGAACTTCAGTGTGTCCAGTAAGGCTTTTCCTCCAGAACTGCCCACTCCACACTGCTGGATGTCAAGGGCTAAAATATAAAATACAAAAAAAAATTTTTTCTTCGTTTGTTTCATATTTATTTATGTAGTGTCTTTATCTCAAATTTATATACTGGATTAATTTAAGAATATTCAAATATATAAACAGAAACTATACAAAATAACATTTTTCAAAATTTAAATAACTATGTGACAACACAGAATCACGTTTTCTTTTTCTTTTTTTTTTAAGAAATACCTGTGAACTAAATTTAATTTATGGCTGCATCCTAACAATTCTACAATTATGCAAATGTGCACGAGCTGCCATTAACTTATACATTGTAAATGGAATCTGTTCACTGTTAAAATGAAATGCAATTCATTCTATAAAATCACCAGAAAACTTGAGCATGACATGGTCAATTCTCCAGCAATGCATTACTCTAACAGTTACAGTATTCACACAAAATGAAAGATTTTGCTCCAATGCAATGCACTGCATGAAGTCTCATTGGAGGCAATGTTCAGCAATCGTAGTTTTACTACTGTATCAACAGACAATATTGTTAGGTCATGGCTATTGTAAGAATGCACTTGTAGCAAAAAAAAAAAAAAAAACTTAAATGAATGAATAAAATGATAAGGGCATGACATGCAAAATCAAAAATTAAACTTGGCAAGATTGTATTGTCACTAATGGTGTCACCTGATACTTGGCCTCATCAAATCTATACTCAATCACGTAAATATAGGCAATTCCTTATTCAAACTTCATTTGGTCTGCACATAAACAAGGCAGTGTCAGCTTTAACTGGTGTCAGCTTTAAGCCTTTTCCCTGAGGGGATTGGTGAGGTATCCACACTAATGACACTACTTGCCTTTCAAACTAATAACTGCACAAATCAGGAAAGTATAAATCAATAAAGTGGATAGGAATCCCACACAAAATAAACGAGAGACTGACCTTTTTTTAAGTCGTTTGATACTTAGACTTACGGGTTTCAGTTGGGACTAAAAGGTTCCAGTGAGTCTTTCAATACATGTTATAAGATAATGAGTATCCTATCTAAGTTGCTGTCTTACCCTTAAGCCACAAGTCATCTTTTAATGCTTCAGCAAATGCCGATGCTCCTGCATCGCCAACAAGGGGGTTGCAGTTCATTGTGATCCGACGCAAACCTGCCATTTTGTCCAAATCTGGGCGTCGGTAGCGTAAACTGTCCTGCCAGGCTTCATTATGTCTTTTCATGGCTTGGTGCTAGGAAGAAAAAAACAACTTATCCTTAACTTAGGTTTGATTTGAGGTATTATGAGATCCTATAACTACAAATTTTGGTCGGAAAAAGGTGAATTAAACCACTAAAAACAATTCATAATTATTTAAGTGAAAACTGGTCTCTACTACCCAAACAGCCAGAATGCATGGATGTGGCAAATTTCAATAAAAAAGGCATAATAATAGTTTGATATCTTTTATTTACTTGTATGAAAAGAAGCTGATGTTTAAGTCATGCAAACTCTTCACAAGCCAAGTTATCAAAATCCTTACAGGCTGCAGATAAGCTGAAAATAAAATGACAACTAAATGCGCAAAAAAAGTGAAAAAGTTCCATAATAAAATTTGTTCACTACATGACCAGTAACTTCAATTACTTTCAGAATGCTCTGCATGTCAACTCTGAGGTCTCATTGCTCTATTTTGTTATCTTCCAAGCCATTAACCAACAAATCATAAGATGTGACACAATTCAATATCTGCAGTCCCAATTTCTTTAATGATATAATAGACCTTGTATGTCTCCATCGATATTCTCTTTGATTAACGCAGCAGCTTCATTGCTGAAACCTTTGATCAAAATTTAGCTATAGCAAATCCACCATCCCTGGGGAAATATCAGAGAACTCTGAACTGACGCACTATGTAGTTCCATCAGGGTGATCAAGGAGGGATAAATTACACCTTTCATCAAACCGTAGCCTTTCTCAGAGGTTAAAAAGTGAATCTTATCATAAAATAAATCACAATGTGAAAACAGATTATATTTCAGCACTTAGGAGCTATTGATGCTCAAACAGAGTTGCAGTATATCTTGAGCAACATAAAAAAATTGTCACTGAATATGAGCAATATTTCCCAAATGACAAACAGACAGTACACCTAGGAACTTCATAGCAGGAGTATAAGGAATTAAACAAGGCAGCAAAGCTGTCAANATGTACAGACACATCTGTGTCTGTACATAAAAATAAAACAATATTTCTTTTTTTTCATTTGCCAAACACAATTAGTTGTAGACAGTTGCAAAAAAAAAAAAAAAAAAAAAAAACCTTCTCATGACTAACATGAGCTCAGCCACATTTTACTTAACATAAAAAGAGGATGTGTGGGCACTTGAGAAGAAGATTATGGAAACCAGATATGGAATTAAAAGCAATGAAGTACTTCCAAAAGCTAAAACTAATGTTCCACAACCATGAGCTTTGCCAGTTTGCCAGCTTCTGGTTTTCCTCTTACAGGTACACATTGAGGAACCTTCGTAGATGAGTTTCCATGGCAACATGATACATATGTGTGGTAAGAGCATTAATGTTAGGACCCAGCCTATGAGAGCAGTTGGTTGGATGGTGATGAAATGACGAACTACGACAGCGTACTTCCCACCATCACTCACTCCTTCAATTTGAACTTATGATCAGCTTGTTTCGTATTGATCACTCATTGGTCCCTGGTGTGGTATTGAGGAGGCAGCATAACAGATGACAGTTTCTCCTTAATGGCTTAAACGCTTTTTATCACAGCAGGCCACACATTTTGAGTGGTGAGAGGTGATGAAGAGGCATTAATCCTACTGATATTCCTCCACAGTAAACACCCTAGTTTTCTACACAGCTATATTGATTAATCTCATTACCTTGCTGCACGGCATCTGCTAGGATATCACAAAGGTAAGAAAGTTGAACAAATCCCAGTGGCAAAGTAAAATATTTGTGTAATTTGGGAACAGAAATACCTCTGCATTATAGAACAAAGTGTAACACAGATATCTTGTAAGTTGTTACAACTGGAAGAAGTGCAAAATGCCATTTCTCAGTGTTAAGTGATTACAACAAACAATTCTGAACAGCACCTGGTACGGAATACTGGGTTGTGAACATTTTAATAGCTAACCAGGTAGGTTTTATTCCCTGTTGTCTGCCAAGTTTTAACATTACCTTAGAGACAAACAGAAAAAGCAACTTCAAAGCTGTACTGACTGATTTAAAATTAGCAATGGATCTCACCATTTTTAAGAATGATAGAAAACAGTTATTCACAGAATATTACGAATATGTAGAAATTGTCTAAAGACAAATGCTTTAGGCAAATGCTTTTCTTAAAAGCACCCAATTCAAGATATTCAGCACTTGAATTATTGGACAAGCAATTAAATATGCCGATTCTAATAACGTGTTATAACAAATCAATGAACAACTTAATGCAAAGATCGTTGCATAACTGCCAAATGATGGTGTTTTCCAAATAAAAACAACCCAAGCCAAGACTTTGAACACATTGCAAGTACATGAATCGCTTCTTATCCAGGACAATTTAAACTTTAAAAACATACATTGAGAGATAAATGGCCTTAATCAATATTGCACAATATAATCATATCCACCGTCTCCAGTCCAGCTTAGGCAGTCAGCAATCTTGACACAGTTTGAAAATAATGCAGGTTACAGCGCAAGAGTCTCATGAAGTTGAATCATAGAATAAATGGTGTGTTTTAACTTTGGAAAACTTGTATTTTGGCAGGAGTTTTGATCTTTTGCTTTTTTCCAAAATTATTACAGCATAATGGTGAGTATCAGTAAAGAAAGATTAAAGGTTGGTAAGTTGAAGAAAAATGCCATTTACCCTGGGAAAATTTGTTAAATATGAGTTTTTGGCTGGAAAATTTTGGCCTGGAAGGCTTTAATGGTGAGTTTGGCTTGCTTATAAAATGCTTCTTATAAGTGGGTAGACACTAAAGGTGTAAATGATTTTCTTGGCATTTATTTTACTGTTTTGCAATCAATGAAAAAAAAAAGAGGGAATAAAATAGGATCAATTTGTCATCATCTTTAACACCTACAAATGGCATTTCTATATGTCCCCGTGATAAATTAAGTGATTAAAAAACAATGATAGAAATACTATTACCAGTGTAATTAAACAATACAATCCAACAGATTCCCAATGACGACCAAATTATCAGAAAGCTAGAAAGTGACCCTTTTCACATTAAATCACCCAGACATGGTTAGAAGAAAAAATTACTGAAGGAATCTAATCAATTGATACAAAGAAACACATTTCCCATTTCGATTACTTTATGGAAGACTGCATTTTGCACTTGCTTATTTCCTCTTTTCAAAAGGCTTTCGATTCTAAAAGCAAGAAGAAAGTGAAATCAAGCCAAAGATTCTGATCAAAGAGCAACAGTGGAGTGCTCTGCTGTTTACTATAATATTCACTCTGTTGCTATGGTTTTGCTTCTCTGAAGCCATTTTCTGTTTCTCAAATGAAGAAATTAAATAGACATGACTAGAAAAAAGTTATACCTACAGGTACCTACTACACTAAAGACTTATTACCAATGAAACTATTGTTCTATTATTTTATGTTCCAACTTGGTGGGGACTCTCGTGAATGCGATCAGACTAACATCTTGTTTCCAACGTAGTCATTTATCTACCAGCTTTTCTGTATTCTACTCAACACCATAGTCCCTCCAGAATTGGAGCGATCAATGTAGAATGATAGTTTCATTGGAAATGAGCCCTTTTTTTGCACATTCAAAGCTAAAGAAGAAACCAACTGCTCTGACAAATACTGGGTTCCCATACTTAGATCGATCCATCTGGATCGACCTAACTCCCTGAGGGTTCACGCTAAATTGCTATCAGCTCAAGAGGCTTAAATGTCTGTCATGCCTACTGAATCAGCTAGGGGAAAGATAATTACCCCCTAACAGTTTTACTAGGTGTGACAGACATTTAAGCCGGTTAATTTGATAGCAATTTAGTAAGACTCCCCAGGGAGATACATCGATCCAAATATCTGTAGGAACAGTACATTCTGGACCTTCTAGAGTTTGATACAGTGGCAAAGAAATTGGTCCCAAAGATATTCTAATATGTAGTCAAGTTTCTCAAGGCAACCAAATTCAGTCAATGCACAATAAATGTAAAATAAACATTTTAAGAAGCCAGCAACATGTCCCAAATTTAAACTTTTACAAATATTAGTATTTTGAATACATATAGTTAGGTCATAGTTATTGTGAAATATGTACTCCTACCAGATGAAATTTTTAAAATTAAATTATTCTTGCTATCAAGAATGATTAATCTGTTCAATGAATCATAAAATCATCTGAACTATGCATGTGTATAAATTATGTTCATACATAATCAAATTTTACTATCTAGTTCACATCCTCTACACAAAACCTTTATCATTCTACTGTGGCATGTGTTTCCTTATATATGAAAAGTAGACAAAAATGTCTTATCCGGTAATTTCACTAATTTTCAAAGTAACCTTAGATACAGGGACTTGGTCTAATTACAAATTTCCTGGCATCCTCAACAAAAATGTAACCAACCAGAAACACCCAGTAAATTTGCCTTGTTAAGACCATTTCTTTAAAGCATAATTTATATCCATTACCATTTTGCATCAAAGCAAGGGCACTAGCATGTATCATTAATTACATAAGATATAATAGGGTACAAGATATAAAACAAACACAAGCAATCCATAAAGATATAAAGTTAGATCCAAGATGACAACAAATCACATGCCCAGACCTATTAAGTAATTAACAATTTCACACCTTTTAATTCTTATTCTCAATGGTGCCAGAAGATTGCCTTAATCACCTTAAAAGGGCAGAACCAAACTCATCCACATGTCAGAAGAATTTGCCACATGTATGCTTACTCGTCTTTAAACTCTACCCTTATCTTTGCCTTCTCCTGTTGGCTAAACCCAAGGCAATCATCATGGCACTCAACCAACATGAAAAATTCATGAGTTCCTGCAGCAACAATTCTGGAGACACCCTATTTTCATAGGGAATCTCTTGGGGGCAAAGCCTGTGTGTAAAATTAGTCTTTCTGCCTCATTGTCTAGACCAAAGACCGTAATGTTTTAATTCTAACTACTGTCCATCAGAGCATTGCCAATGAGAACAAACTTTTTGATTACAGTAAAAAAATTAAAATGGCCAATTCTGCAACCAATACTTTTGAGCTGCTTTTCCAGACACCTTCCCCTACTGATGGTTCTCTTGAATTCAAGAGAGAAGTTCCACAGTTTTGACCATGTTCATAAAATTTTCAAGGAAAAATGCTTACATAAATCAATAGGCCATGGACTACCTGATTCAACCAGCACTTGCTCCTTTTCCAAAAACATGTTGAATGATTTCAAAGGTTGATACTTTCTAGCAAAAAAATTACCTTTTACAAAGCAAGTAAATAAAAACATGACCCTTGTTACAAATAACATAACATTTACATTCAAGCCTTTTTTGTACTTGTCTTTCAGCTATAAAAATAGAAAAGAAATTAAGAAAATTGTCAAAATAGAATGAAATAAAGCATAAAAATAAAAACAAAGACAAAAAAGTAATAAATATGCATTGTTTATTTATTTACCCCCTAGAAGTGAACAGAAACACCATGCTATTCACTAACAGAGCACCTGCTCACCCACAAATGGTATCCTCTGCCAATAATCTCTGTCAAAAATTGAATCCCCCAAACTGCACACAAATCGATAATGGCAAATAGCTATTTATGTAGAATATAATTACCAGACTTGTTAGTATTAGTGCTGTTATGACATGGGTCTTATCCTACTGGGCACAGCAAAATGATATTGTCATTATTGCAAATCAGATGTGGACAGTTACTGGTACGTGGCTAGATAAATACAGTTATACATCTTGTTTTCAGGAGCAGAACTAGCATCCTATCGAAGGCTGAATGCTTCACAGCATGGTGATATATCTCACAAGAAAAGTTCTGAAAGCTTCCTATGAAATAATATCTAAACTTATTTACTGCCTTTAAAAGGAAAAAGTTGTTCATTTAATACACAGAACTGAGACTCTCAATATTTGATGTTGTGAAAACATGTTGGTGGACACACTGCAGCGTCATCAATGGTGGCTGGACCAGATAAACCAGCACGACACTGTCATCCTTCGCCATCAAAAATCTCGTCTTCAGAAAGCCATTTTGGAACTTTTCAACAAAACAGGGCCAGGAGAGCGAAGGGCAGAACTCATAAGATTTTGGCTTCGACTGAACTACACCTTGACAACAAGTTCTCCCACTACAATAACAACTGCTAATGCTTTAAATGAGGAATACCAAGAGGAGATATATGAATATTCTTTCTCACTTGTGGCTGTAATATCTGGAATATTTGTTTTTCTTACACTGGCTGCAACAATTGGTGTCATAGTATTCTGCACCAAGAGAAACTCTGTTTTCTCATCAGCTAGATCAAAGAGATCCACTTCACGTGATACTGTTAATTCTTATGAAATGACCGATGCTAGTCTTACTGATATAGAATATACAGACTATGAAACAGAAACAGAGGTAGACGAACCTCACTCAGTTGTATCATTCATTCAAGAAAGCGACTACGAAGATGAGACCCCCTTAGTTTCTCCTTCATCCGAGATTCCTCAGGCCATGCCCACCTCTGCACACTACGGTTCTACACACAGAACTCGCAGAGACATGAATGTCAACAGCCTCTTTGACCCAGGCCCCAGCACCAGCGGTGTCTCATCAACCACTTCCTTGAACATTAAGAAAAGTCAGTCATATAATGGGCGTCTTTATGAACACATCTCTCCTAACTCTGGAGATGAAAGTGATGAAGATTACGACACAATTCACTGCCTTAACACTGATGACGCACTTCTTGCTTGTTCTGGTAAAGCCCCACTGGGAAAGAGTTTAATCAGAAGCGCAAAGCAAAAAGGAATTGCTATGGCCAAGAGTGTTAAAAAGAGCATTTCTTTTGATAGCAAGTTCAAGTACAGGGAAATCAGAGAATAGACTTTGCTGATCTTTCATTATGTGCCCAGCCAAGAAAAATTGATTGGGTTTTTAGGAGAATTCCCTATGTATCTCATTCATTCATGAAGACTATCTCTGCTGCATGCTTTCATAAAAAACTCTTTTGTTTTATTGCACATGGATAACATGTAATTCATACAGATGTTTCAGAGGTATTTTCCATAGTTGTCTTCAAAAGTTCACTTTACAATCAACATTTATGACAGCCTTGTTTTTCCAAATGTTTACCTGCCTATCCAAACTGTGTACTTAGCTATTTAAACAGTAATTTCTATCAAGTATTACTTATTAGCTAGCCTGGGAATTTGAATCTAATTAAATATAACTATCCTACACTTTATCTATATTCATTTAGGAAAATCACCTTCATTACATTTAACTCCATTCATCTGTGTAAATTGGTAATGAAATTGAACAACTTGATTTTAATGAATTTTATTGGGCTAAGGGATGTCTGTCAATACAGAATTAGAGAAAGCACTGTTACAATGTACAAATGAGAAATAAAAGACAAATATACTATATCATCCACACACCTATGTGTCCTAAATGATCTGTTGCACAATCTGTTAGTCACATGTAATTTTTTTTTTTTTTTTTTGGGGGGGGGGGGGCAGGAGGATGGGGAGGGAGGAAGAGGGGATCAATTAAGCTGCAGCATTTCCTTTGTCACAAGAGCAACTACTACGGTAATAAAATTCTGCAGCATTATATTTCTATGGAAAATGCTGCAAAATACTGTCTGAAATTTTTCCTACAAGGAATATATAAAAAAAAATGAGACTCTTGTATTTTTTTATTTATTTATCTTTTTTTAAAAATTTTTTTTATTTATTTTATTTGTTTTTTTTTTATTATTTTTTTTTTTTTGCATAATCCATAATAATAACTGAAAATGTTTTGCTTTTATCTGAAAAAGAATAGTTATTGTTGAACTGATTGTGACCCCTCTCAATACCAAGAAACATTTTGGATAAAGGAAAATCAAGTGAGACTAATTTTGCGTGAGAAAAGTTTCAAATTATCTGTGAAGCAGTAACAATGTTTCTCTCTTCTCTCTTATACCTTTTATATGACAATTGCAAAAACAATACCTATTGCGATCCTGACACATGTTAAAGCTCAAATCAATTCTACCTTCCAAATTAAACTAACTTAGAAAGGTATTATGAATATAAGTTGTCACTTTGGACTTGTTAAAAGTGTACCCAATATTTTCCATTGAATAACATGAACTTAAATGCAAACAAAGCTCTGGCAGCTTTCCTGCTGATTTTCAAAATGGAGTTACGTGCCAAGAGCTGAGCCATATTATAGATTGCAGCAACCAAAAGTAATAGACTTTCTCTGGGTAACACAATGAATGTTTAATTGTCCTGCAATCAAAATTATTGACAGAAATCTCAGAGGGCTTGGTTTGTGTTTGACACGTAATTTGTGTCTTCCCAACAAGGGACTGCTAGCTGTCACCAGTATCCACTAGCCCTTAATGGCAATCATCACTGAGATGATAAATGGAATAGCGCACATCATTGTGCCATTTGCAATCGTAATTGAAAAAAGGGCTGCCAATTTTACATAATGTCACCAGACACTGCCTATCATGTTTTTGAATGCAAAACTGTGCAGAAATTGCTGTGAGACTCACTTATTCTGACTAAAATCTGTCCATTAGTTATTATGGCTCAGTGTGTTTAATTGTAGGTTCAGACAGTTGCTGATTGTTGCTTAAAAACTAGCATTGCACATCAATAAACAATTGCAAATGCTCATCCTTAAATAGGACAGAAATGCCTGATCTTTTTCACCAGGAAAATGTGCTTTATCTTGTGCACTCATGCTTACACTTTTCCATGTCTGTGAACAGAAAGACAACAAAGCTATGAGTAGTAGGTTAATTTCCGAGATTCATATCATTTCTTTTATGTATCGTGGATCATAATGGGTGATTTTTTCCTGGATGAGCTAGCAAATGGCATGTAGCTTCTATATTAATTTCTCCTGGATGTAAGAGATTACTCCTTAAAATGATGGTTCAGTCAAACAAAAAACAACTGGTATATGATAGTTTGGACTTAAATAAGTCATTCCCTTGTGTTAACAATGTATAATAGAATGTAACAAACCAGAAATTTACACTAAAATGAAGGCCAGCAGTAACCCATGGGGCGAGTTCCTTTAAGAATTGAAATATCCCACAATGCAGTTTTTTGTGGCATAGGGTTCATTCCCAATGAAATGATCAATATACGTAGATCAATCCAACTCCGCAGGGACTCTCACTGAATGCAATCAGATTAGTTGATTAACACACTGCCTCCGGAGTTGAATACAGAAAAGCTGGTGATTATATGAGCATGTTGGAAACAAAAGGAAGCATGTTAACCTGTCAATCTTTGACATTCAGCGAGAGTCCCTGCAGAGTTGGATCAATCTATGTAGAAGGATAGTTTCAATGGGAACAAGCCAAAAGACTCCTCTGGAGGTGAAACAGACTCTGCTATGCACCTCTCTCACACTGGAGATCAGAAATTGAAACAGGATTAAGTGGTCTTTCTTTCACGTAGGGACCGCCATATTCAATCCTTGGATCAGGTGATACTTGGATCTTTAATTCCGAATGGCCCCTATGGCTCAGTGATCTTCTTATACAACTTTATAATAATCAAATGTGCTTCAATTTTGTAACTTGTAACCATTGTGTCACTAATTTCTTTTCTTCAAGAAGTTTTTTAGCATTGGAAATTTGATAAAAGCCTTTTTTCCTTTAAATAATTTGACCCATGTGGACTTGAACATCCATCCACCTTATACTGTGGCATTGTGACAGGCAGATTTATATGAGTTTGTTGAGGTACACTGCATCACAGGTTTGATTTGAGCCTAAAATGGCTGCTTACAATTAAAGGGGGAGCTGTTTCAGTAAATTCTCTGTATATCTATTTGAATGAAAACAAAAAGGAACAATTGAATAATTTTTATTGATTCACAGTGATAGAAAATACTTATAGGTTTGTACAACTAACTTAAAAAAATGTCCCTGGGGTATTCTTTTAATATCTATATATCACTTTAATGTTTAAAGCAGGCTAGCAGTGGTTAAGTTTGTGTTCAGATGGTAAAAAAGAGCCCCTCAAGGGTTTTCCCTTTATAACATTTTATCAATGTTAAGGTTACCAATTCTTCAACCCCTGAAAACGTCACAGTGCTTGTGAACTTTAAATTTGAGGATTTCATGGAAATAATAAATAGTACATTTAATTCCAGTTTGAATAATCAAGTGAAATTAAACACACACATTGACATGCACAAACATATTTTTATTAAATATCTCACTTATCCCCAACCCTCACTCCCCAAGGAACCATCTTAAATTATGTTTCATCAGTTTGCTACCAAGATGAGCTTATACTTTATTAACACTGAAAGAAAAATTCTTTCTAAGTTAAATCTTTTAAAATTTTAGGCTACCATGATGATCATCAACAAACAAAAGAATGGTTGCCCATGTGGACAACATCACCATCATTTCCAAGTTAAATTCTTATGATAATATAAACCTGTCCAAGTTCTTCGGTAAGGTAATGGAAAAATGACACCACTTCATCATTCTTTTATTATCAACATTAATAACCACATTAGCCATATTATTCTAACTTTGTTACCGTAAGAGATAATGGAAAAATGCAGTTATCTGGGCCTTGAGAGACTAAAGAAGATTCTGGCAAAGACAGCAAATATTCAAAGAAAAGCTCTTCTGAAGCAAATGAAAAAATTGCTGGTTTTTTTTCTATGATCATTTTTTCCCTAAAAACATTATATTCCCAGTGGGCTTTGATTTTCTGCAGCTGCTCTTAGCTTGGGGAATGCACAATTTCTGTAAAAATTTCCTTTTTGGTCAAAATTCCATATCTAAAAGTGGGTGTAATTTTTAGATCTGAGATAGGCTCCTTCAAAATATCTTATGCACCTATCCCCTTTCCCTCTTCAAAATGTTAACATAAACATAACATAAAAAGGCTTCCTGTATTCATAGATTTAAGCAATATATGAAATATTTTCTTGCATGGGCATGCTAAACAGACTGCATAGATCCAAGTGCGTGACACCATACTCTAATCTTCGACACCAAAGAAGAATGTAGCCATCAGGAAGTTAGGGGCACTCACTTTTCCTTGGAGACAACAGTTGCCCTTATCAATTCAGAAGCTAAGAAATTAGGAAAATATTTATTTTCACACACTTCTGAGCAAGCTATGAATAACTGACTATGGAATGAACCACACAGGACCACAGTCAAATGCTGTGCAATGGTCACATCATCACCATACAGATAGAACAGGGCATTATAGAAAATTTATTTTTCAATTCGGGGAAATAAGCCTTGTACAAACGGACCTTTACATGTATAATCAAAGCAAGCACAACCTCTAGAATTCAAGAATGCCCAAGTGACCAAGACTACTAATGACTTTTACTTCTAAATCTTACTGAAGACAAGCAACTGGGAAATAGGTTCTTTATAATTATTGCTATGGGCTTGTCAAATGTATGTTTTCCCTTCCCTTTACCATCTAGCATTACTTCTGACATGAAACACTTTACTATATATTGGGCACTGATTGTTGCATTTTCCTGCTGTCAGAAGGTGTGCTTTGGGTCTCTGGACTCACTCCAGCATAGCCAATTTTAAGCTAAATGCTAAACATACTCTGATTGCAATTGGTTAAAGAAAATAAAGAAAATGTAAAATATTCTACCACCTTTTGCCAAATGTTTTTTTTTTTTTTTTTATTTTTTGCCAAGATTATCCAACAGTATGACTAAAAGAAATTTAATCCCAGATATAGAGTGACCCCGCAGCTGCCTTGCCTTGTTCTTCTGCTGACACCTTAAAATAATGTAAGTTGGGGAATATTTTTGCTATTTTCCAGACAAAATAAGTCTTTCATACAACACAGCAAACTAAAACTAAATATATAGAATTAAAGTAATGTCTTCCAAAAGTTCACCAATAAATAAAAAAAAAAAAAAAGAAAGAAACTTGCAGATGTGCTCTGCAAAGTCCAAGTGAGGAACAATAATTTTATATAAAACAGTACTGCAAGAATCCTGTTACGCAGAATTGTACAACAATGCCTGAGGTGTCTGACATTCACCATTTATTATTTTTTTCTTCATAAAATCTAAAACAAAATAGAAAAGATCTTACAGCTGGATAATGCGACATACAAACTGGTCCCTGTGCATTCTTGGTAATTTACTCTAGGTGTCCCTCCAAGGGCTTAAAACCTTTACGCAGAAATCCAGAAAAGGCCACTGATTGATAACTTGACCATAATTTTTCATTGATCTATCTGCACTCCCACTTGGGGCATGCCAAATAACAAAGTTAGATGTTGTGCAACGCAGGATCTAAGCTTTTTCTTTTTAAATGAGCCTGGAGCTTTGATAAGGAAATGTGATTTAGGCCGTAGGTCTACAGACAAAATCCATCTTGCCAC